TATATATATGAATATATGAAAAATATATCAAAATGCATGTGGGTACTCAAATGAAAGCTCTTGATGAGTGTAATATCGGGATGAGCTTATATCTTTAAAAACGTCAATAGTTGAAAAATTACAGTGCAATTTAACAAAAGTAATTATTTAATAAAGTAAAATTTTATTTATTTATAGTTTACACAGTGACTGTAAGGTTGCTAGTTAACTATTAATTTCTCAATAAATAACTTGAAAAATAATAAATAACCTAGTTTAAATTTTTTTACAACTAAAAATACATTCAAAGTTATAAAATTAGGTACTTCCAATTGTAATAGCACTATTAAAAAATATAGTCTCGATTATTACAGTGTCAAGTGAATTACTCGTAGTTTTTTTTTTACGAGGGATCTGTTTTTACTCTAAAAACTAATTTTTCCACTTCTCTTTTCTCCGCGTTGCAATTCTAGAGCTTGTAGTTAATTTTTCCCGCAAATACTTGGCTAATCTCTCTCACTCTTGGTCTTATTCAGCAAATTTATCATTCAACCCTCTGTACACTAATCCTATAGTTCCTCTTGCATCTTGCTAATGGACACGGATGTATAACTAGAACATAACACTTTAACGGAGAGAGATAAAGAGAGCAGACTAATGTAATATAATGTCTGTACCTGTCACATTGTGCGCTTATTACCGGTGCAGGGATCGGACAATAACAAGTTGAGTCGCGGTCCTTTTTTATACATGAGTTATACTCCGTGTAGGATGACAACAAAATAATAAAATAAAATAGGATAAAAAATGAAAGAAATTAAGATGTGGGTTATGTGATAAGCCAAATGAAAATATTTTTTAAGGCGAGAGATAAATCTTGTTAAATTATTTATTTTATTTTTTGTTCTAGGTCGAGGCAGGAGATGTCATTCTCAGGGTAAACGACGTTGATGTTAACCGATTTAGTACCAAAGAAGGTGAGTTTCATTATTTTCAAGCTCTCATCACATTTTTATGGGAATTTTTTATTTTTTTACGCTGAAAAAAAATTAAATTTGATTCAAGAGAAATATTCTTAAACTAAAAAAATAATTTTGAAGAGTTTTTGTTGATTTAAGTAAAAAAATTCTTGAACTGAAAAATATTTTACGGATTTTTTGTCTTGATTTAAAACAATAACACTCTTCAAAATTATTTTCTATAGGGTCAAATTTATTTTTTTTAATTGCTTCCATGCAAAATCAATTGTTCATTAACCGCAGGGACGTTTTTAATTTTTGGGAATTAAAAGTTCTTTGACACTTTAATAAAGCGCTTCTTAAAAGTAATTAAAGTGATTAAACTTGTAAGTGACTGATACTTGCAATGAATCCGACTTTAAAAGTTTTTTTTTTTTTAAAGAAAAAAGAATATTAACAATTGTTACTTGAGTGTTTGAATAAAAATTATTTGAAATTCGCCGACAGTTCAGCGATGCTGTTGTTAATTACTTTCCAGTAAAATTAAATATGACCGGTCTGGTTAAGAATTATGGTAATTTAACATATTGCTGCACACAGAGTTCGTGTGTGCTATCAGAAAAGTTAAATCACTTTTCGGTTGAAGGATAATAGCGATTTAACTTTTTAAAACTGTCATATTCTTTATATTCACGCTTATGTAAAAACTTTTATATCTTTTTTAATTTATCTGTCGTGTGATTCTTCAATAAATTTTTTAAAGATCAATAAAAAGTCAGATGAGATTTTTTATAAAATTTTTTTAATTACTAGATTATTAGCTTGTAATTGATTATCAGAAAAACTGTTGAATTAAAATAATAATAATAATAATAATCAAGCGATGATATTTATATTTAAACTCAAGTAACGATTATCTGAAAATCCATACACGATATGCAATATTAAATTTTAATTCCAACTGTCGTGTTCATATGAGCGTGTTAAAATTAATGAAAAACGTGCTTTTAATCTTGAAGCTGAGCTACCGCGTAATCGCAACCTTTTTTTCATTAATTAAAATAAATTTTCAATTTTATATCTTAATTGATAGCCAACTTGTCAGGATTTTGTCATTTTTATTTATAAGGTCACCCGAAGATCAAATGTTTTCAGTCGAGTCGGAGAAGATCTTTAAAAAATCTTGGGAATTCTGGAAATTTTTATTACCCAGACACTTGCTATGAATTTAAAACTATTACTGTAAATAATTCCAGCAGTTCATGTTCCATCACACCTCGAAAATCATTTAAATAAATAAATTATTTATCTTCTGACTTAAATTCTTTGAAGCTCAGAATATTAATAATATCAGTTTATATTTTCCCTGAGGTGTTCAATGTTATATGATAGTTCAAATCTAATCCTTTGATTCTTTTATATCCTTCTTTATGTCGTAATAAAAATTATATAGTTTTATCTAAACTCAATATTTTAGTTGTGTTCTCTACTTAAGTGATTATAACTCCCAAAACATTGAAGATAGCTCTATAATATAAAAACATTATTAATAGGAAAGTTCCTAAGCTACAATTTTGGTTTCATAATTTTTTTCCAAAAGTCAATATTTTAGGAGTTATGCTCATTTTTTGGGTCACCACATATTAATTTTTCATTTTTCACCATATAAAGACTACTCAAGTCCCTATAAACTGAGAAAAAAAAAATACTTTTACTCAATTAACAATTTCTTGGTTCAAGAAATTCGATAACGATCAAATATTCTATTATTATTAATTATTATAATTTCTGAAGAGAAGAGCATCAATATTTACCTTTGGATAATAAATAAACAAGAGAATACCTTTATTTAAATTAAGTAAAAATTATTTCAATCAATTTAACAAGTTCTTGAACTAAGAATATTCTTGAAAATTAAGTTAGACGCCATCTGAAAATTTTTAGTGTTTTTTTATTAAAAAAAAATTTCATTTGGAAAAAACTTGAAAAACTCTAAGTACAATTTAAAAAAAAAATTTTTTTGTTTTGATTTTATTATTAAAATAATCAAAAAATTAAAAACTTCGGCTAACTTTAGTATTATTATATATTCTTGAATATTTTTAAGAATATGAATTCTTGTATCAAGAAAATTTTCTTAATAAAAGTATTTTTTTTTCTTAGTGTATCTCAAGAATATTCAAAATAGCTTTATAGTATACAGACATTTTCTATAGGAAATTTCTTAAGCTGCAATTTTGGTTTCTTAAATTTTTTTTCCAAAAATCAATATTTCAGGAGTTATGGTCATTTTTTTGAGTCAATATATAATTTTTCATTTTTCACTTAGTGAGCACTACTTAAGCTACTATATCTCCTAAAATATTAAAGATAGCTCTACAATATAAAAACATTTTTTGTAGGAAATTTCCTAAGCTACAATTTTCGTTTCATAATTTTTTTCCAAAAATCAATACTTCAGGAGTTATGGTCATTTTTCGAGTCACCATATAAAGTAAAAGCTCCAATATTTAAATATCTATAATATAGATTCTATATTCACAAATATAGACATACAAATAAATGGAGTGATCATGTACTGGTACATGAGCATCTATTGGGACTTTTACCTTAATAATTTTTCATTTTTCACTTAGTGAGCACTACTTAAGCTGCTATATCTTCTGAAATATTAAAGATAGCCCTATAGTATAAAAACATTTTTTGTAGGAAATTTCCTAAACTAAAACATTGGTCTCCTATGATTTTTTGATAAAATAAATATTTAATTAGTTACAGCAATTTATAAAGCGACTAGATAATAAATAGGTATTTAATTAAAAAATGTTCTTTTAAAACACCAACAGTAATAATAATGTGTAAAAGTAAATCTTGTAAGCTTGCGCAATACATCGACCTTTCCTGACCTAACGCACTCGAGTCAGAACCCCGCGACCCGTAGCCCACGATCCACGAAGTTTCATTGACTTGGTGGGCTTGCAAGAACTCGAACGTGTCTAGTCTCTTGAGCCAGTGCAGTCGTAACTACATCCATCACCGAGCATCATCCCATCCTATCTTCTGCTCTTGATTCCTCTGCTCTCCATCTCAACTTGGTGAATAAAAGTTAACTTATTCCTTTGCTGGTCTAGTCTGTACTAGTGAGTTGTGAGTAGTGATACGAGGAAAAACCGCGAGACCGCGAATACCGCCGAGACTGGATACGTTATGTTACCGCACCGGCTATAGGCTACATTCTACCAACAAACTATTTATTATTACTGTTATTATTATTATTATTATCAGTAGAGCAGACAGAGCACGAGTATTAAGTGTAGAGTGTACAGTGCTGTACTTAAAGTATTAAAACCAAGAGAGTGTAAAGCGAGACAGAAAAACGATAACGAGAATCAACTCAGAGAAATCTACGTCGTGTCGTGCGTTTGCTTCCACACCCAGTCGTTCGCTTCTCCCGACAACACCATCATACATGTCTCATCTTTTTTATTTTTACTCATATTTATTTATTTAGTCATTAATTATGTGTTGTTATTGATTACAGTGCTCAAATGTCTTCGATTATCCTCCGATCCAGTTACCCTCAAACTAAAAAGGGGTGAGTTATTTATTTATTTTTTATTTAGAAATTATTTTTAATTATTACTTACATTTTTATCAATTTATTTTAATTGACCATTAAATGTAAAAATTTTATTTTATAATTTAATTATTTAATTAGATATTTCTTCATTAAAATTTTTTTGATGAAGAATATGAACAATATTTTATTTTTTTTATTTAATAGCAATAAATATTTACCTAAAAGTTCCTTAAATTTTTTTTAAATGAAAAATTAAACTTCAGTTTATGATTTGTTTAATTTATAGATTTTAGTTTTATAAAATTTTATAATTTAATTTTTTAAGAAGATATTCGAAAATTCTTTAATATATTTCTTCACTAAAATTTTTTAAATATTTTTTTATTGAAGAATATAAACAATATTTCATTTTAAAATTTAATGGCAATAAATATTTACTTAAAATTAAATTAAACTTTTTTTTTTTTAAATAAATAAGAAGAAAAATCAGTTGATAGTTTGTCTAATTTATAGATTTTGGTTAATAAATTTTAATAATTAAACTATCTTAAAATTTTCTACATTTACTCAAAAAATCATTAAATTTTTTTTATAAAAAATAAAATTTTAATTTAAAGTTGAATAAAATTAAGTACAAGTCTGTCGAATTTATCCAGTGTAATTGATTCTAAATCAGGTTTGTTGTAATCCTTCCTAGTGTAGGTATATAAAACGATAGTATAACAATGTATCTTCTCCACAAAACTAGATACCATCAGACCATTTGCCTTCTACTCGGCTGGTTTTTATTTGACACTTTTATTTGACCTGTAATTCAACAGTATGAGTAGTACATAGTACATAATGTATGTAAGCGAGTATTTACACTTGACAATCGGAATAGAAGATAATGCTGTATTGTCATTGTCATATTATCATAGAATATTGTGTCTATAGTAATGTGTTGGTACTGGTACTGGTGTAACGCAACTGACACATTTGCCCTGGTTACCCAAACTTAGCAAGTTAACATTACATTTGTATTTGTACACACGATCTATGTACAAAGTTGCTTTCAAACATTTCTTCTATTGGGTGGGGCGCCAAAACTCCTGATATGGACGGCAATTTCATATATTGATCTTCATAATACAATAGTAGAACGATAAAAATTTACAGACCGTAAAATAAATATTTCTTTATAAAACTTCTTTTGTTACTTCTTTAAAAGTAGAAAAAAATTTTTTTTTATTCTAATTTAGAACAAATAAATTTATTTCTTCAGTAATTTTAAATTTAAAGTTCAAGGGTTAAAAAAATAAGAAATTAAAAGCACTAGAGGGCTCCGTAAATAAAAACTGTTTTAAAAGCTCTGGGTCTGGTTGACACTGAGAATTTACTTGAATTTTATCAGCAGATAGGGGAATCTGTTGTAGGCTTTCATTCAGAATAATGATAAGGCTGGCTGTTCTATTGAAATACACCCGTTTGAAGAGACACGTGGGCTGAGATAACTTTACGTAGACGGCTTGATATCGCTGTATTGAGTTTTAGCTTTTACCAACAGTAAAAACCGACTTAAGGACTGAAAATTCTTCTCATTCTTCTCAATTTAGCTCGGCAAATGATTCATGCATTGCATAGATTTTTTATTATTATTAATGTAGTAAACCGATAGACTAATGAGTAATGAGAAATGTATCTTTGAGTTTTTCTTCTTGAAATGACTAATGTTCAGTTCTTCTTTAATAACAATAAATTTATCAAAATTTGTGGTAATTATTTACCTTATTTTTTATCATATCTAGGTGAAAAATTAACATTTTTTTTTTTATTCTGCTTGTTTTTATGGAGGATTTATGTTTTTGGATAAAATTTTTATTTCATCTTTTTTTGATGTTTTTGATATATATTTTTTTTATATAAAATACACTGAAAAAAACGAACAATTAAAAAAAAAAAAAAACAAAAAAAATTGAATAACACAATTTTCTAAAAAATTTATAAATTTTTTTTTTTAATTTATTTAAATTGTAATATTTAACTTCTTTTTTTTTCAATTGTTAATTTTTTTATGTATTTAAAAAAAAACAAAAAATTATCAATAAAATCAAATAGAAATTTCATTCAAAAAAATGAAAATTAAAATGATTGACCTCACTTTGTTTTTTTTTTCCACAATTCTTGCTTTTTTATTTTTTATAAAATTAAAGAAATTTTTTTTTAATTAAAAAAATCAATAATTATAAAAACAAAGGTAATTACTTACAAGTAATAAAATCAATCCCATTTTGGGCGATAACTAGATGAAGAATTGACATTTTTCAATTTTTTTTTTTATTCTGTTTGTTTTTACGGAACATTTATGATAAAAAATGTCGTAAAAGAAAAAAATCAAGATTTTGATAGTCTTTTTGCCTTCAAAAGTTGGAAAAAATTTTGGCTCTTATGTTTTTGGTTAAAATTTCTATTTTATCTTTTTTTGAAAAGTATACAAAAAAAAACTTTCTGAAAAATTTATAAATTTTTTGGAAAATTTATTAAAATTGTGATAGTCTACTTTTTATTTTTTAATTGTTAATTTTTTTATGTATATTAAAAAAAAAACATCAATAAAATCAAATAGAAATTTCGCAAATTAATAAATAAAATTTTTTTTGAATTTCAATTAATGTAAGAGTGATTTTATTACTCTTGAAAATATTGTAATTACTCTTAAATATTTTATAGGTCACTGTTTTTATATTATGAGAAGCATCAGATTTATGGTCGGTACTTTTTACTGGAGGAGTTTTTAAAAAATGTCAAGCGCCGTCATGTTTCATAAGTGATTGATTCTATTATTTCGAAATAATAAAATTCAAACCGTTAACTGGCACCTGTGGTAGCAGACACTGATAAAAAAAAAATCTTTATTCATTTTTGATAAATCTGTTAGATATAAATCCAGGGTAATTTTATTCTCTTCGATTTATCTATTCAATTAATAATTATTTTTTATTAAAAAAAATTCGCCGGTATAATTTTACATTTTATTATTAATTTATTTATCAAGTGTTATTGATACAAATATATATTTAGAATTAAATAATAAATATTTTTATTTGATGCAAGCTGTAATAAAAGCACAAGTAGGTCACACACTTAAAGAGTCATTCTAACCAGATAATTAACTTGCAGATCCAGCAATAAAGTCGCACGTGAAGCGTCTGCTGTCGTCAGGCCAGGGTATTTGCGAGGCGGAGCTGTCGACGAACAGTTGCGGAAAAAACTCTCATAACATCACCGGCTCTAACTCTAACGCTGTAAATTGCGAGGACAAGTCCACCAAAAAAACTAACCTGATCTTCGACAATTTATCAGACAACTCATTGCCATCGGTGGAGAGTGTTAATCAGTATGCTAAGCGAACCAATGGCTCCTACAGCGACGCCTCGGGCTCTTCTGAGTTTGAGGCGCTTCTTCCGCCAGCCGACAGCTTCAAAGAAGAGGAGCGTGCCCAGTGGGAGCCTTTGTCTGGTGAGAAATTCGCTAAACAGAAAAACACACCAAGGTAATTAATTATTTTATTATTGTGCTGATAATAAAAATTATTTGATTAAAGAAAAATCTTGAAGCAAAATTTAGATTCATTTTTTTATCAAACAATTTTATAAATTAATCTACATTATTAAGAGAATAAGAAAAATTTTGTGTCCAGGATAGTCATATGATAAAATCGGTTTTTTTAAGTGGAATTTAGTGTCATTGCAAAAATTCTTGATTTGAATTTGTGCCTTTTCAAGATTTCATATCATTCTCACCGATAGTTAATTTATGATAATAAGTATTTAGGCTGCATTCGACAATGCTCTATCTCTAGATACATAATTAAGAAATGACCTTATATCTTGAGAACTATTGACATTTTTAAAGATATAAACTCATTCCGACAGTACACTCATCGAGACCTTTCATTTGAGTACCCACATCAATTTTTCATATATTTATATATATTATATATATATAAATATATTAAATATATGAAAAAATGATGTAGGTATTCAAATGAAAGCTCTAGATGAGTGTAACATCGGGATGAGCTTATATCTTTAAAAAAGTCAATAGTTAAAAAAGTACAGTGCAATTTAATATAATTAAGAAACGACCTTGTACCTTGTGAACTATTGATATTTTTAAAGATATAAGCTCACCCCGACATTACACTCATCGAGACCTTTCATTTGAGTACCCACATCAATTTTTCATATATAATATATTAAATATATGAAAAAATGATGTAGGTACTCAAATGAAAGCTCTTGATGAGTATAACATCAGGATGAGCTTATATCTTTAAAAACGTCAATATTTAAAAAAGTACAGTGCAATTTAACAAAAATCATTATTTAATAAAGCAAAATTTCATTTATTTATAGTTCACGTCACGGCAGTCACATAGTGACAAGGTTGCTAGTTTAATAAAATTAATCTTAAATATTTAAATTTCAGGTTCGAAGCATACATGATGACCGGGGATTTGATGCTTAACTTATCGCGCACACAACAGAGCTCAGGACTACTACCAAAGTACCAAAAGAAAGTAGACTCGTTGAGGTACAACAACCACTACATCCACCGGCATCACCACCACAACCACCATCACAACAACCACCACCATCATCACCACCACCACAACTCGGTGCCTACCAGCCCGAACGAGATGATGGGCCACAACCGAAACTACAAAAACCCCCCTGCGAACCCGACAGGCGTCGGGATGAACACCGGCGGCTCGAATTCCGCCAACACCTCCCCAGTTGGTCTGATAAAACGCGACGTGGCCGGGACTCAGCACACCCACTGCATGGTCGACAAGTCTGCGATCTCCAGCTTCGGGTACTCCAGCGGGTTCGTGAGAACGTCGCGCTCCGAGGACCACCTGCAGTTCCAAAAGGACCCGTCGATGAGCGCGGTGGACATTGACATCGACGATGATGTGACTTCCAGTTTGAACACTCTGCTGGACACCAGGCCAGACAGCGGACAAGGAGTGTCCAGCGAGCGCATCGTCTGGACCTACAACGCTCCAGTGAGCTCGCCCTCAGCCTCAGAGCGGACATCTTGCTGCCAGAACGGGAGTTCCCAGTCGTCCTCGTCGTCGACGGGCAGCAATTCCTCCTCCACTGAAGACACCAGTCCCCAGAGGTCTCTGTCTCCAGCTTCTCCGACCTCGGTGTCATCCTCCGTGATGTCTTCTAACTCCGGGTCACGCAGATTTCCCCTGCCGAGTGGCACCACCTGCACCAACAGTGTCAATCCGAATTGTTTGGGTGGAACTGGTAACGCTGGAACGATATCCTCGGGACACTTGATTAATAGCGTGCCGATGATGATGATGACCGACCCGAGCAACGTCAATAATTGCTCAAATATCTCCGGCGGTGGCAACGGCAGCGGGGGCGGAGCTGGCGGAGGAGGATATCACCCGACAAACGGGGACCTAAGTCAATCGGAAGCTATCAGTAATATGTCCAGTCCCGACTACAATGACGAAGAGACAATGGATATACTTAGTGCGCGGGATATTATGATGGTGAGTGATCCGAGTGACAGTGACTCGACGATCCTCGCCAGTGAACCGCCCCAAAGGCGGCTTAAAACTGGCTACAGCCAAGAGACTAGTGATCATCGTATAGTGATACAAGTTAAGGGCCCTGAAAAGGACTCTAATCCTAGGAATAATAATAATCATAGTAATAGTAATAATAGTAACAGCAATCCTGGTGGAAGCCCTAGACAAAATCGCCGGAGAGGCTCCGGGGGAAACAACGACCGCCCACTTTCCAGCGTGAGTTCTACAAACGCTGAATTTTCTGGTTACCAGGTATTTTCCTCCTCTCCTTTGTCCTTAACCTTTTGTTCTAATCCTAATAATTTTTTATTCTTTGTATTATAATCCTCTGCTGGTTCTAGGTCAAAATATGCCTTACTTATTTCTTAATCTCTAAATATAAATAGATTTTGGTAAAAGCTTTTATTGTTTTGATAAACAAAGCTTTAACTTGGTAAATAACTTGTTAATAATTTACATTGATTGTTACTCGATACCTGGAATTATTTATTACTCTAAACCAAACATTCTGCTTACCTCCGGTCACTGGTACGAAGAATTTCACTACCTCGTGGGTGCTTTGCTTGTAATAGTAAGGAACAGGGTATTTATTGACGGGCTTGGGAAATTATCTCATCTATTTTAAGGTAGATTCATTCAATACCAATGCAGAAAATAATTTATCAGCTAAACAAGTAATTATGTTGCTTTGTGGTTGTAAAATATGTTAAATTACAAATTTGGGATTATTGTTTAGGATTTATTGACCTAGATCTTTTGTTTGCTTACTATCGGGGGCTTTTATCAAGAGATTTTATACAATAAGATGAATGAAATGTAATTGAAAGATTTAAAATTAGTTATCCTTGGAAAAAATTATTAGTCTGTAATTTTATGATCAAATAAATTGAAGTATGCTCTGTATTTATATATAAAACTTTGAGATGAAACTTTAATTAGTAAATCTCTTGAAGTTTGCTCTTTTATAAATTTACGATTAAAGAGACTATTTATATTTATCAGGAATTGAAAGATAATGAAGACGGGGACGCTGTTAATTATTTGTACGAAGAACAAAAACAAAGTGGTCAATCTCCACCGCAGTCAGCTGACGAGGAAAGTGATATTGAGAGCCTTCATAGTTTTCATTATAGCCCTAAAGCTGTTGATCTACCGTCAGCTGTTAGACTGGCTAAGAGATTATACTCGCTTGATGGATTTAAAAAGTCTGATGTTTCGAGGCATCTCAGCAAAAAGTATTTATTTAATTATATTATTATTATTATTATTTTAGAAATATTACTAAGATCGGTAATTTTACTTATTAAAGAGGATTTTATTATTATTTTTTTAAGCCAACTTATCCGAACCACTTAGAGACTATTCAATTTTTATTTATTAATTATTTTCACCACGATATTGTTGGTATGAGCACTCATGCCATTCTCGGGTGAATATATAATAATTAAAAATTTTGATTGAGATTATATGTCTGAGCGTTCCGAATTATTTTTTCGCTTACTGAAAAAAGTTACACTGAGTAAAAAATAACATCTTTATATAATTATTATCATATATTATAATTATTATTACATGTTATAATTATTATGGTAATCGGAAAAAATATTAAAGTTATGAAAAATTCAAATTATTTCATTAAAATTATTATAAAAATAAAAATTATAATAATAATTGTATCATACCTACAATTTTCCTGAAAAACAAGCATTCCCAGAATGATAGCTCCATTTTTCGTTACAAAAAATTATTATTATTATTATTATCATTATTTTAATAATAAAATGAAATAATTATTTATTTTTTAATGTTAAAATTGAAAATACGTTTCATTTGCAGCAACGACTTCTCCAGAGCTGTTGCCGAAGAGTACCTGAGGTACTTTAATTTTGAAGGAGACACGCTGGACGTGGCGCTCAGAAAGTTTCTCGCGCAATTCTCATTAACAGGGGAAACTCAGGAGAGAGAACGAGTACTTGTACATTTTTCAAAGAGATATATCGACTGTAATCCTGGCTCTTTTAATTCCCAAGGTGACATTTATAATATTGTAATAATTAATGCGTACAATATTCATTATTTTTTAATGGTAATTTTAATTATTATCAAAAAAAAAAAAAAAAAAAAATAATTATTATTTATTTTTCAGACGCCGTTCACACTCTTACGTGTGCGATAATGCTGCTCAATACAGATTTACATGGTCAAAACTTGGGTAGAAAAATGTCATGCTCTCAGTTTATAGAGAATCTCTCAGAGCTCAATGACGGTGATAACTTTCCCCGAGAGGTGCTTAAACAGCTTTACACTGCGATTAAATCGTATCCACTTGAATGGGCTTTGTAAGTACTCTTGATTGTACAATATTTAATTTATACATAACCATTCATTACTTTTATGTATATTATTATTATTATTATAACTAGAAAAAAAAAACACTTAATTTTTTTTATAAATAAATAATTATTTTTTTTATTAATTAGGGATGATGATGGTGACGAATTAGCATCTCAAGTAGTTCAATTAGGCGATGGACCTGCGACATCAGCTTCTGGAAATCCATTCCTAGATGTGCCAAATGTTTCTGGTGCCACGGAATTTAAAAAAGGATATGTTATGCGTAAATGTTGCTACGACGCTAATGGAAAGAAAAGTAATTATTTATAGACTTTTATACAGAAAGCTATTAAATTAACGTTTTACTTGAAATAGACTTTAAAATTATTCATTTCTTTAGCAATAAAAAATAATAGTCTCTGAAAAAAAAATTGCGTTCGATCCAAAGTACTCAGTTATTTAATATACTTTTTTACTATTTCTGGAAATCGTTTATTAATAATGTTGAAACGCTTGAAATGTATAAATTAAGGATAAAGTAATGATTTATATATTACTTTTATTGCAGCCCCATTTGGTAAGCGAGGATGGAAAATGTACTACTGTACCTTACGAGAACTAGTACTTTATTTACACAAAGACGAGCACGGTCTCCGTAACGACAGCTTGCATAACGCGATTCGAATTCATCATGCACTGGCAACTAAAGCGTCGGATTATACGAAGAAGCAACATGTTTTCAGGCTCCAGACTGCCGACCAGGCGGAATATCTCTTCCAAACTAGGTAAATTTTATTTCTTCTCCTACGCTGTCTAATTTTAAATAAGTTGAGACATTAAAAAAAAATTTAATCCATATATATATATATAAGAATTTCATTAAAGTAATAGTTGTTTTATTACTGTTTTCATTATTTATCAAACTTTGACCCACTTTTTATTTTCATTTTTTTTATTATTATTTTCCGCTAAGAAAATTAAAAATTTTCCACTAAAGGAAAGTTATTGATTTCGGTCCGATTTTTGAAAGTCGAGTTTTCATCGAAAGGGTTTATCACAAGCTCAAATATTAATCGAAAAACACATTTTAAGGCGCTTCAAATTTAAACTTAGCGGAAAGTTCTAAGTTGGCGTGCACGGTCAAATAATTTCCAGATTTTTTTTTTAACATTTCAATCTCTTTAAAATATTATTATTTATTTTTTTCAGTGATTCAAAGGAACTACAGTCGTGGATAGACACAATAAATTTTGTTTGTGCAAGTTTTTCATGTCAACCTCTTGCCGGAGCGGTAGGTTCTCAACGAAAGTTTCAGCGGCCTTTGCTTCCCTGCAGTCACACCAAATTGACGCCTGTAAGCATCGCCAACCAATCCACTCCCAATTTATTAATATATTCTAAAATATTTTTAATTTAATTAAAAAAATCGATATATATATAAAAAAAAAAAATTTTTTTTTTAATTAACGATGTCGTTAATAATCTATTTTGATTCTGTCTTTTATTTTCAAGCATTCCTCCACACACTGAGGCAAACTCTCGTATAAGTTCGTATCGGAGATGCATGACTCGTTCGACAAAGTGCGAAATATTAATATAAAAATAATAATAGATAAATTATGATTATTAATAACAAGCAAATACACTTAATAATACGTTTCACACAGATATACGACACACTAAACACCGGTTTATTACCCTAATTGCAGTGCCTACGCTCATAATTATAATTAATATAATTAATTATATTTTAGTGTGAAATAGTTTATCATTAAATAGTGTTTGTATAAATGTTTTAATTATATATTTATTTTTAGCGTGAACAATTAAGGGACCATGAAGAACGAGTTAGCAGACTGGAGGCTGAGCTCGAGGAACATCGAAGACATCCGCCGGAACGGGGAGCTAAAGCTCTCACTGTACAAAATTACAAAGAAAAAGACGCTTATCTTCATTATGAGGTTCAATATTTTTTTTTTTTTAATTTAATTTAATTATTTCACAGTTTTATTAAATTAATTGACCTTTTCTGGAAAAAATTTAACTCATAAATTTTTAGATGAATTAAAAATTCATTTGATTAAAATTAAAAATTGTCAGATAAGGTAAAGTACTCAGTAGTTGAACAGGTTTCAAAGTAAAACGTATTTGACCCTCCTTTTAATACATAAAGATTTAATTATTAGTTCAAATTAGTGATTTTCATGAAAATATAAACAATTTTGAATTGATTGAAGCGCAAAATAACGCAGACAATTGAATATTCATATTTTGACAACGTTTTTAAGATAGACTATGAAAGGAGTAGTTGAACAATCAATTCTAACAAGCCGCGGTAGTTGAACACTCCGGGAGCAGTAGTTGAACTAATAAAATATATGGCAAAAGGCACAAAAAAAAGTCAATTCAAAACGTTCAATAATTTTTAACTACACTAATTTTTAGCTATAAAACTTATTTAATTTGCAGTAATTAACAAATCACAATGCTGATCAGTAGTCTATAAACCTATTAGTGGTTATAGGGCTGTTATAATTATACCGCCTCAGCCTGTTTAAGTTCTGGGTACCGCTTTCAACATTTGGTGGTATAGTTGAACGCTAAAATTTAATATAGAAATTCTAGTTTATGTCTTTGCAAAAAATATATGTTAATTAAAAAAGACTATTTCATTAGATGGTACAATTTTTTTTTTTACTTAAAATGATGATATATCATTTTTTTTACTGATACCATTTTTTTTACCTTTTTTATGAAAAAAATAGCATCTATCGGCGATTCTCGACATGTCAACTTTTAAGTTAATAAAACTATAATTGTTTTGATTTATAATTAAAAAAATTTACAGAAATCAATTACTGTATCATTGAATAATTATAATATGCGCAAATTACTCATAAGAAATTTACTGATTTTGTCTTACAACAATTCGAAAAGTCTGTTCAAGTACTGGGTACTTAACCTTAATTAAAATTCTAATATAATTATTTTTGTTACAGTTAAAAAGATACAAGACGTATTCGTATTTATTACGATCCCGACTGGCGTTCACAGAAGTGGAGCCTTCATTAGTAGAAAGCAGCATCGGTGAAGTAGACGAAGGTGTAGGCGGTGGAATGTTAAACCCAGAAGCTGGTGTAATACCGCCACCGGTGCCGGATCGTCCAGCAACAAATAGGTATAGTTACAGAGCTGCCATTTACAATCGTAATCTGCTGAATGGTCAGGACTACGGCGGTGATATTGGTTGACGCGTCATGGGTGTCTTTTCAGCGTGTGTAATATAATTAAATATTTGATTTATTTCATTAATTAAATCGCACAAATTTTCAATGAAAAAATACGTCTGACTCAACAATACTATTGGTATTATATTAATTATTTATTAATAAATTATTACACACGCTGTAAAGATATGGTGATTGGTTTCTTGTTTTGTCGCACTTTAACAAATAAAATAAAATAAAATAAAATAAAATAAATAAATAAATACAAATACTCAGTAGAAAATCGAAAACTGTCATCACCACAATAATGTTATAATAATTAAAAAGCTAAAGCTGTTTTTAAAAAATTCTAACGAAATTTTAAAAATCCAAACAATTGATTAATTAATTGTTAAACGTATTAAATAAATTAATAGTTTTTAAAAAAATTATTAATTTATTGCTCTAAAAAGGTATACGACATGGTGCTGGTCTAAGAACTATTTATTTAAATAAAAGTATAACAATTATAATTAATATAATAGCTTTGGCTTGTGTATTTAATTGTTAACGATTTATTAACACCCTGTACGATGAATCATTAATTTTTTCTAATTATTTATGGTGCGAGGTGACTCATGCTTCTCATTATTTTTTCGACTCTAACTGTATTTATACATTATTCTTTATTATTATTAGATCTGATGTATGATCAATGTTTCTTATTGAATAGATATATATTCATTATTTTTTATATTAAATTAAATTATTACAACTATAACTATCGTTTACTATTAGTGTCTTTTTTTTATATTTCTCTCTTTGTTTAAATATATCTAAATCGTTTAAATAATATTTACTCCAATGTAATGCCACGTGTCAATTAGAAGTGATAAGTACTTGTCATTATTTTTTCATCAACTTTATCCTAAAACTCTCGAGTTGTTTAATTTATTTATTATTTTATAATTTTAACATTTTTATTTTGTTAATTATTAATTGTAGTAAGGCCAAAGAAGAAATTAAAACAGCTCGAAAGTTAGTGTGTAGTTTATATTGTGTTTAATGACATATTATTTTTTAATTAAGCATTACTACTCATAAATATTAAAATTATATTTAAATTGAGAGATTTACTAAATTTTTTTCATTAGATTATTTGTTAAATTTACATAAAAATTTCTATGTCAAAATTCGGTTTTTATATTTAATCTTCACGGAAAGAACAAGATGACACTGAATATCATCCCAAATTATACTGAGTAAAAAAAAATTTTAGCTAAAGTTAAGTAAAGTTTTCACTCAGTATAATCTGGCATGATATCCAGTGTCATCTTGTTCTCTTCGTGTTTTTTGGTTTATGATAAAATTATTTCTATAATTATGTGTTACACTTTTAAATTAGATCTAAATAATTTTGTTATCTAAATTGTTAAATTTAATTTATAAAAAAATTTTTATAAATTATTAAATGATTACTAATTAAAAAATTTTATAAATTAATATACTTCTTATTGAAGAAATTTTTTTTTATTAGTAATTAGTTTAAATTGATGAGTAGTAATTTAATTATGAAATAATAATAATTAGTGACTAATAATTAATAAGCGACTGTCAGGTAAGAATAATAAAAAAAGTCGTACGAGTAAAAAATGACTCACTGTTATAAAATTAAGAAAAAAATTTAAATACATATTACTATACCAATTGTTATAGAAGAAACGTAAAAACTATTTAAGATTTTAATTTTCAAAATTTTTTACTAAATTACGTCCATCACTTGATTTTGTTAAACTTTTAATTATTATTATTTAACAGTGATAGTACTGATATAAATATATATAATAAAATCCTAGTGCTCTTGCATTAAACGGATATTTGAACTGAAAAATGAAAGAATTATAAATTAAATTTAGCAATGTAGTATTTTATAATAATTGTTTACAACTTTGTTGCAGTATTATAAATTAGTAATTTATCTAAAAATTATTATAAAGTGAATTGCTGAGTAAATTTATAACCTTTAATTATTAATTGCTAAAAATATATATATAACGACCTAATAAAAAAAAAAGTAATAGTTGGTATTGAATAAATAATTAACTAACTGCTTAATTACTGAATTTAATTTTTTATTTTATTAAAAAATGATAATCAAAAATAATTGACAGTTCCATTTATTGATTTATTGAAACAAAATAATAATAATAGTTTGCTAGTCGTAGTACAAACATTTTGTTATTTTATAATTATGTTTTTTATTGATTAATTAATAAATGATAAATAATAGTCAATAAAATTGATTATTAATTGAAACAAAATAAAAACTTGGTTAATTTTGTATTGATTAAAAATTAAGTCTTCAAGCAGTCTCCCAATTTTTTAAATTATATATTTAAGGTATTGAATTATTAATTAGAAACAAATAAACGGAATTAATTAAAGAGAGAAATAGAATTGGATTAACAAATTTACAAGTATTAAAATAAAACATTTAGTGTATAGAAAATCCTTGTATATAAAGTTGTAAAATATGTGGATAATATATATAATAATTCATTATTATTATATATATATATATAGTATATATACATTGATATATATGATTATTATAAATCTTATGAAGCTGAAGGCAAATAAATGTCTGAAAAATTTTAACTTAACATTTCTTCCCTTCTTTCAATTTATTATTAAATAAATTATTTTAGTATGTATTATTTATTAACTAATTGTGTAATCGGTAGTGTAATTATTACAAGTGTAAATTATTTTTTTTTTTTTTTTTTTTTTTTTTAATTAAATTGCATGAAATTTAAAATTTGTTTTTATAATTATTTCTTCTTTTCTTTTATTTCTTTATCACATCTGCACAGTTATTATTTTTTTGCATGGTTATGTATGAGCATGACTGATAATCACCTGTTAAATTACAAATATAAGTACAAACACAAAAATACTATATAAGATACAAAATTATAATTTTATTAAATAAGAAAAAGTTATTTGTAAAAATTAATAATACTGTGTAAATTGGCGACGATAAGTATGAAAGTAAATTAATTTAAAAATAATAAATTTAACCAATATAAGTATACAAATAATAGATAATAATTAATTTGTTGCATGCAAACAGGGACGATGAGACGACGTGAATCATTCATCGAATCAACTGGACATTATATACGACTTAAATTAAATAAAAACAAAATTATAATAGGCTTGAGCCTAAAAAAGTATAAAAAATGATAAGTATAATTAAAAATAAAAATAAATTTATTAAATATTACCTCTTAAGTATTTGAATGCATTAATTATAACTAAATTAAGCACAATGACTATTAAACTCATTGCTAAAGCCAAAGAAAAATTGCATTTAAATATTTATTATATAACTATTTTGTTTTGTACTCATTAAATATTAAGTTTTCAATTATTAATTTTATTTTTACATTAGTTATGTATTTTTCTATTGAAAAAAGTTAATGAACTGATGTATGTACTTAATTGTCTTTATAATTTTCTGTTTCATTAAGTTTATTAGTATAATAATGACATTTTAATTTTTTATTATATTAATCAATGTAAATACGAGCTTTTATTTAAATAAAAACATGTTTCAAGTCAGTATTGTTTTAATTTTTTTTCATTAATAAGATCAACGTTAATTTATTCATATTTAAAAAAAAAATTTATCCCAAAAAATTATTTTTTAAAAATTGCGTTTTTTTATTGTTTAAAATTTTTACATGTCAATTTTTTTTCTTTTTTTTTTTTGCGATAATTTATATGACATTAAAGTTAGCAGTCACTTGATCATTTTTTAGTTTTTTTTTAACAAATAAATTTATTCCAAAAAATTATTTTTGAAAAATTGCATTCTTAATTATGAAAATTAAATTAGCCGACATTTAAAAATTTTTAGAATTTTTTTTTATTGAAAAAAATCATTACAGAAAAATAAAAAAAAATTTTTTCATTTGTTAAAAACTTCAAAAACTATCAGTGCAGTTTTTTAAAAATATTTTTTAGTTATAATTTAATAAATTAAGAAAAATAAAAAAATAAAAAATGTCGGCTAACTTTTTTATTATTTTTTAATTTATTAAAATTTCTAAATGTCAATTTTTTCTCCTTTTTTTATGCAGTAATTTATTTATTAGAAAAATTATTAAATACCTGCTAAATTAATTTTCATTGTTATTTTCAGTGATACAAGTAAATCACACATGACAATCTCCCTATTCCATAAATTTTAAACTGCCGCCATTTTGAAAATTAGCGCGCTCTGGTGATTTAAAATTGAACTAATGTCAACGTTTTTATTGTTGTTATTATTATTGGTACCTAGCAACCAAAATGACAACTTTGAAGTAACCTGTCAAATGTATAACAACTGTCAAAATAGTGGCTCCTAAACTATTATTATTATTATTATTATTATTATAAAACTTGTGGATTTGTTATCAACATATATTTATATCACCAATATATTTTAAATCCATATGAACACATCAACTTTATTTATTTCACACTTTTCGAGGATAATAATACAAACAAGATGTTTGTTTGGCGTTCACCATAATCCGAAACGTCAAATTTTTTATATTAAACTAAATAACAATGGTATCACCATCTGAATTTTTAAAATTAAATAAAATTTATTTTTTATATTAAATATACAAAATAAAATGTTGATAGTTATAAATAAATAATCTTGTATTATTAGAAAGAGCAACTTTATTGTACAAAAAAAATGACAATATTCTGGATATAAAATCTGTGTATGTACCGGAAGAATATGAAAATCGAGGAATTGCAAGATTATTAGCCGAGGTATTTTATTTTTATAATTATTTAATTATGATACTGAAATTGAGAGACATTTAATAATTTTTAGAATATTTTAAAAAATAAATTATAGCAAGAAAAATAGAAGCTCTAAAAAATTATCAATGAAATTTTTTAAAAATGACTTATGAGATTAAAGTTAGCAATAATTTTCTAAAACTAATTTATTTTTCAAAAAAATTGTCTGCTAATTTCAGTGTAATAATTAATAATAAAATTAAAGAGAGAAATAGAATTGGATTAACAAATTTACAAGTATTAAAATAAAACATTTAGTGTATAGAAAATCCTTGTATATAAAGTTGTAAAATATGTGGATAATATATATAATAATTCATTATTATTATATATATATATATAGTATATATACATTGATATATATGATTATTATAAATCTTATGAAGCTGAAGGCAAATAAATGTCTGAAAAATTTTAACTTAACATTTCTTCCCTTCTTTCAATTTATTATTAAATAAATTATTTTAGTATGTATTATTTATTAACTAATTGTGTAATCGGTAGTGTAATTATTACAAGTGTAAATTATTTTTTTTTTTTTTTTTTTTTTTTAATTAAATTGCATGAAATTTAAAATTTGTTTTTATAATTATTTCTTCTTTTCTTTTATTTCTTTATCACATCTGCACAGTTATTATTTTTTTGCATGGTTATGTATGAGCATGACTGATAATCACCTGTTAAATTACAAATATAAGTACAAACACAAAAATACTATATAAGATACAAAATTATAATTTTATTAAATAAGAAAAAGTTATTTGTAAAAATTAATAATACTGTGTAAATTGGCGACGATAAGTATGAAAGTAAATTAATTTAAAAATAATAAATTTAACCAATATAAGTATACAAATAATAGATAATAATTAATTTGTTGCATGCAAACAGGGACGATGAGACGACGTGAATCATTCATCGAATCAACTGGACATTATATACGACTTAAATTAAATAAAAACAAAATTATAATAGGCTTGAGCCTAAAAAAGTATAAAAAATGATAAGTATAATTAAAAATAAAAATAAATTTATTAAATATTACCTCTTAAGTATTTGAATGCATTAATTATAACTAAATTAAGCACAATGACTATTAAACTCATTGCTAAAGCCAAAGAAAAATTGCATTTAAATATTTATTATATAACTATTTTGTTTTGTACTCATTAAATATTAAGTTTTCAATTATTAATTTTATTTTTACATTAGTTATGTATTTTTCTATTGAAAAAAGTTAATGAACTGATGTATGTACTTAATTGTCTTTATAATTTTCTGTTTCATTAAGTTTATTAGTATAATAATGACATTTTAATTTTTTATTATATTAATCAATGTAAATACGAGCTTTTATTTAAATAAAAACATGTTTCAAGTCAGTATTGTTTTAATTTTTTTTCATTAATAAGATCAACGTTAATTTATTCATATTTAAAAAAAAAATTTATCCCAAAAAATTATTTTTTAAAAATTGCGTTTTTTTATTGTTTAAAATTTTTACATGTCAATTTTTTTTCTTTTTTTTTTTTGCGATAATTTATATGACATTAAAGTTAGCAGTCACTTGATCATTTTTTAGTTTTTTTTTAACAAATAAATTTATTCCAAAAAATTATTTTTGAAAAATTGCATTCTTAATTATGAAAATTAAATTAGCCGACATTTAAAAATTTTTAGAATTTTTTTTTATTGAAAAAAATCATTACAGAAAAATAAAAAAAAATTTTTTCATTTGTTAAAAACTTCAAAAACTATCAGTGCAGTTTTTTAAAAATATTTTTTAGTTATAATTTAATAAATTAAGAAAAATAAAAAAATAAAAAATGTCGGCTAACTTTTTTATTATTTTTTAATTTATTAAAATTTCTAAATGTCAATTTTTTCTCCTTTTTTTATGCAGTAATTTATTTATTAGAAAAATTATTAAATACCTGCTAAATTAATTTTCATTGTTATTTTCAGTGATACAAGTAAATCACACATGACAATCTCCCTATTCCATAAATTTTAAACTGCCGCCATTTTGAAAATTAGCGCGCTCTGGTGATTTAAAATTGAACTAATGTCAACGTTTTTATTGTTGTTATTATTATTGGTACCTAGCAACCAAAATGACAACTTTGAAGTAACCTGTCAAATGTATAACAACTGTCAAAATAGTGGCTCCTAAACTATTATTATTATTATTATTATTATTATAAAACTTGTGGATTTGTTATCAACATATATTTATATCACCAATATATTTTAAATCCATATGAACACATCAACTTTATTTATTTCACACTTTTCGAGGATAATAATACAAACAAGATGTTTGTTTGGCGTTCACCATAATCCGAAACGTCAAATTTTTTATATTAAACTAAATAACAATGGTATCACCATCTGAATTTTTAAAATTAAATAAAATTTATTTTTTATATTAAATATACAAAATAAAATGTTGATAGTTATAAATAAATAATCTTGTATTATTAGAAAGAGCAACTTTATTGTACAAAAAAAATGACAATATTCTGGATATAAAATCTGTGTATGTACCGGAAGAATATGAAAATCGAGGAATTGCAAGATTATTAGCCGAGGTATTTTATTTTTATAATTATTTAATTATGATACTGAAATTGAGAGACATTTAATAATTTTTAGAATATTTTAAAAAATAAATTATAGCAAGAAAAATAGAAGCTCTAAAAAATTATCAATGAAATTTTTTAAAAATGACTTATGAGATTAAAGTTAGCAATAATTTTCTAAAACTAATTTATTTTTCAAAAAAATTGTCTGCTAATTTCAGTGTAATAATTAATAATAAAATTTTAATTTCATTTTTTTTATTTACAGGCAGCTTTTACTTACGCGATAAAAGAAAATTTCAATTTAATTTTGACTTGCAAGTACACACAGCGAGTATATGAAAAAATAAAGTCTCCCGAATTGGAAGATCGTGTAATCGGACCATTAAATTTGTTGAAACCTCTTTAATAAAATAATATTTAATAATAATAATAAAATAAAATGAATAAATTAAAAAAAAATAATAATAATAAATAAAATATTTATTTATTTATTTAATTAGAGTGCGTTTAAAAGTTACATAAAAAACTTTGATACACTGATTATGAAATATTTAAAATTAATAATAGATATTTATTAAAAAAAGAAAAAAAAATTTTTAAAATAATAATAATAATAATAATAATAAAAAAAAATAAAAATAATAATAATAAAATAAAATAATAAAATGGACAATTTCGATGAGTTTGACCATCAAGCCATCATAATATGGTATTGTCAAGAATTTTATTACAATGGAATGTATCAGCAGGCAAAAAAGGCTTCTCAAGATTACCCAAACAATGAAAATATTAAAATATTACTCTCAGTTTCTTATTTGTTAACAAACCACCCCGAAGAAGCTTTGCAGACAGTAGCTAATTTAGTTGGCCATGAAGATACAACGCTACCAGCATTGTTGATCCAGAGTTACGTTCACCGTTCAAACAACAACAAAGATCGAAGCTTAGTTTCTCAGATCGACGCTCAGATTCGCGATGACCGGCGTAAGGCCACAGTCTCTGGTCTCACCAGAGCTGCGTTGGTATTATTACTGCTCAAGAAGTTCGACAAGGCTAAAGATTACGCGGACAGAGCTTACAAATTAAGATCAAATGAGCTCGAGGTGCTGATAATTAGCGGGTGGATTGATTTGCACTATGACAAGGGTAAGAGTATCAATTACTTCAACGCTGTATCTAAAGAGCACAGCAGAAAACTAATTGTGCTTTTGGGTACAGCGAAGCAGTACGAATTGAACCAAGCTCACGAGCAGGCTATTTTAATTCTCAATGCATTAATAGTCCGATATCCAAAAATTTGTCTGCCGTTAGTTGAAAAAATGTACAATCAATTAGCGTTAAAAGATTGGGATCAGGTTATCGAGACTGCAAATAGAATTTTATCCATCGATTCTAACAATTTGAACGGAATCAAAGCCAAGATTGTCGTTGTTTTCATTCGTAATGGTGATTACACCTCTGGCTCTAAAGATATCCAGTTATATTTCCGCAGTTTGTTGTTAGCTGAGCCCAAAAACACAGAAATAATTATAAATAACATAAAATTGTTTACTTGTATAATAAATCGTGATGAAGAAATTCTTCAAGAATTGATAAAAGTAATGGAAAAATTAATCCAGCAAAACTCTGGAGCCAGCGAGCCAATGATTCAGCTGGGTAATATTTTTTTACTGTTGAATAAAATAAAAGAAGCTGAGCATTGGTATCGCAGCGCGATAAGAATCGACGAGTCTTCATTTTCTGCATTAATGGGCCTGGCTCACTGTCAAGTATTGGACCCAACACCAGGTTCTAATGATCTCGCTCGTCAGCAGCTTGATTTTCTCATGGAAATCCAAGCAAACTCTCTAGACCCACGTCTTCATTTTATGTCCTCGCTATTGTGTCACAACGATTCAATCAAAGCGTTAAATTACCTCAACAAGTCCGTGGAGTTAATTTTAAAAAGCATTAAAAATCTTTCTTTTGGTTACAGATATTTGCAAGAACTAAACCCAGATTTTTGCCTAGAAATAGTCAATCACAATTTGACTCACACACCAACATCCAGCAACACTGGACCAAGAGATAATGAAAGCTTAACAGTAGTCTTATTGAACAAAGTCGTAGAAGCCTGTCCCGGTTTTGGAGGCGCTTTGCTGCTGCTTGCAAAGGCCTCAATGCAAAGCGGCGACTTTGAAGAAGCATTGGCTGCTTTAAAAAGGCTTCTGGATTCAGTGGAGCCTTCAAACGCGTCAGCTCACCTGCTGATGGCTCAGATATTCACCCGGCAAGGTGACTATCAATCAGCGTCTGCTAGCCTTGAAGTAGGACTGAGCTACAACTTCAAAGTCCGCGACGACCCGCTGTATCATTTAATCACCGGGATGGTAGAGCGGAAAAACGGTAACTTGGAGCTAGCAATCACGAGTCTACGCATGGCGTTGACTCTTATTGACTCCAGAGATTCTACAATTACTTTATCGCCTTCTGATAAAGCCACTTTGTACTTGGAGCTAGTCTCGGCTTTTAGTGAGTTAAAAAAATTCGATGAAGCCGCGGCGTTGATGACTGAAGCTAAAATGATGTTCATTGGCACTGTGGAGGAGGGTCGCGTGATAATTGGCAATGCAGAGCTTTGTTTGATGACTGGAGATGTTGATAAAGCGATAAGTTATTTGAATGACATCCAGCCGGACCAGCCGTACTATCTCCAAGCTCATACGAGGCTTGCTAATATTTATTTGCACCAACGGAAGGATCGTCATGCATTTGCTAAGTGTTTTCGCGAGCTGGTGGACAATTGTCCGGGTCCTAGGACATTTAGCATGCTTGGAGATGCTTACATGGCGATCCAGGAGCCGGATCGCGCTATTGAAGCCTATGAAGAGTCGTTGAAGAGCAACCCTGATGATAAATTACTGGCGAGTAAAATGGGAAAAGCTTTGGTTAAAACTCACCAGTACGGCAAGGCTATTAATTACTACAAAGAAATAGTTAAGCACAAATCTTGTGGGGATTTGAAGTTAGACATGGCGGAGTTGTTCATGAGGATGAAACATTTTGACAAAGCAGAAGCGGTTCTTATTCAGGAATTGCAGGACGGGAGGACGGCTACTGATTTAGCGAGCTTGGAAATTCGAGGAAAACAACTTTTGATGCTGGCTAAGGTTCGGGAGAGAGCGGGTAATATTCAACTGGCTATTTCGACCCTGAAAGAGGCTAGGGAAAATCAGGTGAGGTGCATGCAGAGAGCTTCTATTGGACAAGGTGTTACGGATCAGAAGCAACTGCTTGTTGAAATTTGTCTAACTCTTGCAGAACATTCTACTGCGATAAGAGACTTTGATGAGGCTATAGGGTATTACAAAGACGCGTTGCAACATCGTCCGAAGGATATTAAGGCTTTGTTGTCGCTGGCTAAGCTTTATATGCAAGTTAATGATCTTGATAAATGCGCACAGAGTTGCACTGCCTTGTTGAATGCTGATCCGAATAATGAAGCCGCTTCTGTGATGATGGCTGATCTTGCTTTTAGAAAAGTTGACTTTGAAACTGCCGCGTTTCATTTTAGGCAGTTGTTGCTGAGGAAACCGACTTACTGGACCGCTTTGGCGAGGTTGATTGAAGTCTCTAGACGTACTGGTGAGTTTTTTGATAATTGTTTACAAGTGGGGTTCACTATTTTTATTTTCATTTTTTTGAACGAAATTTTTGTTTGATTTTATTGATGTTTTTTTTTAAAAACTACATAAAAAAATGAAGAATTAAAAAAAAAAAGTTGATTATCACAATTTTAACAAATTTTCAAAAAAATTTTTACATTTTTTAGAAATTTGTGATATTCAATTTTTTTTTTAAATTATTCATTTTTTTATGTACTTTATAAAATAATATATAGATTAGGGTGTGCCAAAATGTAACTTCCTTGATGGACCTCTTAAAATTAGAATTTTGAGTTCCGCTTTTAACAGGAGTTGTGTTTGGGCATTTCCTGACAAATTTTGGGCGTAAAGGATTTATTTGATTTTTATAGAATTTTTTATCAGGAGTTTCGTTTGGCCATTTTTGCTGGAATTTAAAAATTTCAAAATTTAGCCGAACAAAACTCCCCTGTTAAAAAATTCTATAAAAATCAAATAAATCCTTTACGCTCAAAATATGACAGAAAATGCCCAACTACAACTCCTGTTAAAAGCGGAACTCAAAATTCCAATTTTAAAAGGTCCATCAAGGAAGATACATTTTGGCACACCCTAATATAGATAGATAAATAAGTGTTTTATTTGTATCACAAAAATTATGTGTTTTACAAAGAATATAATTTTAAATATTTAAAGCTATGTGTTTATAAAGCTACAAGAGTTTTTTAAACTTTGAAGTTCTATAAGATAATATAAATGACTATGGTCATATACTTTGTACATGTGTTTATGTGCTTGCGCACTTGTACATTTAACAATCAATTTTATACCATCCCATAATATAAGCCCTCAACTACATTGAATATACTCTCAACATTCTCTCTCTTTTCCTTATTTTATACATACAATTTTTAATTGTTACTCATTTTAACGACATTCAATATATACTTGTTATTCATACATTCCTGCTCTCTATAATCTCTACTGATATTTAAATAATCACTTAAAGTTTTTATTGCTTTTTCTTTATACCATTTTCTATTAGTTTTCGTTCATATTAGTGATACTCTCTACATTCACTTTTTTTTTTTTTTTTTTTAATAAAAAAATATATATCAAAAACATCAAAAGAAGATAAAATAGAAATTTTATCCAAAACATGTGAGTCAAAATTTTTTTTCCTGTCACGACATTTTTTATCATAAATGCGCCGTAAAAACAAGTAGAATAAAAAAAAATTTTTTTACTTAGATATGGTCAAAAATAAGGTGGACCTCCCTTGTAAATAATTACCAGTTTTTTTTATTTTATCATTAATTAAAAAAGCTAATTGAATGATTAATGATTACAGGTAGTATTGAGGACTTGAACGAATGGATTACAAGGGCAGAAGCCGCTACAGAAGGAGCTCACGAAGCTGGGTTCTATTACTGCGCTGGTTTGTTGGATTGGAGAACGGGAAAGTTAAATTCTGCGTTGAGAAATTTTAATTCTGCCCGTCGGGATCCAGAATGGGGTCAGCAGGCAATTTATAATATGATTGAAATTTGCTTGGATCCTGATGACGATTCTGCTTTGTCCAGTGAAGCTTTTAATGAAGAAGATGCTGAGTATCAAGACTCGAGAACTATGGCTTTAAAAACAGCGGAAAGATTGTTACAGGTTTTTTTTTTTTTTTTTTTTTTTTTTTTTTTTAATTTAATCTACAATAATTATATTAATTAATTATTAAATTTTTTTTTTTTGCAGGAATTAAATCCAAAAGGAAGTCCGCATGAAATTTTGACTCACAGACTTTTGAGTAATTTTTTTTTACTATCAACTAAAATAAAAACTAAAATAGAGCAAGCGCTGCAAGACTGCACGGCTTTGGCGAGCCAAGAGACTCTTCGTGATCATGTAGGCCCGGCATTGGGTCTGGCTACAGCTCATATTTTATTGAAACAAACTCCTCGGGCGCGTAATCATCTTAAACGGGTATCTAAAAATGTCTGGACCTTCGAAGACGCTGAGTATCTGGAGAGATGCTGGCTTTTATTGGCTGAAATTTATGTACAGTCGAATAAATACGACTTGGCGAATGAATTATTGAGGAAAGTAATTCAACACAATGCGACGTGTGTTCGTGCTCATGAATTGTCGGGTAGTATTGCGGAAAAAGAACAGAATTACAAAGAAGCTGCGGCTCGGTATGCTCAAGCCTGGAAATTTGGTGGAAAAACAAAACTTTCAACTGGTTATAAGTTAGCGTATTGTTGTTTGAAAAGTAAAAAATATGCGGACGCTATTCAGGCGTGCAATCAGGTTTTGAAACAAAATAGCGATTATCCGAGAATTCGTAAAGATATTTTGGAAAAATCAATCAACAATCTCCGGACTTGAAACAAAAGTTTTTATAAAAATTGTAATTATTCAATGATAATTGAAAATGTTTGGACTTATTGTAATTACATAATTATTTTATTGAAAATAAAAATTTTTAAAAATACATCTATATTATTAAGAGAATAAGCAAAATTTTGTGGCCAATGTATTTATATGATAAAATGGGTTTTTATGGTTAAATTAGGTATCGTTGGAAAAGTCTTGACCGGAAGTTGTGCCTTTTCATGATTTCATATCATTCTCACCAAAGTCAAATTATGATGATAAATATTTATCTCTAAATACATAATTAAGAAATGTCCTTGTATCTTGTGAACTATTGACATTTTTAAAGATATAAGCTCATACCGATGTTACACTCGTCAAGACCTTTCATTTGAGTACCCACATCAATTTTTCATATATTTATATATATTATATATATATGTATATATGAAAAATATATCAAAAATGCATGTGGGTAGTTAAATGAAAGCTCTTGATGAGTGTAGCAACAGGATGAGCTTATATCTATAAAAATCTCAATGGTTGAGAAAGTACAGTGCAATTTAACATAATTAAAAAAATGACCTTGTATCTTGTGAACTATTGATATTTTTAAAGATATAAGCTCACCCGGACATTACACTCATCGAGACCTTTCATTTGAGTACCTACATCAATTTTTCATATATTTATATATATTATATAATATATATGTATATATGAAAAATATATCAAAAATGCATGTGGGTACTCAAATGAAAGCTCTTGATGAGTGTAATATCGGGATGAGCTTATATTTTTAAAAATATCAATAGTTCACGAGATACAAGGTCATTTTTTTAATTATTTATCTAAAAATTTCATTTATTTGTAATTCACAAGTCACGGAAGTCACAACATATTGACTGGTTGCTAGCAAAAAGATTTAAATAAATAAAATTATTAGTTTAAATGTTTATTTTTATTTAACGTTGGATATGTACACGTCATACAATGAATCAATTATAATTATAATTTATAATATTTACAATTAACATAAATCTAATCATATATTTAACGATCAATTTAATTAATTTTTGTGCATTAATATAAATAACTAACACGCAATAACTATTGACGCGTAATTCAACTAATACTGATTCCCCTCAAACGCTACATAACAATTACAGCAATAATAAATAATCAAAAAATAATTACTTTTATTTTTTTAATAGATAAGATGTTAAAAAAATATATATACGTAATTTTTATCTCATTTATATAAAATGATAAAATCCAACGCAGCTTTTTAAATTTTAGTAGTATTAATTTAAGTATTCATGTCGTTAATAATTAGCAGAAACAAGCGAATAAGTAAGTAATACAATAATTGTTTCAAAAGCTGGTTTCTATCAGGAAATGTGTGGTTACACAGAGAGCAATGAAGAGCGCATGCTGGTCTGTCATTTTTTCTTGATAATTCTGCGGCTGGCAATGGACTTAAACTTGGTCTACTTAAATTGACAATTGATTCATGATTATTGTCAATTACCGATGAAGTTTCTGAATTAAAGTACGGATTTTGTGCTTCGACTATATGCATGTGCGAAAGAGAACCCGCTTCTTGAGCAAAAGGATTGTGCAAGCGACTGTGAGTTTGTAATTCCTGATAGTTCATAAACACAGCACCGCAATCGCTGCATTTTAGTGTTTTTTGAGAGCTTTCAATAGGAGTTAATCCGTGATTCTGCTGATACAACTTGCAGCCTGATACAGTAGTATAATTTGCGAGTCCTGAAACCTGGTGATAATATTCAAAGTTATTAAAAACGTATAATTATTATTTTAGAATTGATTAATAAAATTACCCGTGCTGCTGCTTGTCTCAATGCTCTGTCAGCCGCTCGACACTGCTCTCGAAATAAAAGAGCTGACTCTGCTCTTGTCACGCAGCGGTCGCATAATTTTTCCGGCAATCCGTCTCCTTGCCACACCTGAACCAATGTTAAGGATTTATTAGCAATTTATGATACTGAAATTGAGAGAATTTTGATAATTTTTAGAATTTTTTTTAACAAACGAATTATAGCAAGAAAATTTTATTTAAAAACTCCATCTTAAATAATTATAAATGAGATTTTTATAAATAATTTTCTATGCCTAGTTTATTTTTAAAGAAAAATCAAAAAATTTTTAAGTGTCTGCTAACTTCAGTCTCATAGCAATTTTATTTATTGCTTTTGTCATTAAAAAATTATATTACCTCTAAACAAGACAAAGATCGTAATTTTGCAGCGAGTGACGTCTCAGCTGGACCAACAAACAGACAAATCATTTTTTTTCCATCTTCTCTTAAACAAGTTCGACATAGTTTACTGATATTTTCACTATCTATTTGTTTTGTAACAATGAACATTGTTGGAATTTTACATCTAATTTACGGTTAAGGTATTGGATGGAATGAAAATTTTTTAATTAAAATTAATGAGTGAAATGCGGGAAACATAATCAAATATATCAAATACCTGTCAATATTTATTTTGTGTTTTATGTAAATTAATGTAAACAATCAATTTCGGAATGTCACTATTCTCCATAATAATAATAATAATAATAATAAAAAAATATATCTGACAAGTTCAATTTTACGTCGCTAGATGGCGTACAATGTGGTTTATTACGTCAAGTCTTTAGCTAAAATGTATTCCTCTGAGCTTTCGAAAAAACACTTCATGTAAAAATTAATGATGCTGAAGTTATGTGACGTATGATGAATTTCTAGGATTTTTTTTTCAACAAATAAGTTTATAATACTCAAATTATCCGACGTTTCTAATTTTTTTTTTTTTTTTTAATCATTTAGCACTTACAGTTCTTAAATTTTTTTTTAATCATTTTTTTAATGAAAAAATAAATCTTAAAAATTTTTAAATGTCGGCAAACTTAATTTTCATAATAAGTTATAAAAAAATCCCTATGTACAAATTAAAAAAAATTATCAGTGGAAATTTTTGAAGGCATTTTTTTATTATTGTATTTAATTTCATTTGTTATAAGAAATCAAAAAATTTTGATGATATTAAAGTAAGCTATCACTTGACAATTTTTTAATTTTATTTAACAAGAAGATTTGTTCAAAAAAATTATTTAAAAAAAATTGCATTTTTTTTATTTTTTTAAATTTCTCGATGTCAATTTTTTTTTTCTTATTTTTTTATGCCATAATTGGTTTGTTATGAAATTTTTTAAATTACTAAATATGTGCATAATACTAAAGTTAGCCGACATTTTCAATTTTTTAATTATTTTTTATTTATTAAATAAAAACTAAAATATATTTTTAAAAAATTGCACTGATAGTTTTTCAAGTTTTTTACAAGTGAAATTTTTTATTTTCTTCTTTTTTTAATAATTATTCAATAAAAAAATTTCTGAAAGTTTTTAGATGTCGGCTAACTTAATTTTCATCAGATAACTTCAGTTGCATGAAAATTAAATTTATATAACAAAAAAATTTTTTGATTGTTTGCAGTTATGATAGAAAAACTTATTTCCTTCTTCGCCGACGACGTCTGGTTCTCTCACCGAGCAAATCACACTCCGGATAAAGTGCAGAACAGTCGGATCCACCCAATCCAAGAATTGACGCTTTAATTGAGTCAAACATTGCAATCCAGGTTTTTTGTTTCAAAATTTGACCTGATATCCAACTAGTTCCCAAACTGTAATAAAATATTTATATAATCATTAGTAATTATAAAAATAATTCTTAAAAATTAATTATATTATGACCTAGAAGTTAGCTGTCAGCTGGTGATTTTAAAAAGCTTTTATACCTCCAAATTGGTAGCCATAATCGTTGACTACTTGCTGTTTGTACAGAGTATCTGTTATCTCTGCAGAGAGTCCATCGAAGACAACGACCCGAGTCACTGTTAGCAACCATAATTGCTTCAATAGACTGAAGAACTCGATGAGAAAGCTCGTTCAATTCTGCATTGCTGTGATACGGTGGAGCGTTTCGTCGAAACCTTATTGGATCTTCAGTAACAACTGTCGTGGTTCCGGAATTCTCAACAAAAAATTTTACATTTTAGATTAAAATAATTAAGATAATTCCTGTAAGGTATTCAACTAGGAGAGTCCATCGAAGACAACGACCCGAGTCACTGTTAGCAACCATAATTGCTTCAATAGACTGAAGAACTCGATGAGAAAGCTCGTTCAATTCTGCATTGCTGTGATACGGTGGAGCGTTTCGTCGAAACCTTATTGGATCTTCAGTAACAACTGTCGTGGTTCCGGAATTCTCAACAAAAAATTTTACATTTTAGATTAAAATAATTAAGATAATTCCTGTAAGGTATCAATAGTTAATGAAAATTAAGTTAGCCGACATCTAAAAATTTTTAGAATTTTTTTTCATTAAAAAAACTATTACAAAAAAATAAAAAAAAATTTTCATTTGGAAAAAACTTGAAAAACTGTAAGTGCAATTTTTAGAAAATATTTTTTTTTGTTCTAATTTAATTATTGAAAAAAAATAAAAAAATTAAAAACGTCGGCTAACTTTAGTATTATCAATAATTACTGTAATTGACATGAGAAGTTGGATAATGAACAATCCAAAGGCCAAAAATGCCAAGGCAGTCAGCGCTATTTCAAAAAAATCTTTTATTGATAAATCTCCCTTGGATTTGTGGTGCGGAGCTTTATGCCAGTACTCTACTTCTTCCTCAAAGTGGCTGGGAGCGTGATAATGATGTTCTTCGTGAATCACCGGGGCGACATCCTCATGGTGAGAATGATGCTGGGGCGGAGGAGGAGGGTAATGTGGGGAAGAATGATGCTGTGGAGGGCCACTGTGACTGTAATAATGCCCAGTTGGAGAAGAGATAACGTCATCTGGTGAATAATACACTGTTAATAGAGTATATTAAATATATAAATATATATTCTTCTTCTTTTAGATACCATAATCAGAAGAATCGTAATGTGGACTAATTTTATCAGGAAAAACGGGCGCAGGCATTGCGTAGCCCGTTACTTCGCCGTCAAATTCTTCGATTCCGTGGACGTAACTTTGTCCGAATTTCTTTGATATTTTATTTTTCGGAGCATAATGGCGGTAGACGTCATTCAGAGTGGTAGTTCTTTGGATTTAATATAAAAGGTTTTAAAAATCAAATATTAAGTTACTGATAAATATAAAGTAACTTACCTCTGAAGCCAGTCTTTGTATTTACTGCTACCCTCGTCAGATAACATCTTGTCATGTACCGTCACATTTTCATCTCCTAAAAAATCAGGCATTGAATTTGAAGAGGTTGAATCTTGACGTCGTTTAACGCGTATCGATCTCATGTCTTGGAATATCCCTTCAGCCATAAAGCCGTGACACAAATATTCATTCATCCTTTTCCTGTTAAATTTATTTATAATTAACAGTCTTAAAAATTCACAATTATTATCAACAAGCAACTTTGCAGTCACTATGTGACTGCCGTGAATTTTGCTTTATTAAACAATGAGTTTTGTTAAATTAGACTGTATTTTCTTAAATATTGACGTTTTCAAAGATATAAGCTTATTCTGATGTGACACTAATCAAGAGCTTTCATTTGAGTACCCACATACATTTTTGATATATTTTTCATATATACATAAATATAATATATATAAATATATGAAAAATTGATGTAGGTACTCAAATGAAAGGTCTTTAAGAGTGTAACATCGGGATGAGCTTATATCTTTAAAAATGTCAATAGTTCACAAGATACAAGGTCATTTCTTAATTATTGATATTTTCAAAGATATAAGCTCATCCCGAGGTTACACTCATCAAGACATTTTATTTGAGCACCCACATGCATTTTTATATATTTTTCATATATACATATATATATAATACATATAAATATATAAAATATATGAAAAATTGATGTGGGTACTCAAATGAAAGGTCTCGATGAGGGTAACATCAAGATGAGCTTATATCTTTAAAAATGTCAATAGTTTACAAAATAAAAGGTCATTTCTTAATTATTGATATTTTTAAAGATGTAATAAGCTCATCCCGATGTTACACTCATCAAGAGCTTTCATTTGAGTACCCACATGAGTTTTTGATATATTTCTTATGTATACATATATATATAATATATATAAATATATAAAATATATGAAAAATCGATGGGGGTACTCAAATGAAAGGTCTCGATGAGGGTAACATCAAGATGAGCTTATATCTTCAAAAATATCAATAGTTTACGAGATACAAGGTCATTTCTTAATTATATATCTAGAGATAGAGCATTTTCAAATGCAGTCTAAATATTTATCGTCATAAATTGACTATCGGTGAAAATGATATAAAACCTTGAAAAGGCACAACTTCAGGTCAAGACTTTACCAACGACACCAAATTTAACCATAGAAACCCATTTTATCATATAAATACACTGGCCACAAAATTTTTCTTATTCTCTTAAAAATATAGATTAAGATTATAACAGTTGATAATACCTGTGATAATTCATCTGATTGAACGCCGCTTCATATGTCCCATTGATTGTTTCTTGAACTCCACTTTTAACATTTTTATTTCCGTTTAAACTTGACAGTAAAAAACTTCCCGGGAGAAGATCTGCTGACAGGATGTCTTCCTGACTAACACAAAAATCGTCACCGTCGTAATAACACTCGTCTTCCAGACTGTTGGTAATAAATATGAACATAAAAATAAATAAAATAAACATTTTTTATTAAAAAATAAATTTATTATTTCAGTGCGAATTAAAGGAACTTTCTTCAGAAGAGTACTGTTAACAGTGAGTTACTCCCGTTAAAGAGACATCGCTGACACGCTGGTGATTGTAATAATTGTTTTGTCCTCTGGATAATCACTGTCACCGTAACTGACTAACTGCACTTTACATAAATACAAACAGTACCTAAGATATACTTTTAAAATGACATTTTAAGTACGTTAAAAAAATAATTTTTTGATATTGGTTTATTTTTAGAATCAATAATGATGAATAATCTGAATAAGCATAGGGACAAAAAATTAATTCATAATCCCCTTAGACTCTTTTTAGATCCGAGACCAATCAATTTACATTTGGGAATTCGAAACCAATGATTAAATATGAGTTTATTAAAAAACCACTCAGATAGCTCTTATAAATATTTTAGACGGTGGTAAGTCGTAATAGTATATATAAGCAAGCACTGTGGGAGATGATAGGACCTTTTGTGCCCTTGGAAACGTGCTCACCTGTCTAACATCTCTTCTTTTCGTGTGTTCGTGCTGTTTGATAGCCTCGCACTTGAAAGCTTACAACATTAATCGCCCTGTTTCCACAGAGGTGTTTTTATCCCATCTTTTTTCATAAATTCACTAAAAATAAATAATAGTCCGTGTTTAATGGACCTATTTAGGGGGCATTCAAACTGTAAATACGATTTTTCTTATTGATTCATTTTTGTATCCGACAATATTATCAAAAAAATCTGATAGATTTATAATTTTCCTCAACTTGGAATATTTGATTAATCACTTCTATATAATTGGAATGTCATCATTTTGATGAGTATATATATATTAATAGTTTATTTTTATTTGCAAGTTTTTGTTATTATAGTACTTACATTTTAGCACCCTGCAGGCTGGAAGAAAAAATTTATTTACGAGAGTGCTAAAAGATTGAATTCCGTTTAAAGCCATTAGCTCACCTGTACAATAAATTTGTTTTGTGATTTTTCATATCTGCAAACTACCAGTTACGTTTATGGGCGTTTACATCCAAGTAAGCATGCGCAGAAATTCACCAATCCTAAAATTTTATAAAATTAGGCAAGTATTTTTTTTTTATATATAATCTTATTTTTATTATTATAAGTTATTGGAAAAATTAAAAAACAATTTTATACTTTGAATTAATAGATATATTTTAAAAATACAGGAATATAAAATGAAGAAAAGGAAGAATACCCAGCAATCAAGAAGTACAATCAAAGATAAAATTAAAAAGAAGAAAGATATTATAAGTAGCAACCTTGCAGTCACTAGTTGACTGCCGCGACTTGTGAATTATAGATAAATAAAATGTTGCTTTATTAAATAATGACTTTTGTTAAATTGCACTGTACTTTCTTAAGCATTGATGTTTTTAAAGATATAAGCTCATTCCGATGTTACACTTATCAAGAGCTTCCATTTGAGTACCCACATGCATTTTGATATATTTTTCATATATACATATATATAAATATATAAAAAATTGATGTGGCTACTCAAATGAAAGGTCTCGACGAGTGTAACATCGGAATGAGTTTATATCTTTAAAAATGTCAATAGTTCACAAGATAAAAGGTCGGTCATTTCTTAATTATGTATCTAGAGATAGAGCATTTTCGAATGCAGCCTAAATACTTATCATAATAAATTGACTATCGGTGAGAATGATATGAAATTTTGAAAAGGTACAAATTGAAGTCAAGACCTTTGCAATGACACTAAATTTCACTAAAAAAACCGATTTTATCATATGACTATCCTGAACACAAAATTTTTCTTACTCTCTTAATAATATAGATTTATTACAAGGATATTTGAAAGAAAATTTACAATTTTTCATTTTTAGAATCAATTAGTTGATGTAGATTACAGTTTAAATAGAAAGTATACTTTGAATATACTAAGTAAACATAAAATCCTGGTATATTATCAAATGACAGAGTATACAGAGTAGAGCATAAAAATTTAGAGAAGAGAATAAAAAAAGCGATGATACAGGATATGAGTGGAAGAAAAATGGTGAGACATGTTAGTGGGAGTAGTGTTGTCGGTCGCTGGGATTTTGAGGGTGAAGATTCGACCAGTCTCCTTCATCATAAAGCGGACTAAGTGGGGAAAGAACAACATAGGGTAGTTTGTTAGCTGGACTACAAACACGTGCCGCCTGTCATACCTTCGGTAAGATCTTCTCTCTGGTACCCGACAGAGAATTAGTAATAGATTAGCTGGTGACGCGATAACACTAACCAGATCAACATATTGAGTTTTGTAAACATGAGTTGTGATAAATACTAAAATTTAATTGTTTACAGTTGACATTAAACAGCTTCTTGAATAGATAAAAAATGAAAGAAGATCTTGACATGTCGAGCCAGTTCTCGGAATATCCGGGGTACTGTGATTCCAGTGATGAAAGTGTAATTACTGACCAGAGAAGTGATCCACGCGCTGTTTCTTCGCCGATATCCAGTGCTTTTTCTATAGACAGCATACTTGGGAAGAAAGATCACCGGAAAAATGAATCCGAAGTTGAATTTAATGACAAAAGTGATAAAAGTTATCAGGAATTTAAGGAACAAGCTCATGTTATACGACCGCTAGCAATATCTTCTAATCCTGCGAATTATTTTTATGAACATGGTAAGAAATTAATTTTTATTTTTGAGGGGTTGTTCTGATCTTGAAGCATGTAATTTCAGGTAATTTTTGAAGTGCCGTAAAAAAGGCAATTAATAGTAATAGAATAAAATTTTATTTATATCACCATATTTAATGTTTTACAAAACTGTTACTATTTTACATTTATAATAATCATTTTTTAACCTTTTTCTTTGGTCTTACTTTCTTATAAGTACACACCACACTCTGTATAATAATATACTTGATTTTATTGCATCCTCTTAATTTAGTTATCTTTAATTTAATCTAAAATATCACACCCTTTACAGCTTTTATAACAAATAATAATTTTTATACACAAAATTACTAGTTTTACATTTCTGTCTAACTCTTCTATTTAATTTTACCAAAAAGGCAATTAATATTTTCACTATACATTTTTTTTATTTATTTGTAAAGAAATGCCCTCGGCAATTTACAACAATATTTTACATTTTCATGTGTAGAATGTTTAGTAATGATTTTATAAAATAAATAGCATCTGTAAAGAGAAGATAGATTTAAGAAATTCAAAAAATTTTTTTAATAAAATATGGTGTAAAAATATAAAAAATAAAAAATAAAACTACGGTGATTTCCAAATTAAAATTTTTACTATTTTAAAAAAATTCGAAAAAATCCAAAAAAGAAGTAGAAAAAATTTTTTTTTCAACTTTTCCGTAGTTCTAACCATAGCGATATTACTCTAGATTAATAATCTTTTTTATTTTTTTGTTTCCGATTGCTAGAAGGATTGGAATCATGATGGGTATAATCACGTGCCAATTTTTTGAGACCCCCTCCCACTTCATCAGCTGTTAATTTTTTGAATTTTCAACTTTTCTTATATTTTTCTATATTCTTCTAATGTTAATAAATAACTTATAGAGAAATGTATACTAAAAATATTGATTGCCTTTTTTTTACTTAAAAAATTACCTGAAATTTCATGCTTCTAGACCAGAATACCCCGTTAACATTATTAAAGTTTTAATAATAAATTTTTTTTTACTAGGTGCAAATGAAAGTTATCCAGCCTTTGAAGGATTAGGAGATCCTGGATATTCAGCTTCATTAGCCTCAGCTTCTTTTATCTATACAAATTGGTTTAGTCAAAATAAAACAAACCCATTATTTGGGCTTCAAGGTAATTTTTCGATCTTTTTTTTTTTTTCATATACTTGACTATAGAAATAAATAATGAATTTATTATATTTGTATAAGAGATATAACTTATTGCTGACGAGGTTCACCGTTCATGAACAATAGAAAAATGAGTTAAGGGTGAAATTGAAAGGGAATTAGATCCTACAAGAACCTATTTACGCTGTTATACTCACCTCGCACGCAAAGGGATCATCAATATCTCTAAAGAATTATTTTTCTACCTTTCAGTCGCGTGTTTATTGCAACACCCACTTGAACTGCCGGATCTTCAGAGTTTATTTCTCATAAAAATTAATTTAATAGTTTTATTACTAATGCTTATAACTTGCAATTTAAATTATCATCTGAAACATTAAATTTTATTTATTTTTTTATTTTTAAACCATAAAATATCGTGATTTTTTTGAATATTGTATTGGGCATTTACGTTTTCACTCCCCCTGCGGGATCCATCATGTTAGAATCTCATTTATCAGCGTCGTTTCTCTAACTATCTTCCATAGAAGTGCTAAATGTCTCAGCACACTCGTAAATCTTTTCTTACCTCTCGTCTTTCATAGAAACACTCATAGAATACATCAGTTTTAGAAAAATTGTATGACCAAGTCATACAGATTGATTTTCAGCGTCAATAAATTCAATTATTATTTAAAAAAAAAATTGATTCTAACGATAATAAAATAATTAATTGTCTTTTTTTGAACACCTACTTAAAATAGAAGACAAAAAATTGTTGATATGTTGGCTAAACACGCGACATTCGATTGTTTACTGATTGTTTGAACACCTTTAAGTTAATTATCGGAGTAAACTACACACACGAACAGGAATTTACGTATCTTGAGTGGCCTTTTTATGTTAATAATATAATAACGTTAAAAGAGACGCTGAAAATCCTAAATAAATATTTAATAACGATTGTTTATTTTTTTATTACATTGAAAATATCTTCAAATATAAACTTATGTACATATATCACGCGTTTTAAAGTGTATTAATAATTTCTTTGTGTGACATCTTTTATCCCGATATTTATTGCTATAAGTAACTAATACGGAAATAATATATTTTCACACTTTAATGATAATCGTCAAGCATATAGATTTACAGATGTATTCTTCTTTCTCATAAAATGTCATCCAACATCCATTAAAAGTTCTCTTCTTCAAACATTAGATTTTTATTTAAAACTTTGCGTTTTATGAAATCTTATTAACATGATAATTGGTCGCTCATCAACTCTAGGATTCAATATTTACCTTGAATACAATATGAGATGTCTTAAAAATTATTTTTTATATTTTAAGCTCCAAAACCAAGTGGAAGAAGATCGAGAAAACCTGGAATAGATCGCAAACCAAGACAAGCTTATAGTGCCAAACAATTGGAACGACTTGAAGCTGAGTTTAAGGTATGATACTGAAATTGACAGACATTGGAAATTTTTTTATAATTTTATAGTAATTAAATTATTATAAAAAAAAATTAATTAAAAAATTTCACATGTTAAAATTTAACAAAAAGAATTATTAGTCAAAATTTTTTTATTGTAATTGATTTTTTATAAAAAAATTGACAATTGTCAGCTAACTTTAATAATGACAATAAAGTTAGCTAACATTTAAAAATTTTTAGAATTTTTTTTATTGAAAAAATCATTACAAAAAAAATTTTTTTAGTTCTAATCTAATAAATTAAACAAAATTAAAAAATAATGTCGGCTAACTTTATTATTATACTTTAGTATCATGCTTAAATTTGAAAAAAAATTTATTTAATTGTAAAAAATTTGTTGTAGGTTGACAAATATTTGAGCGTAAGCAAACGAATGGAATTATCAAAAACATTGAGCTTAACAGAAGTACAAATAAAAACATGGTTTCAAAATAGGCGAACAAAGTGGAAAAAACAGCTGACTTCTCGATTAAAAATAGCACAAAGACAAGGTACTTTTCCACCTGCATATCTTACACCTACGCAATATCCTCTGCTACCTTACTACGTGTCACCTTTGATATTCAATTCTTCTTCTTCTGACGAGATCATGTCTTCCTCAATTGTAGTCAATCAGCCAATCTCCGAGGAAAGGCTCTAATTAATACTAATCTATTTTTAATATTTTTATGCAATAAATGGTACCGCTAGAATTAAGTACTCACATATATATCATTATTTCTTAAAAAAATATAACAATTATATTATAAGAAATATTTATTTATAAAATGTTCTATAACAAAATGGCATACCTTTCAATGTATTATAAATTATAATAAATGTATAAAAAAAATTAATTACTGAATTAAATGACTCCTGATAGTTTTTTTTCATTAGCTGAGTCGCTTTTTATCATGTTTGGAATAAAAATACTGAGAAAGCCGGCAGCTGAAATATTTAAATAAAATAAATAATTCTATAAAATTAAAATAAGACTTTTTAATTTACCTAGTAGATGTCCAGCAATAATTAATACCAATGAGTAACAATAATGATTGATCAAATGGCCTACTAATAAGCTTCCAACTAGCGCTCCGAATCTTCCACATAAATTTATAAAGAACGTTGCGCTGATCCTTTGGGATTAAATATTTTTTTTTTAATTAAAAGAGTATTAAATAAATTTAACTGATTATTTTTCTATACCTCAAGTGAGTTGGATAATTTTCTATAGTAACAGAAATTATAAGTACGATGCTTATTGAAGCCAGTAGTTCCGAAAGAGAGAAGACGATGAAATTCTCGGTTGAATTGTTTACCAGCAAAAAACTAGCTCCGAAAATTCCTCCGGCTATACAATAAGTAACTGCAAAGTCAACAGGATGTTATTAAAGTGTAAAAATAAATGTTTAAAATTTATGACACTGAAGTTGACAGACATTAGAAATTTTTTTAGAATTTTATAGCAATTAAATTGTTATAAAAAAATTTAATTGAAAAGTTCTACGTGTGAAAATTAATAAAAATTATAAGTGAAAGTTTTTAGAAGCATTTTTTTATTGTAATTAATTTGTTAAAAAAATTTTTTTTAAATTCCACGGATAGTTTTTAAAATTTTCGACATGTGAAAATTCTTGTTTTAATTTTTTAAAAATTATTTTTCAATAAAATAAATTATCAAAATTTTCAAATGCCGGCTAATTTAATTTTCATAATTTAGCAGACGTTTTTAATTTTTTGATTATTTTTCATTTATTTAATTAGAACTAAAAAATATTTTTTAAAAATTGCACTTGTAGTTTTTGAAGTTTTTTACAAATGAAATTTTTTTTTATTGATTTGTAATGATTTTTTCAATGAAAAAAAAAATTATAAAAATTTTTAGATGTCGGCTAACTTAATTTTCATTCAGTATTATTAAAATTTAATAAAAAGAAAATACATACTGAGACACCATCTTAATCCGAATTTATGAACAGAAAAAGTAGCTAGTAGTGTCAGAGGAACCAGTCCTGATGCTAGAATTATATTATGCGTGTACGATACTGAGTGTAAATCAGACTCACAAACAGCTTTTGATTTATTATTTAATTGCAATATTATTTGTCTGGAAATAGTACAAATAGATGCTGTTGTATTCGGAAATTGTTCTTCGAAGGTAGCAAACCGCTCAAAAACTTCTCCATGCCAGATTAACATCGCGTAGTACGAAAACATAACACTGTAAGCTATGATAATTCCAATCAATGTCATTCTTAAAAATTGGGGCTTAAATAAACTTGCTACTTGACTCCAATACTGTTTAATCATTTTACTGAAGATGATATGTTTTGCTGTTTCATCTTCTGAGTTAGTAAGTAGTTCAGTAATTGTTTTGGTTTCCAGTTGCTTGAGTTTTTCCTGTAAAAAATTAGTTTTTAATTATATAAATACTTGATGAAAATTAATTTAGCAGATATTTAATAATTTTTTTAACGAATAAACTATGGCCAAAAAAAAGTAAAAAAAAAAAAAAGTGACACGTAGAAATTAAAAAAAATGCAATTTTTTTAAAATAATTTTTTGGAAAAAATCTATTTGTTAAAAAATGATCAAGTGACTGGTAATTTTAATCTCATAAATACTTTTTCAGTCAAGTCAAAATTATAAATACATACTGTGAAATTTTGCTCTGAATTTCCAGTGTTTTCTCGGTACATTTGATTCAGTAGTGCCATCAGTCGTTTATTTTGGCCAGTTTCGGCTAGATACTTTGGCGTTTCCGAAAAAAATATCAGCCACAAGGCAATTATCGGTGAAAAAAGTGAACATATTGAAAGGTAAAGATTCCAGGAGTTGAAAATAAAGTATGCTGGAACACCCAAGTCGATCTCCAATGGGATTATTGCCCAGCCGATGCCTTAAATGTAAGTAATTATTATAAAATCTCTATTTAACCTTAAATTTTTAATGAAACTGAAGTTAACTGACAACTGTCAATTTTTATAATTTTTATAAATTACATTAAAGGTAGCAGGCTATTTTTTAATGAAAATTAAAATAGCAGATATTTAATAGTTTTGAGAATTTTTTTTATTAAATAAATCAGTGCAAAAAAAATTGACGCAAAAATTTAAGAAAATTAAAAATGCAATTTTTTAAAAATCATTTTTTGGAAGAAATTTATTTGTCAAAAAAATAATCAATTGACTGCTAACTTTAATGTCGTATTTTTTAATTTTCTATAACAAAAAAATTTGTTCCAAAAATTATTTAAAAAAATTCCATTTTTAATTTTTTTAAATTTCCAAGTGTCAATTTTTTTTTTTCCATTATTTATTTGTTAAAAAAAATTCTAAATTGTCATTTTTTATAATTGTAATAAATAAATTACAATAAAAGCTTTAAAAAATTTCGACTAATAATTTTTTTATTAATTTTCAAACGTAAAATTTTTTTTATTAAATTTTTTTCATAATTCAATAGCTTTAAAATTCTAAAAAAATTTCTAGTATCAGTTTTAACTTCAGTATCTTTAAATCGTTTGCATTATTACCTGCGGCGACAATTAAACCGATAGCCCAGGGGACTTCCAAAGAAGTAAGAAGTTTATTTCTATATTTCAATGGCTGAAATTCACTAAAATATGTATACGCTAAAGTTAACTGTCCACTTGACGCAATTCCCGTGAAAAATTTACAACATAAAAATCCATAGTAATTAGATATGAATGAAGCAGTTAGGTCTGCGAAACCTTGAAGAAAAATACTAGTGGTCAGAGGTATTTTTCTTCCCTTTATTTCGGCGAATATGAACCAGAAGCACTGACCAAATATCAATCCTAAGAACAAACAGATGATTGATAAACTACACAGGAAAAATGAATTTACTTTTTTCTACTCTTCACTTACCTAACAACTGCACAGCTGGCATGTAACTCTGGGTAATTGCTGATAATTCAAAATCACAAACTGCTGATGGAAGGATTAATCCATTGGTTCCTAATCCAATCGCAGTGTTCATTAATACTGAAGCGGTTACTATGTATATCTTCCAGTTGAACCAACCAAATCCTAAAATTTTTAATTACATTCATCAGGATTTTATTAATTTTACTGCATTTAATAATTTAATACCTGTTTCAGTCAAAAGATTTTCTACAATTTCTTCATTGATTTTTAAAAGTTCCATCACTAAAAAATATTTAATACAGAATTATTTTTTGTGATAAATATTTTTGTAAAATTATCTTTACCGTAACTTTTAAAAATTTTTAAAATATATGATTTAATTTATTTAAAAAAAAATCAATATATTTATAATTTATTATAGCTCTTTGATAAATATTATTTATCTGATTTCTTCTTCAACTATTTTTATTTTGAGTTACTGTCACTTAATTACTAATCGAACATTAGAACAAATTTTGAAGAAATAAACGAGCTAGTATAGTACCATACACTTAGAAAAGTAAAAAGTCTTTTATCATCTTCAATAGATATGAAAGACTACTAAAGTCAATAGATATGAAAGACTACTAAAGACTAAATAAAGTCAATAAAATATATAAAATTAGACAATTTTATAACACGTAATATATATATTTTTTTTTTTTTTTTCTATAATAAAAAGTATTTAGATTTATTATATTTGTTTTTACGTTTTCAAAACAAATAGCTACCTTATCTATTTTAAATTAACTTGAGGATGGGAACAAATAATATTTGGTTTCTCATAGTTAAAAAAATACTTACATAGATATATCGCGATGCCAGATAAATATTTTTAATAAATAGTAAATAAAAAACATACCGTAAGTATTAGTATACTCCCAAATTAATGTACCGATGTCTTCGCCTGCTGGGATCTGACTTAATAAGAAGTTTGATAAAAGACAAACTGCTCTAATTGTTTTGATTGCTCAATAATTTGACTAATGGTCTTTTTATAAAATTCAACAAAGAGAATTAAACTAAATTAATATTTTATGGTAGTAGTAAAAATATTTCGTAACATTCATTGTATTGGATCAAGCTTATTATATATTTATATATAAGATATATAATATAGATATACATATGTAGTGAACACCACATAAAATAATTAATACTACTGATCGATCAGGTTCGGGAACTTTCGTTTATAGTCGTTACGGAAAATTTTTGATCGCCTTCATATGAAAGAGTCAAGATAATTAACTACAATTAACTGATAGCGTTAAAGGCTAATACATGCGTTTTTAAATACATACTTGTTAATGATGCCGAATATTACATGTTATGAATAATATTTACGTTTTATTATGTAACGAATTTAAAAAAAGCGATTGCGTGGCTTTTTGTTTGAAAAGATTATTTTTATTTTTCCTTAATACAATCTTGGTTACTTAAGCATAAAAATACATAAAAAAACTTAATCTTCTATTCTTAAATTAAAGATAATTAACAACTGGCTAGTACTTGCTAGATCTCGTTGCTTATATAAATTGTTTTATAGCTAAAACTAAAATATTTTGATATGACTTTGTTGTTTGGTTTAACACTTAATGGTTAGCACTAGGAGTTTAGTAGATGTTAAAAATTAGGAATTAAAAAAAAACATCTGAGACTTTAAAGGGAGATGGAGATTGGACAGGAATTAGGAGTTGGATATGGAGGGGGAGAAGATGATAATATATTACATATTTACAGGTATTTACATTATAGTGCACAATTAACTAGTTGGTAGTTGTGTGAGTCCTGTTTTGCAACTTTTAGCAACAGAATGTGTAACGGGTACTTTTTGACCAATTTTTACCCCCGGCTCGATTTTAAGCTCGCCGGAGTCCAGGATTCTAACGAGGGTAATTTCTAAATTAATCAAACTAGATATTTAATTAATATTAACAAAACAAAACCTCTTTATTTCAATAAACCAAAACATTAAACATTATACAAAGAAAAATGGCGAATAATCAAACTAAACCCATACATACACGGCGTTTACAATTTCTATTACCGTCGTCGGTAATATCATACTCCCGTCGCTTACAAAATCGCGTCGCTAATTCCCTTCCGTCGGCCCTCTGGTGCCCAGCTCCTGACGGGTGACTAGCGCCGCCCCGCAGGCCCTACTTCGCGATTCCCAAGGGAAGAGTAAATAGAATCCACCTCTCCCCCACCTACTCGGCTGGGGTTGCCACCTTTTGGCTGAAGGCCTCCAGGTGGAGAGTCACCTTTACTCGTAGGTAGATAAGTTCACTTACCTGTGGTAGTCCGCACCAGGTAGAGAGAACTCTCTTTAATTTCCTTGGCCAGAAGTCTCCAGTCAAATAAATTAAACCCAGAGAAAGGTTGCTCAACGGCGGATAATTTTTGGGCTTTATCAACCCAAAAATTATTAATAAAAGCGAAAAGTATTGGCGAATTATCGCCACCTATCGCTCGCCGTCGAACTTCGGGAAATCCCCGAAAATTTATAAATTTTTAATTAAATTTAAAAAAATTAAATGTCAGATTCATTCAAACAATTCATCAGATTACATCAATTTCAATCAAATTACAATTCCATACAATTTCTCATCAGAACTTAGAAAAAATAATTTTAAAACAAAAATAATTATTTTACCGAAATTATTTCCCATACTAATTTAATTTCTAGGGCTTAGAAAAATAATTAATTGGATATTTCGAATTTATTCGAAATATTTTAATCAATTAATTATTTTAGATAAAGTAAATTTTTGTTCTTTAAAAGAACAAAAATTATCGTGACGCGGATTCGGTTATATTAGCTCGGCGATTTTTATCGCGAGCGAACCGTCGACGCCATCCATCGCGCGATGGCGAACTACTAAATTCCTTTATACTTTTTAGCCGTCGTTTAAAATAATTTTAATAAAGAAATAATTATACACAAAAAATAATACATGGATTATTATTATTATTATTATTATTATTAATAATAATAATCGTCGTAAATAAATCATAAAGTAACCGAAACTCGTCAAAGTAATTAATTCAATTAATTATTTTAAACGACGTTTTAACCGATAATTAAATTAATAATCTTTCAATAATACTTTTAAACAATTAACAATAGTAATAATAATACTATTAATTAATAATAATTAACAATGAACAAAAATATTTAAACTCCTAAACAGAAAATAAACTTATATACATAAATGCCGTGGCACGGGTAGTCGACGCGGTCGCGGTAGCGATGGCTCGTTCGGTCCGTCGATGAGTCCCATCTCTCGTCGCTCACGACACCCCTCTGCCTTCCCGCTTATAATACCTTCTTCACAAATGTTACTGGTGATCATCATGGTCCCATATTGATCTACGGCGTATCTCATCCAGATGGACAGCATCATTTGCCAGCCACCAGTAGCATTCAGAGAGTCTGTTTCTATCTTTGATATCAACAGGAGGCAAGGCCGTGGAGAAAACGAAATTGTTATAGGACTGATGGTCCACTTTAAGAGTTTTATTTTTGCAGTGCCGGTTTTCGTGATATATAATTGGCAGATTATTTTCATTCTGCAATAGACCTCTATTGTCACAGAAGGTGAAAATTTCTGGCATTATGTAGCCTGTGGCGCAGTGTTCAATGCTTATGTTGTCACTTGGACAATATAAGTTTTTAATAATGTCATTATCGATGTTCATATAGTTGGCGAAGTAGTTTCTGCACAATTTCAGATAAAAACATTCAATCCTGGTGATGTTTGCCATTTTGTAAATATTTACATTGCTGATAAATTCAATGTAACCAGTTTCTGCCTTTCTGTAGTGCCTTAAACAGGAGCGAAGAGCTGAACGTTCAAGACGGCGTAGTTTTTCCATAATAGTTGGACTCATATTCCAGAGCACTGGAGCTGCATATATTAAGTGAGGTCTTATTAATAATTGATAGCAAATAAGCTTGGCTTTAACTGATAGATTTTTGTTATAAAAGATTCTTGAATTACTTCTTATTGCATTTCTAGCTTTTATCAACTGCAGGTTGTGATGCTTTGTCAAACGTATTAGATGATCAAGCGTAACACCCAGATATTTGACTGTTTTTTCTACTGGTATATTGGTACTGATGTTCTGACGATCGGCTATTGTAATTTTGGCATTTTGCACTCTTTTGTATTGGGACACTTTAAGTTGCTTACACGGTCTTCTGAAGAAAACTATTTGACTTTTGGCTCCGTTGATTCTTAGGTTCCAGTTTAAATAGTGTCTGTTGATTTTGTTGACACGATCTTGTAGTTTATAAGTGATGTTGTCAATGTTTGAGTCCGCCACGTAAATTACTCTGTCATCGGCAAATGAAATAGAGGCTATTCCATCTGTCTCCAGCATCGCTGCTTTGTTGGTGCCGCTGTCAAAAATGTTAAATAGGATTGGCAAAAGAACTCGTCCTTGCTGCAGTCCTTCAATAATTTGAAAGACCTCATTGGATAAGTTAACTCCATCCCAAGTATAGAACTGATTGCCAATCAGCATATCAATGATTAAGAAGACAAGTCCCATTGGGAATTTTTTTCTACTCAGAATATAGATCAGGCCATTGATCCATACAGAATCAAAGGCCTTCTCTAAATCTAGAAAAGCTGCACCGACCACTAGGTTGTTGTGTAGGCTCTTGTTAATATCAGATAGAAACTTGTTGAGAGCATGTGTTGTTGAGTGCTTACTCCTGAATCCAAATTGGTTCTCTGGTATCAATTTTTTGTTATAAATAATTAAATCAAGCTGTTGCTTGATTAACCTTTCAAAAATTTTGCTTATACTCATCGTAAGACTTATGGGCCTATAACTCTGCGGTGCCTCCAGGTTTTTATCCTTTTTGGGGATGGGAAGCACCTTGGCGACTTTCCATCTTTTTGGATAGTAGGCTAAGTTGATTGAATTGTTGAATAGGATGGTGTAATCTTTGATAACTATTTCGGGCAAATTTTTGAGCACTATTGTTGGTATGTTGTCTAGTCCAGAGAAAGTTTTATTTTTAAGTTTCTTGAGAATTAGTTGAACTTGTACATAGCTATATAGCTGAATAAAAACCTGGAGTCATCATCTTGGTTAGTTGGGTAATAGGCACGGTTGGTGTTGGAGAATTCGACAAAAGACTTGTTTAGGAGCCTCATGTTGTCTTTCAATTTTTTAGTCTGTTCAGCAACTTTATCAATATCAATTTTGTTGATCGTTCCCAAATTGGAGTATCTAGGAGCGTTGATGCTTTCTAGATACTTACCTATGATGTATAATTTGGTGTCCGCATCTGTGGCGATCAGTTGATTATTATTGACTAGTTCTGGGAATTTAGACATAAAATGTGAGTTCAGTTGACTGTTATCGTTGTTAATTTTAAGTGTGTTAATACTGATTTCTTTCCTCTGTCTCAGCATTCTGTTGATTTTTGGGAAGAAATCTTGTGGCTTCTTATAGTTGATAGATTTCACTTGGGCTTCCCAATATGCAGTGACTGTTTTTTTGAACTCTCTTTGAATTAAAGTGTTAATTCTTTTAATGATGGCTTTGATTTTTATTTTTTCTTGGGAACTAACTGGTATATTTTTGAATTTTCTTCTGATGAGGAAAGATTTATAAGCATGAAGTTTATTGATTTTTCTGTTGCTGTATTTTATGAAGTAATCATCTTTTTTCTTGATGGTGGGAACAGTTGCTTGGATGGAGTTAACTATTTTGTTTTCTAGTTCTATGATGTGGTTGTCAATCTCTTCGATAGACAAGTTTCTATCATAAGGGACTGAGCATTCATCTGTATAGTTATCCAGTAAGTTTCTTCCAAATTTATTCCAATTAGCTTTCTTGTAGTTTAATGCTTTACGATTACTATCTTGGTTGTGAGTAAAATCGGTTGACTCTACTTCTATGAAGATTGTGAGTGAGATGGCCCAGTGATCACTATCATAAGGAAGCGTAATCAGTTTACCGTTGATTAGATCTTCGACATCAATTCTCATATCTATTAAGCAGTGATCTAGATATGATTTTATTTTAGCATTGTGGAATGTAGGCGTACTCGGTGGTATCATAGATATTTTATATTGAAGATAATTGGCTTCTAACCAATCTACCAGCTGATCGCCTCTGTTATTTGAATCAACATCACCCCATGAGATATGTTTGGTGTTAAAATCTCCTGCAATTAGATAATAATTGGATGCATTGTCTAGTTTAAATTCTCTCATTAATTTGTTAAGTTCGTTGATGAAAGTTTGACCATACTTCTGTGTGGCATATATGCTGATTATTATTAAATTAGCTTTGTTACTTATTTTAATTTTAATTGCTGTATATTCGATTACTTTATTTTTCAGTGAGTGCGGATAGTGAATTGTTGTAAACTTTAATTTGTTGTGAATAGCTATGGCTGTACCTCCACCTTTGGTGGAGTTGGGCCTATCAGTTCTGACCAGTTAATGGTTGGATAGTTGGACTTTTTGGTTTTGGTTTAATTTTGTTTCTGATATTAGACATAGATCGATATTGTGGTTATCGATAAATGTTTGTAGATCATATCTGCGTTTTATAGAGCCAATTGAATTGGCATTTATTGCTGCAATTTTAATTTTCAGTGTAGGTGTAATATCCATTATTCGGTTTCAAAAAACGCGGCCATTATTTGGTCAATTCTACTGGAGTTGGAGTTAACTTTTTCATTCAATTTTTTGAATTCTTTAACTATATCGTTTTTAAACGATATTAATAGGTTCTCTAGGTGAGATGTATCGTTGCCAAGATTTTGTCTGGTCGTAGTTGATGCTGGCTCAGTTCTTGGGTTTTGCATATTAAAATTTACACCTGCTGCTGTTGGACGCGCTTTTGGTAGGCTTGGGAAGTGTCTTGAACTAGTATTGTCAGTAATGTTGGCAAATGATTGAGTTGGAGTGACATAGTTGTTGATGGACTCCATAATTTTTTTCCTTCTGGCTTCGTCAATTTTTCTTTTATTTAGTCTGACTTTGGCAACTAATTTAAGGGCTGGACAGCCCTTATAGCTGGCTGGATGATCTTTTTCGCCGCAATTGATGCATTTTTGGGCCGTTTTATCCGTTGCTGTAACTACCGTACAGGTTTTTGTTTCATGTGGACCCGCACATTTGGCGCAGGCGGGTTCCATATTACAATTAGCACTGGAGTGTCCAGTTTGTTGACATCTGGTGCACATAAAGAGAGCTGGTCTTTTGAGTCTTTCCCATCTGATTATTTGGGACAGTAAGGTTTTTTGCCTCATTAGCATCGCCAGATTGCTGTCAGCGGATGCTGAGACTAGAAAGTGATATAAGTGAGGCTTGGTTTTATCGAAAATTAGTTTACTCACTTTTGTTATTGTTGTGTTAGGTAGATTAAAGGCTATCAGCGCATTTTTGACGTCGATTTCGTCATAGCCTCCTCTGACTCCTTTCAAGGCGACTGTCTTGACTTTGAGGTGACGAGGAGTGTAAGTGAAATATTGTATTTTCTGCTTTTCAAGTTGCTTTTTATATAGCGTGTAAGCATCCATATTATTTGGTATCACTTTTGAGTAGGATTCGTCAAACTCTTTCACAGTAAATTCATTTGCTGCGATTCCATTAGATGTGAGGAAAGTTATTACTGTTTTAATGCCTGTTATATTAGCATAGATAGGTGGTGGTCTTGTCTTGGCAGTTTTTGGAGCTGCCTTGTCACTTGTTGGATTGGCGTTATTGTCTTTTGACTCACCTTTGGCATTCCTTTTGGTAGATTTAGCTTTACGAGTGTTTTTCTTATCAGTTTCTATATTCATCTCCGATACCTCACTATCAGTTAATGCTGCATAATGATTTTCCGTTGATATATTTTATTTAGTTGGGTCATCTTTTCTGTACCTAGCACGTTTCCGCGGTTCAACAAAATCTTTTTTTTTTTTTTTTTTTTTTATAAAATAATACAATTACAAGGCGTTGGTTTAAACCAATGTAGCCAACGTTTACATATTAGAGGTTTACAATGTACTTTATCGTTATGACAGAACAGATGATGTTTATATTATAATAAAGTTAACAAGAAATATCTGTGGGTAAACTAGATAAATAGGTTATCACAGTATGGTCATTTTAACATGTTTTGAAATTTACTAATGAGATTAAAGTTAACATTTTATATTAAAACATTGCGCAAACTAACTAAGTAGTAGTATCACAGTATCATATAAGTATAATCTAATTTATCACATATTTAATTTAGACTTAATTTAACAAAATCTTTTTTTTTTATTGAAAATAAAGGCCTTGGTTAAACCAGTGCAGCCAACTGTTACATAGTTAATACACTTATTATAAGTCGATATCGCGCTTTTAGCGTTACATTTAAAAATACATATAAAGGTAGACGCTTATAAAAATATACATGTTTAAAAAACATCTGTCATTTAAACAATATTATAAATAACTCTCAACGTTCTTATATAAATATTGTAATAATTTAACAAAGATAACATTATATTAGGTACTAAGCTTTTTAACCATTATTTGAGATGCTTATTGTACGGTTATCTAAAAGACTTTATATGACAATCACCGTTTAAAAAAGATAACATTCATCTCTTTAAATAAAACCAAATAATCAACAATTATTTATGTTATTTTGCATTTTTTAAAAACTATAAAGATATTTAATATCTTTAAATCATATACATATGTCAATTTTGTTCAAAAAAATATGTAATACTCTGACGATCTCGTGGCTCAAGCAATGAAGTAGAGATTCGATACAGTAAGGACCCACACCCAAAACATCCTGTAAAGACTTAAAGAAAGATCGTCTCGGTTCGTCAAAGCGACTGCACTGAAAGAAAATGTGATTCGGAGTCTCCTCGTACTCTCTGCATAAGCAGGTGGGAGAGTGGACTATATTATATTTAAAAAGACTAGCTCTGAGAGATGTGTGACCACTCCTCAAGCGATTGATGGAAACGATTGTACGTCTATTAACCTTCAATTTATCGAACCAAGGCTTTGGGTTGAAAGAGGCAAAATTGCTCGTATAAAATATACCCTTGTCCGGATCCGTGCAGCTAAACCATTCTATGAATTCTTTACGATTGTTATTTTTCCACACGGCGTTAAGATCAGAGCTAGGTAGACCTAAAGAGGTGTCTCGGCCAGTAAGAATGGCTTCTTTTGCTACTCGACAGTTATCCCACAGTGTGCTGGGATCCAAAACAATTTAACATTTTTGCCCGCCAACATCAAATCCCTAATTCGATTTCTGATTAAGAATACTAAGTATGATTTATTATTGAGGTTGCTATCCGAAGCCAGTGCTTGTAAGACACTCCTCGAGTCTGAAAATATTACTGAGCACTTCCAACGTGATTTTCCAATTAGATTAATAGCCTCAAAGATAGCCAGAGCTTCCAGCGTAAAGATAGAAGCGAACTTAGGGGCCCTAAACTTTAACTCAATAGATTCCGAGAGTTCCACCACCGCAAACCCACCAAAGGGAGATTTATCAGACTTAGAACCACCCGTGAAGTAACACGTCCAAGCGTCAAGGTATTCATGAAAAATTTCCCCAAACAGTTCCTGACAGTTCCTCTCTCTGCAATTAATGTCAACTATTTCCTCTCCTTCCTTAAAAGAGACATTCGGATGAAAGAAAACTGACTCATAGTCTATAGCATAGCACGTTGGGCTGCTATACGCGTTGATCAGATGACTGTGACGGCTGACTTCGCGGAACGCATCCACTAGCGGGATAGTTCCCTCTCTATTAATGATGACTGGGTTGTCTTCATGATCTATAATGTCTTGAAGAGTGTTCAAGACCTTATGGTTTTGCCTGGAGAAGGCCTTGGACAGAAAGTTGTAGGCTAATTGCTTGAATCTCAGGTGCAGGGGAAGTTCCCCAGCCTCGCAGAGGCAGATTTTAAGGGGAGTAGACGAAGTGTACCCAAGCACCGCTCTTAAACATTTGCCTTGAATCCTATCGAGTCTTTTTCCGTCTGATTTAGTCAGATTGAAGAAAACCAGACCACCGTACTCTATCCTGGATCTTATCAACGCTCTGTAAATTCGTAGAAGCAATGAGGGGTCTGCACCCCACCAAGTACCTCTAAGGCAGTTGATAGTCTTGGATGCATTACGACACCTTTTCTCTAATTCTTTAATGTGATTACTCCATTTTAGTTCTGAGTGCAGCCACAACCCCAAAAACTTAACTGCCTCATCGTGCCAAACATCCGCGCCTTTTACTTTAACCTTCCAATTATCTCTGTTTGCAAAGTCTTTCCTTTTTTTAGAGAAAACGCATAATTTTGTTTTAGGGACAGATAGGTCGAGACCTATTTGTTCCAGGTGTACACATATCTTTTCCATGACCAACTCAATGCTTTTACACGCCTGTACGGAGTCTCTATTGGTAGAAAAAACACACGCATCGTCCGCGTACTGCAGAGCCGAGCAAATACCATCTTCCTGAATAATCGTATCTATGTCCATTACATAGATAGCATATAATATCGGACTCAGAACACTGCCTTGAGGTAATCCACGGAAAGCCACTCGTTCTTCGTTTATATCCCCGAACTGAAATTTTAAATATCTTTCAGAAGTTAGATTGTATACAAAGGTGAGAAGATTCGACGGTAAACCCAGTACTTTCAGCTTATCAATCAGGATGTCTGGCAAGACGTTATCGTACGCCGCTTTAATGTCTAAAAAAAAGCGCCGCAGTAACTTTGTCCGTTTTAAAGCCCTTAATGACCTCCGCAAGTAGGATCGCTAGGTTATCAGAACAAGATCTTTGTTTGCGAAAACCATTCTGGGATTCCGGCAATAAACCAAAGTGTTCTAACCACCAGGTAATCCTGGTATTAATCATCCTTTCCATTAATTTTAAAGTACACGAGGCCAAGGAGATGGGTCGAAATTTATCTTTTTCAGCTTTGGGGATGAAGAATATACCAAACCTTCTCCATTCCTCTGGGTATAGCTGAGAGTGGAATATTTCATTGTAAAAGCGAAGAAGCAGCTTTTTACCTTCCTCTGGCAGTTCCATGATCATTTTATAATCGATACCGTCTGGCCCTGGACTCGATTTGGTTTTTAAATTGTCAATCGCAAAATCAAGCTCTTCTCGAGAAAACGGAAGATCTAAAAATTGATCCCCGAATGGAGATACAACATTAGGGGTGGGACCTTTGGCCCAGAGTGGACATAGAGTATCTATGAGTGTCCTGAGTGATGCCATTTTACTTTCGTTATATTCGTTTAGGTTTTCTTTATAGTTCCATCTATTCTGAAAACTTTTAATTCTACTCCAAAGGAACTTAGGGTTAGTGTCTTTGGATAACAAATCACAGAAATTGCGGAAATTTTCTTTTTTTATGCGTTTTAGCCCTGACGAGGCTTCAGCCTGTGCCTCTTGATAAGCTGTGAAATTTTCGGCTGATCTGTCAAATTAAAATTTTTCAAGACTAGCTTTCCTAGGCCTAATCAATCGATCGCACTCCTCATTCCACCAGATGCAAGGAGGAGCTGTGGGTCTTATTGGAGCACGATTGTCGGCCTTCTTTTTTCTGGAACCTTGCTGCTGCGCTGGACTGATGCATTCACCAATGGTTTTCGCGAATTCTGAGTATTTAACTAAAGTATCTATGTCTGACTCGACCGTTTCCTGTAGGTCTATCACCCTTTCCAAAAATCTATTCCTATATTCGCTCCAATCCGGATTACCCTTATACAATCTATACGACCTTCTGGAATTGGCACCTGGTGAACAGCGTGAATTCAGTTCGATGTTTATGGGAAGATGGTCGCTGCCCCAAGGGTCTGTGCTAACCTTCCAATTGAACAAAATAGCCGACCTAGCATCTACTAAGGACAAGTCAATAGACGAGTCCGCACCTGATGAAGAGCCGAGATGGGTGGGACTACCATTATTTAAACAAAAGATTTCTTTGCGCTCGAAGGCATCTACTAACGATTTACCCTCCTTACATTCTGATAGACTACCCCATAGAGAGTGGTGGGCATTGAAGTCCCCCGCAACTAAAAACTGTCCCTGGAATTGATCAAAAAAGCGTTCCCAACCGTCTACATCAATCCTTGAGGAAATTCTCGGTGGACAATAGCATGAGGCGATTGTTATATACCCCCCGTCAATAAATAGCTTAATTGCACAAATTTCAATCTTACCATCACAATTATATAGACTGCGAATCACATTATACCTTAATTGGTTTCTTACTAAAATAGCTACTCCTCCTCCATTGCCTTGATTTCTGTCGCTCCTTACTGCATCGAATCCCATTTAACAAAATCTCCGTCTTTCATGTCGGTGGCGCCATCTCTTGAGGTTTGGCTAGACTGTGATGACGACCGGCTTCTGGTGTTTTTGAGGTTGGGTGATACGTCACGTTTCGTAATTACTTTATTTTGATATATAATATCTCTAGCAATTGCACCAAGATTTGTTTTTTTATTAAAGATTTTATCCATTAATAACTGCTGGTTATAGCTAACCTGCGCTTTAGTTTTGTCATTGTTAATGTCTTCAGTTATTTCGCTCTCGGCGCTAGTCCCCGCTGGGGGGTTAGTCATTGCCACGTGCCCAGTTATTTATTAATTAATAAACAATTGGGTCACCGACAATAGAAATAAAATAATCTCACCAGCACTGGCTAAAGGGAAGTATATTTGCACAGTGAACGCCAAATATTATTGACACGATCACAACTCACTTTTAGATAATAAATTGCACCGCGTGCGCAAACAATCTTTCTCGTACCGAGGTCGGACAGAGACTGAGCGACTGCGTGGTCGAGCGGTTTAAGTCTTAAACTGCCCTGTCTTCAACAGTCGCTCAGGCGTGGGTTCGAGCCCTGGCAGTCGCAATTTTTCTGCGATTTCCAAGGCTTGCTCCCTTGCCGACTGTATCCTGGCCAGGTTTCTGTGGTTTCCTCGGTCACTGTGCTAAGGGTGGGGCACAGGCGAATGCGGGTACAGACTGTAAGACGGCCACAGCCGCGGATAGGAGGTTAAGATGTGTAGTTCGGCACATCAAACACAATAAATAGTAAGAAGGGACGTAAAAATCCCATGTGTCTAGGCCAGAAGGCTGACGCGTAAGACTCCAAAAAAAAAAAAATGTAACGAATTTAATAGTGATTTATTTCCTATTCATTCATTAATTGTAGAGGTTTATTATTATTTTTTTTTTTATATCTGATGTCATACAAATAATTGAAACATTCATTAAAAGATAATAAGATCTAATAAAACTTCCATAAATAATATATTTTACAATGAAATTTATACATATATACTCTACTAAATACAATAAAATTTTTAAAAATTTAAATTACAATTATTTAAAGTTACTTTTAAAAGCAAAATAATGCTCAATAATATTAACAAGTGTAATATAATAATTTAACTAAATATATTATAGTAAAATACAATGAAAAACAATATACATTATTTATATTATGTACATAGAAGAGATCAAAGTTTTTTTTTAAATAATATTAATACAATTTCTATTTAATCTAATTTGACGATCAATCGAAGTAAAAACACCTTGGAATGTATTATTTATACAATACATCAATAAAAAAAATAAATTTTATAAATTATCAAAATAAATATTTAATATATGGACAAAATCCGATCTCCTCTATAAGTTAATTAGTATACCATAAATTAAATGTGAACATAAAATTATTAAAAGACAAATTTCACTAAATAATAATTAATCGTAGAACGAATAAATAATTGATTATACTTTTAATAATCATCACTCTTGCAAATTCCGTGATATTGCACATATTAGCTAATTACTTTTGGCTACTTATACTAATATTAACATCTATGTTTATAAAGTATATATAAAACAATAATTATATGTCGTTCGACGAACGAAAAAGATCTAGAAAAGAAAAATATACAAGTTCCCTTTGGTTAATTGAGCTTCTTCTGAATTATTGGACATTTTTCTTCAGCAGCTCCTTGCCATAATCATAATTATAATCACTAGTGTCGCGTAATTAAATCAATCCAACGTTTCTTTACCAGTACGCGGTAATAAAATTGCAAGAAAACCACAAACTAAAAAAAAATATACAATTATAATTATTAATTAATATCTGTTTAAAAATAAATTTATAATTGTTAACTTACCGAATAAAAATGCCGCGAAGAGTGCGATTGGTACAATGCACGCAAGATCAATAAGATATCCGAATACTAAATTACCAACAAGCGCTCCCAATCTTCCCATGGTAAGAGACAATGCCGCTGCCATTACCCTGATAAGAAAAAGTGAAAAATTAAATTACTTGTTATTAATTCATTTCTTCTTTGATATCTATTAATTACGTACCTTAAATTAGTTGGAAACATATCTACAATAACACAGTAGACAAGAGAAATTCCCAGAGAGGTAAGTGCTTCAAATAAACATGATAAAACAAGATTTTGGTCCGAATTAACTACGTAGTAAAATCCAATTGTTACAGCACCAGAAATTATCAATGAAACGACTGAAATAATTAACAAATCTTGTTAATACTGCCAAAAATTAATTTGTTTTATTTTATTAGATTAATTACTTACTGATGAAAAGCTTGGCACCAACTTTATGAATAAAAATTGGAAGAATAATAGATCCTGGTATGCAAGCAAGCCCGATATAGACAGTGTGAAGATATACATCAGACGTTATTACCGTTTCACAGCCATAAACATCAAATGAAGCGGTAGTATTTTGTGGAATCGATGAAACTATACAAACTGATGTTGTTTCTCCAGGATGTTCAGCTTCAAATTCTTCAAACCTATTTAAAATGTATTGATATATTAAAAGTTTCTTTTTAAAAATATGGACATTGTGATAAAAAATCAATTTTTTGAAAATTCTCAACAATTTTATTTCTTAGCTGAAGAAATTAAAATTTTTCTCATAGTAACTTTCTTAGGGGGGGAAAAAAAAAATTGTAGATAAACAACTTGGGAATTTTTGGCTGAAATTCTTTTTTTTTTTTTTTTGGAATCTAGAAAACTTTTTTTGGTAATTATTTAGAAGTAAGGGTCCACGATTTTAATTTTCATTTTTTGAACGAAATTTCTATTTGATTTTATTGATACATTTTTTTTTAAATATATAAAAAATTAATTAAAAAAAAAAAAAAAAATTGATTATCACAATTTTAACAATTTTTCAAAAAAAATTATAAACTTTTTATAAAAGTATATTACTTACTTTATTTTTTTTTTAATTAAAAAATGTTAATTTTTCACCTAGATATGAACAAAAATAGGGTCGACCCCACTTGTAAATAATTACCCTTTTTTTCAACAAAAAATTTACCGTGAAAACAATTTTGATTTTTTTAGCTAAGAAAGAAAATTGTTGAAAATTTCAAAAAAATTAATTTTTTATCACAAAAATGTTCATTTTCTTTAAAATAAATTTTTTCTCTCAATGTATTATTAAAAAAATATTCTTCAGATAAAATGGAAAAACAATTTGATTCGTTACCTCGTAAATAACTCTGGAAACCACACCATAAGTGTATAATAACTGCTCGTAAGTCCGAATTGTATCGCACAAGCCAGAAGAGTATTACGCAAATAAGGAGGCTTGCATAGAGATTTTGTCAGCCCCCAAACCTCTGAACAAAGAACTTTCAGTTCTTTATGCTTGTGTAATCTCAAAGTTCTTGTGCTTATATCTTTAGAAGTTGCTTTTTCTTGCAATGATTTTACCTAAAAAAGAGTTTGAATTAATAAAAAACATTTTTGAAAATGATTAGTGGATTTTTAAATGAAAAACTTACAGGATACGACTCCATATCTTGTCCAGTATTTTGGGAATAAATCCATTTGAATACTTCTAATGCTTTGTCAGTCTCGCCGCATTCCAGAAGAAATTTGGGGCTTTCAGGAAAGGCAAACAGCCAGAGCGAGAGTGTCAGCGAGGGAAATGCACACAAAGCAACAAAGAGATTCCACGATTTAAAGTAAAACGAATCAGATGTGTAATTAAAGTCTAATGGGACTATTAACCAAGCAATCAACGGCAGTGCGATGACACCGATTGTCCAAAACATTTCCATCCAGCATAAAATTTTCTCTCGGTACTTTGTAGGCTGGAATTCTCCCAGGTAAGGAAAGCATATTCCCATTGCTCCAGTTATCCTAAAATAATTAAATTAAAATGATGTAATTAATTGGAATCTATACTGTTAAGAAAATAAGCGAAATTTTGTGACCAATGTATTTATATGATAAAATGGGTTTTTTTGGTTCAATTTGGTATCGTTGGAAAAGTCTTAACCTGGAGTTGTGCCTTTTCAAGGTTTTATATCATTCACACCAATAGTCAATTTATGATGATACGTATTTAAGCTGCATTCGAAAATGATCTATCTCTAGATACATAATTAAGAAATGACCTTGTATCTTGTGAACTATTGACATTTTTAAAGATATAAGCTCATCCCGATGTTACACTCATCAAGACCTTTCATTTGAGTACCCACATCAATTTTTGATATATTTATATATATTATATATATATAAATATGTATATATGAAAAATATATCAAAATGCATGTGGGTACTCAAACGAAAGCTCTTTATGAGTATAACGTCGGGATGAGCTTATACCTCGAAAAATGTCAATAGTTAAAAAAATACGGTGCAATTTATTATAATTAAGAAACGACCTTGTATCTCGTGAACTATTGACATTTTTAAAGATATAAGCTCACCCCGACGTTACACTCATCGAGACCTTTCATTTGAGTACCCACGTCAATTTTTCATATATTTCATATATATGTATATATGAAAAATATATCAAAATTCATGTGGATACTCAAATGAAAGCTCTTGATGAGTATAACGTCAGGATGAGCTTATATCTTTAAAAAATAGTTTATTTATTGTGATAAGTTTTCGATGTAATTATAAATAGATTCGAATTTAGTGATAAACAAAATTCTTTTATTTATTTATTTTGTCTGTACACGTGAATGTGATTATATGTCAAAAATTAGTTTATTTAATTAAGAGACTAAAAAAAAATTGCAACAGATATATCTTTATCTAAATTGGTTTTGATATTTTTTAGCGATAATTATTTTTGATTTAAATAATTGAGAGAGAAAGAAAAATTTTGTGACGAGCATATTATTATTTTTAAAGAAATTTTTATAGTTTAATTTAGTATCATCAGAAAGGTCGAGACAAGAATTAGTCAATTTTCACGGTTTTATATATTTTTCAGTGACAGTCAATTTTTTATGTTAAGTTTTTGGAGGAGTTTTTAATAGTTTTTTGGTTCTATAAATTTGTTCGGTAACATTTGTCCATTAAAATATTTGTAATTGATCCTGTGATAGCATTATTATTTTTGAAATTTATTTAAAAAGTACCCAAACTATTAGTATGATTATAAATATAAAAAAAAATTATTAAGCCGCATAGTGACGGCAGGTTGGTAGTTTTATTTATTTTGTTTTTAGGTGGTTAAACTTACGCAAATCCGTTGAAAAATCTGAAGATCAAAAAAGCCCAAAAGTGTTGAACAAAAGAAGAAATTATTCCGACAATTCCATCCATCATTAACGTTGCAATCAACACTATTTTTCGACCTTTTGTATCAGCCAGGCACCCCCAGAAGTATGATCCTATCACCATTCCTGAAGAAAAATTATAAATCATTAATCATTGAGTAATTATACTCATAACACTACATCATAAATCAGAGAAGCCTTTGAGATTATAATTTAGTGTGGCTTCTACAATCAATAATTTATTTTCTGGGTCGAGTTTACAGACAGAGTATATAACACGAATTATTGAAAGACATTGAATAAACAATAAGCCTATTATTGAAGAGATATTTAGAAATTTATTGGCAAGTGTTTATATTTAATGATAATAATTTAATAATTATCAGGTAAAATTACCGAACATGGGGGAGGCTGTGAGCCATCCTTTGGATGTCGAATCCATTTGAAGGTCGCATTGCGCTGCTGGTAGAACGAATGATATTATTGTTACTCCTATTGCTGTGTCCATGTAAATCAAACCGCAAATTGTCAACAGCATGTAGTGGAATTTGCCAAAACCTGTTAATTTTTTAAATATTTAATTTAAATTTTATAAAATCTAATAAATAGAATAATTATTGCTCAAGATAAATTTAGCTGTCAGACAAAACGTATTTACATTATTTAATTTGTTGATAGTGAGTCACTAATTAAAGCAATAATACTAAAAATAATCATTTAAATTCCTATTCACTGTAGAAAATAACTGATTGTTTGCGACTGATAAAATATTTTAAAACAGTTATTCTATCAGTCATTCATTCCTTGATAAATTAAGTAATATTTTTCTCAAATAATAAGCCCGTGTTTTCAACAAGTAATAATGAAAAACTAAGGCTTAGTTTTGCTTATCGAACAAAACAAATATTTTTAATTTATTTTAACTAGTCAAAAATATTTATCAAGGATTTTTAAGTTTCTGATTAATAATTTATTTATTTGTAAATAACTCTTCGCGGTAATCGGAAAAAATAGACCCGAAAAAAATTTTAAAGTTATGAAAAATTCATATTATTTCATTAAAATTATTAAAAAATAAAAATTACAATAATAATAATAATAATAATAATAATCCACAATTTTCCTGAAAAACAAGCAGCCCGAGAATGATCGCTCTATTTTTTGTTACAAAGTTATTATTATTATTATTTTTGATAAATAATTTAATAATGTAATTTAATAAATTACATTACTTTACATTACATTATTATTTTTATTTTATAATAATTTTAATGAAATAATATGAATTTTTCATAACTCAAAAAGTTTTTCCGAGATTCCACTTCGCCACTCGAAATTACGTTGACAATTAAAATTATATGTAATTTAAAATTATCTAAGTAAATAAAGTCTCAGAAATTTTATAATTACGACGCCGATAAGAGACTATTTTTTAAAACTCTTGTTTAATTAGCGGCAACGCCTGACACACGTGATGACAATAAAATATAATTACTTATTAATTAAACATTCAAGGCATTATAGCTGAAATAATTTTTAGGATAATTTATTTGCACTGTATTTTTTTTTTTTTAATTTGCAATATCGCTATTTTTATCATTTCATTTTTGATATAATAATTTCTAAGAAATTTTTTATCAATTTTCGGATAACAATCAATGTCTGATTAAAATAATAAATTTACCTGTGACGGTGATGGCATGTTCGAAGTCTGCACCTCCGTCGGCCAGGAAGTCGAGCCCTAAATTAAAAAATTTATTGTTATTATTTTTTAAAATATTAACTATCAATAAAATTTTTAATTTTTAAAATATTAATTATCAATTCAATTGTTAATTTTTAAAATATTAATTATCAATTTAATTTTTGATTTTTAAAAATTATAAAATTAAATTTCAGTAAAAATATTTCTAATTAAAAGTCTTAAAAATAAAAAACTTTGTAAAATAAATCACTATTAATTAAATTAATAACACTAAACATCACATATTATCATAAAATAATTTTTTAAATATTTTTCACTTTATTTAATTCAAATAAATTATTTCACTAACACAAAAAAAAATTCACTTGATAAATAATTAAATAATTAAATGTAAAAAATATTATACTAACCCATGGCTGAATCCTGCGATTCCGTAGTGCTCCGTGATAAATAATTCGTTTGAAATGGGGGTGCGAGGTGAGAGTAATAGGATCCTTCTGGTGGATGTAAAACAATGTCTGATTCTGGATCGAGTTCCACAGTTTTGTCTTTGCCAACCACAACTCCCCTCACTCATTGGTGAGCAACTGATATCTGATTGTGGATTTTATCTCCAACGAAATTACTCTCTCCACAATTAAATTATATTAACCAACGGAACAATAACTCTCTGCATAGGTATGTGTAAAATGTAACAAGAGGATTTTATTAGCTGACAGCTAAGGACAATCAACGTCTTGCTATACCTCCACACCGTATCACTGGGAAATTTCAATCTTCTACTGAAATAATAATATTTTCAAATTTATAAATTTTCTTTTTACTTCCAGGTATTAAGGGCTGATTTGTTTGCACTCACTAATCTTTGAAATAGTTATATATATATGATAGCACTATTTTATTTGGGTTCTTCAGTAATTACAGAAGATTACTCTATAAGAAATTTCATGAGAATACGCGCTGGATTTGAACTTTGTTTGTTTAATAATAAAAAAAATAGTGATAACTTAACAAAAGACGCTGATTAATTTTTGTTACAAAATTTTATTATTAATAAATTATTTTTTAGTCAAAAAAATAACTTATTACATAAAAATTAAATAAGCTGATATTTGAAAATTTTTATTGAAAAAAATTAAAATAATAAATTTAATCTGACAATTTTTTAAAAATATTTTTTTTGATCAAAAAAATCAAAAATTTTTTTAATTTCTAATAATTTTAGTTTAATATTAAATAAAAATTTAATTAGCTGATATTTGAAAATTAATTTAGCACATATTTAATAATTTTAAGAATTTTATAACAAATAAATTATGGTAAAAAAAAAATTAGAAAAAAAAATTGACATGTAGAAATTTAAAAAAATAAAAAATGCAATTTTTTAAAAATAATTTTTTAGAACAAATTTTTTTGTTAAATAAAATTATAAAATCGTCAAATGACTGGCTAACTTTAATGTCATAAAATTTTTAGAATATTTTTATTGAAAAAAATTAAAATAATAAATTTAATCTGACAATTTTTTAAAAATATTTTTTATTGATCAAAAAAATGAAAAATTTTTTTTAATTTTCAATAATTTTAGTTTAATATTAAATAAAAATTAAATTAGCTGACATTTGAAAATTTTTAGAATTTTTTTATTAAAAAAAATTAAAATAAAAAATTAGCCATGTAGAAAATTAAAAAAATTCTAAATAAAATTTTTTTAATTATAATTTCAATAAATTAATTGTAAATAAAGATGTACGCAGTACTTACGTATCAATAAAACTCAAATGTCTGAGTTGAATAAAAAAATACAAATAATATAGAGCAATAAAATGGATTTTAATCTAGAGTATTTCAAGTGAAGAAAGGAAATAGTAATAATATATCACTAATTGACTAAAATTTTTAAAAACTAGAAATTTTCGCCTGAAGAAAAAAAAACTAAATTGATAAAATGACCTTAATAATTAATTTCACTGGGCTTACTTGTTAATAACTATAATTATGTGTATAAAATAGACTTGAAATCGTAAACATCAGAGTGTTAATCATGAGATGTATGACGAAACAATGTGCAAACAGTGTGTTACTGCAAATCTTGGTGATACCACGAGAACAATGATACTGATTGTTTAAATACAAATACTAATTATTATTTATATTTTCATTTATTTAAAGATTTATTATTTAATTACTATACCGAGAAATCCTACGACTGACAATAAAACCCGGGTATGTTTTTAATTAACATTATCAGGCTGTCGATTATTATCGGTACTTAGTTCTATAAATTTCATAAATGATCTATCTCGATGGTAATCGCCGGCTAAAAATAATCAATTGATAATTTAAAAAGTTTGATACAGATAGAGGTTGATGATCGATGATTTATTGTCCGAGGATTAATTTTTTTAATTAATTTCTGATCAGTAAATTGATTTCTTCTTGATCCGCTGAATAGAAGAAAAGCGATCTTTGAACTTGGATGATTTAATTACGATAACTTTTTTTTTTTTTAAATAATTATTCTTTATACAATTGTTAATTTTTTGGATTTTAGCACATAAATTAGCTCAAGAAAATTATTAAAAATTTTTTTTAATAAATTAAAAAAAAATTCAAAAATTTATCAAATATCTGTCAATTTTTGTGATTAATTTTTGCATAAAAAATTTGACATATATTTTATGTACTGATTAAAAAATGAAGATAAACACGGGTTCTCTAAATTGATAATAATCAAATAAAAAAGAATTATTATTGAAAAACAAGTATATCTGCAAGATAATAATTTTTTTATAGCAAAAAAATTTGACACACTAGAACAGTAAATATTAATATTAATATCGAATATCTTAATAGATAAATTCAATCCACAATTTCCTTATTACACGTGACGTACTTGAACTTGGAATATTTTTAAAGTAGTTAAGCTCCCACTGTAAATCCACTTTTAAAATGTCTTAATTTAAATACAAGAGCAAATAAATAAATTCCTTTAAGTAATTATGTGAATCACTTAATTAGTCACTCGGATCATCTTTATAAATTATGTTTATTAAAATTTAACAAAACAAACACATTTTCAACACATGTCAATCTTTATATCTTGTTATCCTCAATATGCAATATTTACTCAGTAAATAATTAATCATTTATTTGTTTATTAGTAAATTTATTGAAAATTTAATCCCCGATTCTAAGAAGTAATAATTGTTAACACAATTAAATTGACACTACTAATTATTAGAGCAACTTTGTAATTCTAGCAATAGTGGTAAATAATTAATTGACATTTTATTGCATAACATTTATTTTAAATTAAACTCGGTGGTTGTTACATAATTATATAAAAACTATAAAAAAATTTACTATAAATTATATAAAAAAATTACCTTTAAAATCAATTTTTATAGATATTTTTTTAATAAATTGTAAATAAATAATTTTGTAAATAAAGGGGAAGTAAATGGTGACTTTAGAAGCCACGGAGACTTTAATTAGAACTAAACCAAGGGTAAGAACAACTATAATTGCCAATTGCCAAGAGAGAAAGAGCAAATGTGATGTTTTAAGTACGTCAGCAAGTGTCGGGACGAGTTATTCTAATTTTGGCCACTTTGTCCGAATTTATATCACATCTCACCAATCAGCACAAGTGACTGCACCCAGGCATTATTATTGTTTTTATTACTGGTTACTTTATACAATATCTGCAACAACAAACTAAATCAGTTAGAGTCTTCTTAATATATATATATATATATATAATAATATTTACTTACTCGTGGTTTATTCTGAGGACATAAAGCCGCTACGCATTTACATCCAATCTGTCATTCGGTAGAAACATGTGACTATTTAATAAATAATTGATGCGTATTAACTAAACCTGTAATTAGTAATAACAAAAATCAAAATAATATAAAATTAAAAATAAAATTATAAAAGAATTATTATGCTGACATTGAAATAATTTAAAGAGAGATGAAGTATTAATTATGAGTGCAATTAAAAATCCGTAAACAATTTTTGACCTATTAAGAGATTTTTTCATGTCACGGATAATTAATCTTTTAGACTGAGAATAAATTTATACTATAATTATAACGAACCTTGCATTGTGTTTTTTCAGGATCAACTGTGCATACTTTTGTGTTTTTTTTTAATTATTATTTATATTTTTTTATTAAGCAATTTTATAAAAATTGCATGAAAAAAAATAACATGTTTTTTTAGAAAAAAAAGTCGCTAAATTTTCATGCAAAAAAAAAATTTAATTTAAATATAATAGAAAAATAGAGTGATTACGTTATTTGGTCTCCAAGGTTGAAGAGACAATATTTTTATCAGACTTTATCTTGTACCAAACAGATTCTCTGAGCCTGAGTTTACTCGCGCCAGTAAAAACTGTGTGAACACTTTAATGTAAATAAATAACACTCTTAATTAATACATTTAAAAGGTATTAGGTTACAATTATAAATAACTGTCATTATATACATATGTTTGATTGATTGATAACCTATATATATATAAGTATTTCAGTTTTATTTTTAACTGTCATTGTTTTACTTGGACGTTAAAAAATATTATTTGAAATAATTCCGGATTTAACTGAAAGTTTCTAGCTTTATTGCATCATCCTTAAAAAAATTTGATTTGTCTTCTACAAATAAAATTTTGTTTTTTTTTTTTAAATACAGAATTTTTAATTATGAAATACTTATTCAATACGTCGCTGTATTTATAGTTTTTACTTGAGCTGCATTTGATTTCAATAGACTCAGCACATGACATTTTTTTAAATGAAGTTTGCTGACATTTCAAAATTTTTAGAAATTTTTTATTGAAAAAATTTCAATTAAATAATTGAAAAAAAAAAATTTCACATGTAAAAAACTTGAAAATTAATTTATCAGATATTTGATAATTTTTAACAAATAAATTATGGAAAAAAAAAATTGACATGTAAAAATTAAAAAATCCAATTTTTTTAAAATAATTTTTTGGACCAAACTTGTTTGTTAAATAAAATTAAAAAATTGTCAAGTGACTGCTAACTTTAATCTCATGAAAATTAATTTAGCAGATATTTAAAAATTTTTAACAAATAAATTATGGCAAAAAAAATGAAAAAAAAAATTAGAGATAGAATTTTTTAAAAATAATTTTTCAGAAAAACTTTATTTGTTAAATAAAATTAAAAAATTATCAAGTGACTGTTAACTTAAATATCATTAAAAAACTATAAGTGCAATTTTTTAGAAATATCTTTTTAGTTGTAATTTAATTAATAAAAAAAATCTAAAATTTTTAGACGTCTGCTAACTTCAGTGTCATTGTTTTTAAACAGAATCCGCGTATTTTCTTACACTTAAGATTTAATTTTCTTTGTATTAAAAATTTATTTTATAAAAATTAAATGTTAAATATTTAAATAATTATTGTAAATATAATTTTTTTGTTCACAAAAAATAAAGATAACATAAGAAGCAAAAATAACTTTTTATCTTAAATAAAATCATAAATGCTAAAAATAATTGTCAAACTTCCGTATAGATAAGACTATTGATCAATACTTTATAAAGTATACCGTAAGCTTGTCAATTGACATATCAATAAAGCAATAAATAATAAATTTATAATTTATCTAAAATAATTGGTGAAAATAAATATTTGTAATCATCTTTAAAAAAATTTCCTTTCTTCTTTTAATTTTTAGGAAAACCTGCCAGTGATAATAAATCATTACAATATTCCTTTAAATAAAAGCATATAACTCAAAATTATTAAAAAAAAAATATAATTTTTAATAGTCAAGTATCTTCATAGTTATAAATGTCAAGGAAATAAATTACAAACTTGTCAACACTCTTCAAGCAACAAAGCAACACGCTCATGCTCGTATTACGCTTGAGAGTTAACCTCGGAAATTTTTTTTTTCGGCGTGTGTTCTTTTTTTTGATTCGGTAGAAACAATGACATTATACCGCCAACTGAAAAATTAATAACACATAATAATTAATTTTTTTTTTATATAAAATTATAATATTATTAATTAAATTGTTTTGTCTTCTCGTTAAAATAAACTAACCTATCAGTTGACCAGTCAAACAAGAAATTAGTATTACACAATAGTGGTCGATAAGATAGCTGAATGCTGTGTTACCAATCAGAGCACCGCTTCTCGCAGATAGAGAACCAAGTGCCGCTGCCGTCGCTCTGTAAGAAGTAATTATTATTTCTTCTTAATAAAATAATTTTTTTAGCAATTATTTTTGTTGCAAAATAGGGTCAAAAATTATTATTATTACCTTAATTTAGTTGGAAATATTTCAACGACAACACAGCAAATAACAGTGGAACACACTGAAATAAGAGCTTCGAACAAGGAAGACAACACCAGATTTTCTAAAGAAGAACGTACAAAAAATAATCCAACTGTTGAAGCAGCGCAAATTACCATACCAACGGCTGAAATAAAAAAATTATTTTACAATAATATTGTATAATAATAAGTATTGTCGTTAATAACTTACCCAGTGAAATTTTAAATCCAATCCGATTGACAAACATTGGAAAAAGCACTGCGATTGGAACTGAAGCTACGCCCAAGATCAACGTATGAACATAAACTTGGGTATTTATTTCTTTATGACAGTCTTGGGCATTCAAGCTTTTGATCTAAAATCCAAAAAATTATGACATTTAAATGTTTATTTAAGATTATTATTAATGATACTGAAATTTAGAGACATCTGATAATTTTTAGAATTTTTTTTTTAATAAATAAATTGGTAATTATTCACTTAAAATTTTCAACAATTTCATTTATTTATTTACCAAATTTTTAGATGAAAATGAAGTTAGCAGACATTTCAAAATTTTTAAGAAACTTTTTATTAAAAAAATTTCAATTAAACAATTAAAAAAAAAAATGGTCACATGTAAAAAACTTGAAAAACTATAAGTGCAATTTTTTAAAAATATATCTTTTTAGTTATAATTTAATTAAAAAAAAAAAATCAAAAATTTTTAGACGTCTGTTAACTTCAGTGTCATATTTTTAGACCCTAAAGCCTTAGCTCCCTAAGGGCCTTACATTTTTTCTTAGATGAAAAAATCAAAATTGTTCTCACGGTAAATTTCTTATTGAAAGAAAAAGGTAATTATTTACAATTGGGGTCAAAGAATTATTTACAATGTCAGAGAAAAAAAATTAAGATTTTAATAGCTTTTTTGCCTTGAAAAGTTGGAAAAAATTTTATCTTTTTTTTATGTTTTTGACATATCTATATTTTTTGAAAAAAAATGAACAATTAAAAAAAAATTGAATGTCACAATTTTCTAAAAAATTTGTAAAAATTGTGATAATAATTTTTTTTTTAAATTGTTCATTTTTTTATGTATTTTAAAAAAAAATTATATCAATAAAATCAAATATAAATTTCATTCAAAAAAATGAAAATTAAAATGGTAGACCCCACTTATAAATAATTACCAATAAATCATAGCAAGAAAAAATAATTTTCTAGGCCTAGTTTATTTTTCTAAAAAAAATTTTCAAATGTCTGGTGATAATTTCAGTATCATTATTAGAAGAGAAAACTCACAGCCGTCGAATTTGTTATTTTAAACTCAGAAACACGACAAACAGAAGCATGTTCATTTGGAAAAGCTGTTTCAAAGGCTGCGAATCTGTCAAACAACTCCGGGAACCACATCATCAACGTGTACATTGATGAAAAAATGCTGAACATTATCGTACAGACGACCAGTGTACGTCCCAAAAATGGTGGCTTCAAAAGAATTCCAGTTTGTTGGAAAAGCATGTTGGTCAGCTTTGTAAGCTTGCTTTCATTCAACTTCTCTTCAGCTTCCATGTTCAATAATTGAGAGACTGATGATATTCCGCACTTGTTGAGCTCAATCTACATAAGAGCAATTATCAATTATACCCAATGAATTTTAAATGTTAATTTAATTATTGAAATTGTACAAGATACTCGTCTGGAGATTTCCCGGTGTTCTCAAAGTAAATTTTTGATAACACTCGGAATAATTCCTCTCCCATTCCGAATTCCGACAAGTACTTTGGTGTTTCGGGTAGGAAGTACAGGCACACTCCGATGATCCAAGTTGGAATTGAGCAAACAATCACAAATAGGTTCCACGAATGGAAGAAAAATCCGCCGAAGTCAACGTCGATAGTAATTGGAACTATTATCCAACCAAAGACTGTTCTAAAAAGAAACAACGTTTTAAATATTGCAAGGAAATATTTAAAAATAATAATAATTTATTATTAAAAATAAAATTACGCGAAGCGACAATTATTCCTAGAACAACAGGTATCTCCATTGTAGATAATATTTTTTTTCTGTAAATCGCTGGTTGGAATTCACCGACGTAAGTATAAAGAGTTGCCATTTGTCCGCCTAATCTGTAATATTAATAATATTAAATAATAAACTTTAATTTTTTAGTTTTTATTGTAGAAACTCACGCAAATCCAACGATTGTTTTACAGACAAATACACCCCAGTAATTGGGTATCAGCGAAGCAAGACAATCAAAGCCCGCTTGAAGAAATAAGCATCTTAATAAAGTATGTCGCCGACCCATTGTATCAGCAAGACAACCCCAAATGTAAGCACCGCATAGCATACCTCGAAAATTATTTTTTTTTATTAATTTAATTATTACTAGCAACCTTGCAGTCACTATGTGACTGTCATGACTTGTTAACTATAAATAAATAAAATTTTGCTTTATTAAATAATGACTTTTGTTCAATTGTCCTGTACTTTCTTAATAAATATTGACATTTTTTAAGATATAAGCTCATCCCGACGTTATACTCATCAAGAGCTTTCATTTGAGTACCCACATGCATTTTGATATATTTTTCATATATACATATATATATAATATATATAAATATATCAAAAATCGATGTGGGTACTCAAATGAAAGCTCTTGATGAGTGTAACATCGGAATCAGCTTATATAGTTAAAAATAGCAATAATTCACGAGACACAAGGTCGTTTCTTAATTATGTTAAATTGCACTGTACTTTCTTAACTATTGACATTTTTTAAGATATGAGCTCATCCCGACGTTATACTCATCAAGAGCTTTCATTTGAGTACCCACGTGCATTTTGATATATTTTTCATATATACATATATGTAATATATATAAATATATGAAAAATTGATGTGGGTACTCAAATGAAAGGTCTCGATGAGTGTAACATCGGAATGAGCTTATATCTTTACAAATGTCAATAATTCACAAGATACAAGGTCATTTCTTAATTATGTATCTTGAGAGATATAGAGCATTTTCGAATGCAGCCTAAATACTTATTACAATAAATTGACTATCGATGATAATTAAATGAAACCTTGAAAAGGCACAAATTCAAGTCAAGACCTTTACAATGACACTAAATTTAACTAAAAAAATTTTTCTTATCCTCTCAATAATAGAAATTATATTTACAATTACTATTATAATGATTATTCTTAAAATTTAATTATTGCCACATCCGGGTAAACATTTATATAAATAGTTGCGTAAGATTTATTTTACTCATCAAACGTCATTGAATAGAAAAAAAAAAAAATAAAAGTAATTGTAATTAAAATAAATTTTAAAAATAATTACCAAATATAAAACCCGTGTTCAATCGACCTTTGTCGACAGTTGACATATCGAAATCGCATGCTGCTGATGGCAAAATTAGTCCTAATATATTTATTCCAATTCCAGCGTTCATACACGTCAAACCACTCACAATAGTAACTTTGTAGTTGAATTTGCCGAAGCCTGCCGAAAATAATAATATTTTTCATTGATTCAATTTTTTAATTTTTTATCTGACAATTTTTTAATTTTTTTTTAAAAAATAAACTAATTAAAAAAAACTATTAATAGATGGAATTTTTAAAATAAATTTCTCTTATTATAATTTATTTGTTAAAAAGTATTTTCAAATTATCAGATATTTCTTAGTTTCAATATCATGATATTTACCCGTAGCATTGACCGCCAGTTGTGTGTTTATTTCCGCCTGCGATTGATCCGAGTCTTCTAATTATTTTATCAATATTAATATTATTATTAGTGTGAAAAAAAAAAAGTGTGTGATAATAATTTACCTTCTGCATTTATTAAATCCTGAGCAATTTTAGCAATACTAATTTCAGACGGACGAGAACTAACTTTAACATTTTCAGTTCCCATATTCAAATACGTCTCGTTAGTTTTGTTGATTCTAATACAACTGATCTTGCATCGTATCCCGAGTGAGAGGCATCTTGATCATGAGTCGCGGTAATCGTCGACTGGTCCATTAATTATCTTGTTACTTATGTCTTGTATGTACAATAAACATGTATTGTAACCAATTCATTATTCTATTATCAACGTTTTGCGTCATGTCGCAATTCATAGAATTAATCAATATTATCAATACTTTGTTTATCATTTATATTATTCATACTTCTGATATTCTCAGATAACGAATAGTTTTCATCTCAAGTAGTGATATATTTTTTTTCACCCACTTTTTTTACCCTGTATATTATGCAAATAAATAAATAAATAAGATAGAAAGCGTTAATTTTGTCGAGCATCTAGACTTGAAATGCGAAAGTCAGTTGGCAGATGCAAGCCAATCCGTTGGCATTGCACCGGAAAAACTATTTTCAGCTTTCAGAATATGTCAAGTGCAAATCACCAGTCACTGATCAAGTGTCTTAAATTTCTAGCGTTTTACAACAATCAATTTCAAAATTTTTTCTTGGCATCAATTGCGCATAAATTTTCAAGAAAATTCTTGGTAATTTTATATTATTTTAATAATTTTATCAATGTTAAAGACGTAATTTATTTTTATTCTATTGTATATTGAATCTTGTTTCCGAGATAGAGTAGTAAAACGACAATAGAACTGTAAACTCTATTGGTTTTATTCCTTCCTACTGAAAATAAACTAGATGGGAGACCATTTCCTTGCTTTCTTTACTTCTCTCATCGCCGGATAGTCATTTGTTATTTTCAATTCATTTTCTTTAAGCTAAATAAATACATTTAGCCGGTGAATTAATCGAACAATTGATTTAAAGTTCATGAATAGATACGAGTGTCAACACGGTAAATTATCCTCGGTAATGACTGTCGGAATTATTTTCCAGAGGGTGTAAATTGAGAGTAAGTTCACTCGATATCTTCCAATAAGAATTAACCTTGAGCCTATATTGCGCCAAGATTTATAGCATTCAGTTAAGGTTTCATCCAAGGTACCGACGGGTAATAAGCTCTAGTTCTAGCTAAGGGAAATTTTGAGAAAAATCGAAAATATTGCATTTAATTATGGAAATGTATCATTAATCCTCATTTTAATACATTAGCCATTAAATGTAATTAATTAATGATAATTTTCACCATAAACAAATACAAAATTTAATTTTTTAATAATTTTTTCTTGAAATTCTATTCTTGGTTGGAAGTAATTTTTTCTTAATTCAAATTATCATAAATACTTGATACAATAAATTTTTATATTTGATCAAGATTTTTAGATACTTTAGGGAAGCAGTATCACCCTACTTCAGCTGAGAAAAAAATTTTCTCACCCTGAGAAAATTTTTCTCTTGAATATTTGATGCCCATTTTATATTATTTGAGCGTGCAATTATACATATTGAATGAAAAAAATTGATTCAATATTATTTAATATGTTAATCAATAAAAATATTAATGAAAATTTACTTGTATCTTTATATTTAAATTTTTGGAGCAATAGAAAAATTTTCTCAAGACAAGAAAATTTACTTCTATCAAGAACTAAATTTTTTGGAGCAAGAGGCTAAATTTTCTCAAAACAAGATTTTCTTGACTTAAATAAATTTTCTTGGATCAAAATACGTATTTCTTAAAGCAAGAAAATTAATTTTGTTGGAATAAGTGAAATTTCTTGTGTAAAAAAAAATTTTTTTTTCGCTCAAGAAAATAATTAGGAAGAAAAATATTTTCTTGGCTTAAGTGAACCTTTTTTTCTGTATAAATTTTACTTAATTCAAGAATTTTTTTTTTTTTGATTAATGTTAATTTTTTTTTCAATGTATACTTAATAAAATTAATATTAGAGACCAATCATTACTTAAATTAAGCAACAATACTTTTTAGGATCTTGATAAAAATTAGAACAATGATTTTAAATTATTAAATATAAAATTATAAAAAATGCTTTCCATTTACTTAATCCGTTTTTTTGGAATTCTTCTGTACTACGACAGCATATGGCGGATAATGAAGTATAGAAGACAAGAAACGGATAGTATCGGGAGTCTATTAACTTGACACAACATTTCTATGCTAGACGGTTCTATTAGAGTAGCCTTTAGCGGAAGCTATTTTAAATTAGATTAAATTTCGCTTGGGTCTAGAAAAAAAAAATAAATATGTTAACTTAAAAAAAAAAAAAACATTATAAATTGCTACAACAAATAATTATCCAATTAATGTTATCTTGTATTTTGTGTCTTTTAATAAATATTATTCTTAGTAAGCATTTTGATGATTTATTTGATTTTCCAAGATGTTTTTATTGCATTAACATTTAAATTGAATAATTATTAGTCAGTTTAAATGATGTAAAGGGAAAAGTATTATCATTATAAAGATAATTACGTATAGACTGAAAAGAAGAAGATTCTGCACTGACGCAATTTGCGGAAGAAGCGAACGTAATCAGTTCTTAAGGTCAGATTGATATTGCTTCATTGGAGATGATATTTTATGAGTTCAATTTAATATACTACAATAAAATTAATTATCGTAACTGTAAATAAGAGACAATAAGCTTTTTAACTATTATTATTTTTAACATATTTTATTTCACCAGCACGTGTTGCTTGTACTATATTGCATTTTTATGAAGGTCGTAAGTATCGTCGTTGTACGATTTCCTTATGCTCATTCGCAGTAGGTGAATTATTCACTGATTCTGAAAAAAAATACTTACTTAGAACCACGTGTTTTATTAAAATATATATATATATATAAATGTATAAATGTATAAAACCATCGATTTAGATTGTTAAATAAAGTATGATTGCGAAAACCATTTTGTACTTTCACTTTGCAGATAAATAGAAAACTTGTCTTCAAATTGCATCGTAAAAAAGCTATAAAAGCATCTTCAAAAAAATCCATTTAAATCTTTTATTCATTTTCTTGTTTAAATGCGTTAAAATTTCTTCACTGTTTTTAAATTTCTCGAGTTTTAGTGATAAATAAATTTATTAATAATTTATCTCTGAAAAATAACAATAAATATTAAAAATAAGTAATTAAGACAAATTAACATATACTATCAACAATATTTACATATATATTGTAATTTATAACTACTTGTCTATCTGCAATTAATTAATTAAATAAACATTAAAGTGTTTATTAATTAAGAGTTATCTTGATTTCATGCAAAGTTTTAAATATTTATTATTTACTTAAAAATTAAGATACTTTGTTTTTCTCTTTTACAAACTTACTAAATGTGTTAACATTACTGTACTAAAAAAAAAGTGTACTATGGACTCTTTGAAAGTATCATAAATTATGGGGTGGTGCCTATAATAACGCCATTAAGCCTATTATAAACATTCAAAATCATGTGTTAAAATATTCCGAAGGTCATGGTGTTTTAATTTTACACTTACCCCTTGATGTTAAGTTAAGAAACTTTTATTGCAAAAGCTCTGATGCGTTACTATCAAGAGTGTAAAGATCTATACAATACTAAACAAACTAGAATTAGATTCAAGTCGATATCTCTCCCTAAAATTAAAAAAAGGATTAGCGGAAAAAACACTTACTTTGTTGCAATAAAATATTTTAACCTTTTACCTAATAATATTAAGATATTAAATTATAGTAAAAAAACGCTAAACTATAAGATAAAAGATTGGATCAAGAATCTGTCATTGTAATAGTACAAGAAATTTGTGCAATATTAGTATTTTCTCAAACTATTTGTGCATTTTTTTTTATATATATATATATGGGTGATTCTTTGTAAGGATGTTTTTTGCTGTCCCAGGCATTTTTTTATTAGAAAAATTGTTATTTTGTTACTAAAAAAAATTACGAAAGTAAAAAAACATTTCTACTTGGAGCATTGAAAACTAAAATGAAATAAATTTTTGTTTTTTTGCTATAAATTCGTAAACCACCGAAATAACAGTCCCCTGGGCTGTCCCATTCCCAAAATTAAAACTTTAAGATTAAATTTTAAGTTATTCGTCCATGATATATAATTTGGTCCAAAATGTTTATAAACTTAATTAGTTAACTAACAATCTTCTTCAATAAAAAGTACCGAAAATTAATTTGTTTGATTAAATTCATTAAACCAAAGTTTGTCCCAGGCATTTTAAGAACAGTCCCCTGCCAGAAGTTCAAAGCCAAAAAAAAATCCAGCGTGTTATTTTACCTTTTGTAAGGTTTATAAGGATCTAACTAGCCTTGAGTTAATAACCATAGGGCTGTTAGCGCTTTATCGGCATTTTATTTAGTGTTAAAGCACCGTTTGCGCTGGAAATATGTGTCTGGGCCACTTCAAAATGTCAGTCCCCTGGCAACTATTTTTATTTATAATTTATTTATAAAATTCGATCCATAAGTCTTAATATTATTCTAATTAATGTAAACATTCATTGAGAGCTTGAAAAGTTGAATGCATTGAAATAGTTTGCTTGATTTTTCTCAATTTGATAAAAAAAAAACAGTCCCCTGGCAAACAGTCCTCTGTCATGTTAGATGGCAAAAGATACACAATTATCAAAAAAGCAAAAATTAAATCGGCTGTTTATTTATTATGATTAAGCTGATAGTTTTGTAGCCCTTGTTAATTTTTTTTTTTAATAAAATCAAAAATTATTTGGTCGGACAATTTTGTACAGATTTAAGTCGTCCTTACAGAGAATCACCCATATTATATATTTTAAAATATTTTATATAATATAGGATAATTTTTGTAATATCTACAAGCTTTTGCTCTCTATAGACCTGTATGCAAGAAAAATAAATAAATAAATATTATTAGTATAATTAAAATTTCTAGCCACTGATCTACTAATCAAAATTTATCAACAGACATAAATCTTGACATTCCACGTCAATATATTTATAAAATTCATTTTCTTTCCCGGAAATTAATCACCGAGAAAAAAAATTCATCTGTCAATAAAGTCTTGAATTCTTCGAAACAATAGAGTGACAATATAAGTACGAGCGGAACATGATTCCTATTCTATTTAGCATTAAAGAAGATACATTGTCGACATTACATCCATCCCTTTTTCCCCTATTCGCGTCATGATGTTGCGCTCATTTAACGTTTATACGTTTTCATCCCCTCGCAAGGTGGTTGCTGCTATCAGTTGAACGCTGGACGTTCTCTGAGTAACACAATACTTTCCCTTAAATTAAAAGAAAAAAAAGTAATAATAATAATAATAATAATAATAATAAAATACTATTTATTTATAAAAACAACAAGCCTTATTTAATTTAATATTTCTTCTTTGTGGGAGTGAACAAAAGCAACCCTAGCTAATGTGAATCCTCGCTGAAGTTAACATCTAATTATTTGACAAACTTTGTTTTGTTTCTGGTAATCCAAGTTGGATAAATTCAGTGTAACTTAACTTGCTAATAATACTTGCTTTGAAATGTTTAAAATTATTATTGATATTATGGATAATTTAAAAAAATTTTATAGTTGAAGAATCTGTTAAAATTTTAAAATAAAGGAGGTGTAAAGTAGAACAGGGAAATTGAAAAATAATTGAGGAAGATACTACCTTATTTTTTTTATTATGGTGGATAAATTGCACGACTACCAAGGCTTCACAGGACGTCTCCATGGAGCTCGTGATAAATTGAGTGAAAAGTGGTCGGGCTTCAAGCAATGGAAAGATGAAATCCCGACAAACCAAGGCATTGCGGGAGTTGTTAACCACTTTCGTAATCCACCTAAATTAGAACGGACTTTGGAAGACTACTCTCATGTTTACAGGTAAGTTTATCACAGTAAAGTTAGCCGACATGTAAAAATTTTTAGAATTTTTTTTATTGAAAAAATTATTACAAAAAAAATTTTTTTTTTTATTTCATTTGTAAAAAATTTGAAAAAAAATAAATTATGTCGGCTAACTTTAATATTATAGTAAGTTTTTGTTGCATCAATTATTTATTTATTAATTAAAAATTAATAAACATTTCCTGGTACTTATAAGGCAAAAAACACGTGGTGAACTGGTTCGAGTCTCGGCAGCAGTGATGGGGATTGAATTTTCCTACGCTGCAGAAACGGCCTTTGTGTCGCCAACCTTGTTAAAAATTGGCGTTGACCATCAACATATGACACTAGTCTGGGCTCTGAGTCCCCTGGTAGGATTTTTCGTGACACCCGTTTTAGGAAGTGTCAGTGATCGCTGTAAATCTCATTATGGTCGAAGAAGACCCTTTATTATTATCCTGGCGATCGGAGTTTTTCTTGGTACAGATATTTTATTTTTTTTTATTCATTATAATACTGAAATTGGACAATTTTTTTTTTTTATTACTAATTGATTATAAGGAAAAAATATTTAAAAAAGAGGTAAATATTTACAAGTCGGGTCAACTATTTTTTGAACGAGATTATATATTTGATTTTATTGGTATTTTTTTTTTTTAAAAAAAATTTATAAATTGTGATATTCAATTTTTTTTTTAAATTGTTCGTTTTTTCAAAGTATATGTACTTTAAAAAAAAATATATAGTATCAAAAACATCAAAAAAAGATAATAAATTAGAAATTTCATCCAAAAACATGAAAGCCAAAATTTTTTCCAACTTTTAAAGGCAAAAAAGCTATCGAAATCTTTATTTTTTTTTCACATTTAAAAAAAAAAAATTTGAAAATGTTTTTTCACCTAATGGCCCAAAATAGGATTGACTCCATTTGTAAATAGTTACAATTTTTTATTAATACTGATACTGAAATCAGATAATTTTTTTTATTTTTATTATAAAGAAAAAATAAAAAAAAAATATACTTGTAATTATTTTAAATTTATAGATGTTGAATTTTTTGATTAAAATATTTTCATAATAATTAAGTTGTCATAAAAATAAAAAAAAATTGACAGATCTCTGTAAATTTCAGTATCATTATTAATACTAAGTGACAGTTTAAAACGTTTTTATTTTTAGGGCTTCTCCTGGTACCCAATGGTGAGAAAATGGGGTACTCATTCGGAGACCCTTTACCTTTACCTAATCATACTAGTCCACTAGGTCATCGATTGACTGCTAAGACAAGTAAATCGCTAAATGAAAGTCAACCAGCAGTTCCAACTTCTTCACACTCGTGGGGAATTTTTTTCACCATTTTGGGAACTGTATTACTGGATTTTGACGCTGACGCTTGTCAGAGTCCTGCGAGAGCCTATCTTTTAGATGTTACCATTCCAGGTCTGTAAATTGTCAACATTCTTTTGGTATTAATATTTATACTTTAACAATTGTTAAAAAAAAAAATTCTCCACTGGAGGATAAATTTTCTTGATAGAAGAAGTTTTTTTTTCTATGCATAATGTATAATACAATATATCTTCAGATGATCATGCAAGAGGGCTAAGTACGTTCACAATAATGGCAGGACTTGGTGGATTCATGGGATACGGGTTAGGTGGGATAAATTGGGACGCGACAGCCATTGGAGTAGCTCTTGGTGGTCATCTTCATGCGACATTTACGCTGATAACAATAATATTTATAATTTGTGTAAGCTACACAGTGACCAGTTTCAAAGAAATCCCTCTCTATATGCTCGAGCGAGATGAGTTTAAGGCTATGCAAGCTCAGCTGGTTTGTAATTTGAATAATTTCATCATTAAATATTTTTAATTTATAATTGCTTCATTAATAACTTATTAATATCTTCAGGTGGACAGCCGGAGGAAAAGTGAGCATGACAAAATAGCTGATGATGATTGCGCTTCCTATGGAACTCTTAATACTCCTGGTGAAGCTACTGAAGTAATTTATTTTTAATAAATTTACTGTCAATGGTTTAGATTATCATGATAGTGAAACTAGCTGATATTTAATCATTTTTTTCAGGAATTAAATTAGAACTAAAAACAATTTCATTTTTAGTTTTTCAAATCTTTTATAAATTTAATTTTTATTTTTTTTTAAATCATTTTTTTTAATAAGAAAAATCCTAAAAAATGTCAGCTGATTTCATTTTTATAAAAATGAAATCAAAGTTACCAGTCACTTAATTATTTTTTAGTTTTATTTAAAAAATAAATTTTTTCTGAAAAATTATTAAAAAAAAATTGCATATTTAATTTTTGAAAATGTCTAAATATTAATTTTTTATGAAAATTAAGTTAGCCGATATTTAAAAATTTTTAGAATTTTTTTTTATTGAAAAAATGATTGCAAAAAAATAAAAAAAAAACTTCACTTGTTAAGAACTTCAAAAACTATAAATGCAATTTTTTAAAAATATTTTTTTAGTTATAATTTAATAAATTAAGCAAAATAAAAAAATCAAAAGTGTCGGCTAACTTTGTTATTATTAATTTTTTTCTCATTTTTTTTTGCCATTTATTAAAATTAGATTTTTTTAATTAAAATTTTATTACAAAAAAATAAAAAAAAAAATTTCACTTGTAAAAAACTTTAAAAACTATCAGTGCAATTTTTTAAAAATATTTTTTAGTTGTAATTTAATAAATAAAAAATTGCAAACGTTGGCTAAGTTTAGTATTATAATTAATTTTAATGAATATTAAGTTAGCCGACATTTAAAAATTAAAAAGAATTTTTTTATTGAAAAAATGACTACAAAAAAAAAAAATAAAAAAAAATTGTCATTTGTTAAAAACTTGGAAAACTGTAAGTGCAATTTTTTAAAAATATTTTTTAGTTGTAATTTAATAAATAAAAAATTGCAAACGTTGGCTAAGTTTAGTATTATAATTAATTTTAATGAATATTAAGTTAGCCGACATTTAAAAATTAAAAAGAATTTTTTTATTGAAAAAATGACTACAAAAAAAAAAAATAAAAAAAAATTGTCATTTGTTAAAAACTTGGAAAACTGTAAGTGCAATTTTTTAAAAATATTTTTTCGTTCTAATTTAATTATTAAAAAAAAAATTAAAAACGTCGGCTAACTTTAGTATCATTTAATTTTATTTTAATTTACAAGCACGTATGAATAATATTCACATTCCATTAAATAAATATTTTTATTTCTAGATAGAAATTTTTTTTTTTTTAATTAATTTATTTGTTAAAATAATTATAAAATATTTATTAAATTAATTTTGATTTCATAAAATCAAAAACTTACTGACTGTTTAAGGAATTTAATCTAAAACCTCTGAAAGTTGATCCTCCAAAGGAGTTAGGATCAGTGCCGATGGTGCCGGAAATAATCCCTGAAATAATTGCAAATGAAGATGAGATTGATGTAGATCCCAAAGCAACGCTCAGAGAATACTTAATGTCGATTGTTTACATGCCGCACAGTGTCAAAATGGTTTGTCTGACAAATTTGTTCTGCTGGATGGCTCACGTCTGCTACTCGCTCTACTTTACTGACTTTGTCGGCGAGGCTGTCTACGGCGGGGATCCAAAAGCTCCGGAGGGCTCCAAAGAACGCGAATTATACGAATCTGGAGTTAGATTTGGTTGCTGGGGGATGTCTATGTACTCACTGTCATGTGCCTGCTATTCTTTAGTTATTGAAAAGTTGATCCAGCGATACAAGTGTGTATTATTAATTAATTAATGAAGTTTTGAGTTTTAATCAAGTATTGATAGTTTTTTTATAATTAATTAATTTTTTAGGGCTCGGAGGGTCTATATTTGTGGATTATTGTTTTATAGTTTAGGAATGATGATGATGGCTGTGTTGAAACACCCAGTAGGTGTGATAATATTTTCCTGGACTGCAGGAGTTATGTATTCGACGTTATTTACAATGCCGTATTTATTAATCGCACATTATCACAATTCATCCACGGTAATAAATTATTTTAATGTGAATCATTAAGGCTACTGTATGTAATTTGTTGGGGAAAAACAACTTTTTATTATAATGTGATAAAAATTAATATAATAATTTTATATGATACTTAAGCTAACTAGCCGTCAGCTGTCAATTTTTAAAATTTTTTTAATGTCAATTACAATAAGAAAATGCTTCTAAAAATTTTCACTTATAATTTTTATTAATTTTCACATGAGGAATTTTTTAATTAATTTTTTTTTTTATCATAATTTAATTGCTATAAAATTCTAAAAAAATTTCTAGTGTCTTCTAAAATCAGATTTTTTAAAATATTATAACAGACATTAAAAATTTTTTTATAATTTTATCGCAATGGAATTATTAAGAAAAAAATTTAATAAAAAAAACTTTTTTTTTATTAAAATTTATTTTGCAGATATTTAATAGTTTTAAAAATTTTATAACAAATAAATTATAGCAAAAAAAATTTGAAAAAAAATAATTGACATTTAGAAATTTAGAAAAAATAAAAAATGCAATTTTTTAGAAATAATTTTTTGGAGCAAATTTATTTATTAAAAAATTTTTAAATGACTGCTAACTTTAATATCAACATGAGGAATTTTTTAATTAATTTTTTTTTTTATCATAATTTAATTGCTATAAAATTCTAAAAAAATTTCTAGTGTCTTCTAAAATCAGATTTTTTAAAATATTATAACAGACATTAAAAATTTTTTTATAATTTTATCGCAATGGAATTATTAAGAAAAAAATTTAATAAAAAAAACTTTTTTTTTATTAAAATTTATTTTGCAGATATTTAATAGTTTTAAAAATTTTATAACAAATAAATTATAGCAAAAAAAATTTGAAAAAAAATAATTGACATTTAGAAATTTAGAAAAAATAAAAAATGCAATTTTTTAGAAATAATTTTTTGGAGCAAATTTATTTATTAAAAAATTTTTAAATGACTGCTAACTTTAATATCATTTTTTTTTAAATTCTTAGTGAAAATTTTTGGAAGCATTTTTTTTTAATTGATTTATTTTAAAAACAATTAAATAATTATAATAAAAGTTTTATAAAAAAAATTTCACTTTTAGATGTGTCAAAAAGTTATGACAGTAAAGTTAGCAGTTACTTGATAATTTAAAAATTTTTTTTTTAACAAACAAATTTGTTAAAACAATTATTTTTACAAAATTGCATTTTTAATTTTTTTTTAAATTTCTACATGTCAATTTTTTTTCTAATTATTTTTGCCACAATTTATTTGTAAAAAAAATTTTTTTTATAACAATAATAATAATAAAAAAATATCAGTTATTAATTTTAGAACAATAATTAAAAAAATTAATTTAGTTTTCAGTAACTGCAGACGGCGAAGCAGTACACAATGATAAAGTACGAGGACTAGGTACCGATGTCGCAATAGTATCATCGATGGTATTCCTCGCACAATTTTTACTCTCTTGTTGCCTTGGTACGATTGTTAGTATCTCGGGTACTACTACCGCAGTTGTCGGTGTTGCTAGTACACTTGCTGCCTGTGGAGCATTATCAGCGACCCAAATAATGTATTTAGATCGATCAGTCATAATTTATCTCACTGTGCTAATAATGAAGACACTTCTTGCGACAGCATAGAAATTGGAGATGATTCTAATCCGATTGCGGAAAATTTGAGTTTCCAGGCAATTGATCTTGCCTATCCGCGACATAATCCATCAATAGACTTTAATTATTCCGAAAATTTAAACCTTGCGTCTGACCCAACAAGCAACAATTTAGTGAGCACAAATTTGGAGATACAAAATTCTTCCTCTAATTTATCAGGTCAAATAATTCCATTTCCGAGATTTTCTGATCAACTAAACGATGAAGAAAATTTAGCAAGTAATGGTAATTTGCCAGTACAAATAAATTCTGAACATGAGCTTGATAAAAAACACAAATGCTTGACATGCAATAAAACTTTTGCGCAAAAGTCGAAATTAAAAACTCACGAATTGTCTCATACTGGCGAGAAACCATTTCAGTGTGTCAATTGTGACAAAGCTTACACTTCAAAGAGTAAATTAAACGCTCATATGAGATTACATACGGGATCTAATGTTCATAGGTGTGATGTTTGTCAAAAAACTTTTTCTTATCCCTCTTATTTGGTAGAACATTTAAAAACTCATAGTATTAATAATAAAAATGAGAATAAAAATAATGGAAATATTGACTTGAATTCAGAAAAATTTGAATGTTCAATTTGTGGTAAAAAATTTCGTATAAAAAAAAATTTACGGCTACATTTAAAATTACACAGTGGAAAAGATTTATTTAACTGTGAAATTTGTGACAAAGTATTTAGTCAAAAGTATAATCTTAAAGTTCACATGAGAATTCACAAGGGAATAAAAATTCACAAGTGTAAATATTGTAGCAAGTCTTTCAGTGAAAAGGGTAATTACAAAGAACACTTGAGAATACACACAAAAGTTAAGCCGTTTGTGTGTAAATTATGTAATAAAGCTTTTTCACAATCTAGTCACTTAAAAAATCATGAAGCTTCTCATGACAATCAACGACCTTATCAGTGTCGATTGTGCGGTAAACGGTTTAAACTGTCATCACATTTAAAAAGACATGTTAATTTACATACGTCAGTTAAAAATTTTAAATGTATGCAGTGTGATCAAATGTTTACTCAGGCCTTCAGTCTTAAAAGACATTTAAAAAAACATAATGATGTTACTTAATTTTTTTTTATTGTTAAAAATTTTTTAACTACATTTTTAAGAAGAATATAAATTTTTATAAGAAGAAAAGATATTTTTTTGACCAAAAAATAATTTAAGTATTTAATAATTGAGCAGGGTATTTTTAATAATTTCAAGTCCTTCTCTAAGTTGATCTTCTTTGATAACCAAAGGCGGAGAAATTCTTAAAAATTGTCCGTGAGCGGGTCGCGAGAGTACACCATTGTCTCTCAGTCTTAAGCAAACATCCCATCCATTTGCAAACTCATTATTAATGTGGATTCCACAGAGTAATCCCCGTCCTCTGAATTCACTAGCAATGTCTTTTGGAATTTTCTCCAACTCTTCTTTAACTATTTTTCCAAGTCTTGCAGCATTTTCCGCGAGTTTTTCTTCTTCAAGAATTTTAACCGCCTCTAGAGCTACTGCACAAGCCAAAGGACCTCCTCCAAATGTACTTCCATGGGAACCAGCGTCCAGGTGAGAAGTTATCTATTATTTAAAGTAAGTAAAATTTTAATATTAAATTACATAATCTATATTATTAAGAGAATAAGAAAAATTTTGTGTCCAGAATAGTCATATGATAAAATCGTTTTATTTTTAGTGAAATTCCGTCTCATTGCTAAGGTCTTGAATTGAATTTGTGCCTTTTCAAGGATTCATATCATTCTCACCGATAGTCAATTTATTATAAGTATTTAGACTGCATTCGAAAAAGCTCTATCTCGCTAGATACATAATTAAGAAATAACCCTGTATCTTGTAAACTATTGACATTTTTAACAAAGATATAAGCTCATCCTGATGTTATTTATGTATATTATATATATATATGTATATATGAAAAATATATAAAAAAGCATGTGGGTACTCAAATGAAAGCTCTTGATGAGTGTATCATCGGGATGAGCTTAAATCTTTAAAAACATCAATAGTTAAGAAAGTACAGTGCAATTTAACATATTTAAGAAACGACCTAGTATCTTGTGAAATATTGACATTTTTAAAGATATAAGCACACCCCAACATTACACTCATCGAGACCTTTCATTTGAATACCCACATCAATTTTTCTATATATTTATATATATTGTATATATGAAAAATATATCAAAAATGCATGTGGGTACTCAAATGAAAGCTCTTGATGAGTGTGACATCGGGATAAGCTTATATCTTTAAAAACATAAATAATTAAGAAAATACAGTGCAATTTAACAAAAGTCATTAGTCATTATTTAATTAATTAAAATTTTTCTTTATTCATAGTTCACAAGTCACGGCAGTCACATAGTGAATGCAAGGTTTTTAGTATAATTTATTAATTAAGAATAATAAATTTATTTACCTCATTAGATGAAAGAGCTCCAGATACTGGGTATATTCCGCCGGAAAGAGCTTTACCTAGAACTAAAATATCTGGCTTTTGGTTCTCATAATCGACAGCTAGTCGGTGCCCAGTTCTACCGAGACCTGTTTGGACTTCGTCAGCAATCCAGAGAACATTGTACTTGGTACATAAATCTCTTACACCTTTCAAGTAACCATCCTACTCAAAAGACAAAAAAATAAGTAAATAAATAAATAAATCAATTATTGATAAATATTATTTATAAAAAATTACTTTAGGAATTTTAACTCCAGCCTCGCCTTGAATAGGCTCCATCATAAAAGCGCAAACATTGGGATTACTTTTCAAGGCTTCTTCCAACGCCGTCAAATCATCGTAGGGAATTTTTTCAAAGTTAGGTACAAAAGGTCCAAAGTCCGTGAAACATAAAGGCTCAGTGGAGGCTGAAGCTGCTGCTATCGATCTACCCCAAAAATTATTTTTAGCAAACAATACTGTTGCTTTATCTTTCGGTATCTTCTTAACGCGATAACCCCAGCGCCTCGCTAATTTTATTGATAAATCTCCGGCTTCAACTCCTGCAAATAAAATTTATTTATAGAAATAATATATTATTAATTAATTTTAATTAAAAAAATTTTTATTTACCAGTATTCATCGGGATAAATTTATCAAATCCGAATAGTCGCGTCAAATATTCTCCCAGCTCACCATGCAGCTCCGTGAAAAATGCTCTTGAAACGTGATGTAATTTACCACATTGATCTCTCATTACTTTAACTAATCGTGGATGGCAGTGACCTTGATTGCAGGTTGAAAACCCCGCGAGAAAATCATAGTATCTTTTATTATCAATGTCCCACAAAAATGCACCTTCACCCTTAGCTAAAACCACCGGCAAGGGTTTAAAGTGCGGACCAGCAAACTGTTCATCCCGTTTAATTATCTCTTGTTGCGCTGTGCTGATAAATCTGTTTACTTGTTTCGCATCTCGAGATCCTGAAATTATGCAACGCTTCAAAGACTGCATTGTTTTATTTAAACTAGTTATTATATTTAAATTCGAATAAATTGTGTGGCCCGAGTTCAATGAGTATCTGAGCTTCTTATTGATAAAGGCTTTTATTTATAGCCTCCCAAGTATATCTCAATTGTTTATATGAAATTATATGTCGCAGATAATAAAAGTATAGATTAAGATTACACATTAAGCGCATCGAAATAATTGATATTTAAGATATTTAAGATACCCCCGTTGATTAAAAAATTATTAACCAGGCGCCTGATTGTCAACAGCAATTATCTTTGATCAATATATTTTATCGAAAATAAGATTTTATCTTTCAGTTGATTTTTTACAATCTATCAATAATTAGGTTGCTGGATAAATAAGTCTTACATCATTTTTAAATATTTATTTATTTATGTATGTATATTTGTGCATCGTATAATTCATAGATTTCATTTTTGCATGAATTTTATCTTGGTAAAAAAAAAAAAAGTTTGGCAAATCCAAAAATGCACGACTCATAATGCTCATTCGATTGATAAATAAAAAAAAAAATAATTAATGTTGTGAAAAAACAATTTTTATTATTTTATTTAAATAAATATTATAATATTTATAAAAGTATACTTTTTCAATTTACTATTTTTTTTTATTACTTTTAAATAATATACTTAATTTCTTTTTTTTTATATTATTTATTTTTTTATTTTAAATACCACGCGGTGTTTTAAACTGATCATGTGTAAGTACCGTGTATTTTTTTCATTAATAAAAAATAAACAACATTAAATAAGATGACCAGCTTCAATAGAGATTTCCGCAAAGGGAATGCCAAGCTAATAAAAAAAAAAACTGATTGAATTCGTGAATTTTTACACAAGTTATTTTGCTTCAAATGGAAAATTGAGTTGATTAACACGAATTTTCTTTTAACTATTTTGGTATTTTTTTCTGGTTCTATTATCTTAAATTAATTTTTACCAGTGACAGAATTAATCTCTATTAAATTATCTATCGAATAGTACGCAAATTAATTAGACTACGTAGATCATCAATCGTGTAATTAATTAAATAGTTGCGAAATTGAGGAAAAACAAATTTTTTGATCGTAAAACAATCTCTGATGCTTTGCATAATGAGTCGAGCAAAATAATAAATGACCACTCTTAACAGTTCTTGAATTATAAATAACAATACTTTAAAGATTATAACAGTACCCTAGTTAACTGACAGTTATAAAAATACTTAATAAGATATTCTCTTTAAAAAAGTATAAATTTATAAAGAGCAATATACTGAACTGGTAAATGCATGAATGCTTAAAGACTAAAAATAACTTTAGACATAATCTCACAGCATTCATGAATTTGCCTCTCAGTAATAACAAGAGGCGGAGCAAGTCGAATTATATGACCATGAGTAGGCTTGGCAAGCAACCCGTGTTCTTTAAATTTCAGACAAATATCCATAGCGTCAAATTTTTTATCAATTACAATTGCGTTGAGGAGACCTTTGCCCCTTACCAAGGTCACAATATCTTTAGGCAATTTATTCAACTCCTCACGCAAAATCACACCGAGTTTTTGGGCATTCTCGGCTAATTTTTCTTCTTCCAGTACTTTTACCGCTTCCAGGGCGATCCGACAGCCCAGAGGATTTCCACCATAAGTGGAGCCGTGTTCTCCAGGTTGAATACTCAGCATCACTGGGTCGTTGGCCAGCACTCCGGCGACTGGATAAACACCACCGCTCAAAGCTTTTCCTAGAATTAAAATATCTGGCTTGACATTTTCATGATCGACAGCCAGGCGTTTTCCAGTTCTTCCTAGTCCTGTTTGTACTTCATCAGCAATCCACAATACATTGTACTTTGTACACAACTCTCTCACACTTTTTAGATAACCGTCCTGCAATTAAAAAAAATATAAATTCCAAGCAAACGATAAATTACTAGATAAATATTTAATAAGATATGAAATTTTTGATAAGAATATTAAAATTCCGTGCAATTATTATCAATTTTGAGATAAACAATTTTTAAATTGCATAAAATAAAATAATTTAAATTCTTACTTTAGGAACAACGACACCAGCTTCACCTTGAATCGGTTCAACCATAAAAGCACAAACGTGAGGATCCTTGAGTTTTTTTTCAAGTGAAATTAAATCATCGTAAGGAACTATCTCAAATCCGGACATAAATGGACCAAATCCGGAGTAACAAGTCGGATCAGTGCTAGAAGATACTGCACTTAAAGTTCTTCCCCAGAAATTATTCTCAGCGAATATTATTTTAGCGCTATTGTCTGGAATTTTTTTAACTTTGTAAGCCCACTTACGAGCTAATTTACAAGCTGTTTCACCTCCTTCGACTCCAGTGTTCATCGGTAACCATTTATCATACCTGTTCCAAAATAATGACATTAAAGTTAGCTGTCACTTGACCAATTTTTAATTTTATTTAACAATTAAATTAATTCTAAAAAATTATTTTTAAAAAAATGCATTTTTAATTTTTTTAAATTTCTACATGTCAATTTTTTTTGTCATAATTTATTTGTTAACAAAAATTATTAAATATCTGCTAAATTAATTTTCATTCCAAAATAAATCAATTAAGATAAAAGACCCAGTTATTGACACTTGCAATTTTATTTTAATTAAAAAAAACAAATTAACTCTAATAAATTAATAAATATAATTTTTTAATTATAAATTTTAAGAAAATTGGTTTTTTGAAACCATTTAATTTTTTTAATTAGAATAAAATTGTAAGTGTCTAACAACTAGGCCAGGATCAGTAACTAGATCTTTTACCTTACTAATAAATGAAACTGAAATTAGCAGACAGTTGACAATTTTTAGAATTTTTTTTTTAATAAAATAATTACAAAAAAATTATAAGAAAAAATTGCACATGTAAAAAATTTGAAAAACTATACGTGCAATTTTTTCTTATAATTTTTTTGTAATTATTTTATTAAAAAAAAAATTCTAAAAATTGTCAACTGTCTGCTAATTTTATTTCCATTACTAAAAAATTAATTTTAGAAAAATTTGAAAAAAAAAAAACTTACCCAAATAATTTTGTTATAAATTCCTCAAACTCTCCAAGAACATCCGAGTAAAAAGCCCTTGAGGTCAAAGTCAACTTTTTACCTTGCTCTACCATAGCTTTGTAAATTCTTGGGTGACAATGTCCTTGATTAACTGCCGAATAAGCGCTCAAAAAATCATAATAGCGCTTACCCTCCATATCCCACATGAAAACACCCTCTCCTCGGCACAGCGCAACAGGTAGCGGATGATAATTGTGAGCACCATATTTGTCTTCGCGGTCAAACACTTGTTGCGATGTAATACTTCGTTTGAAATTTAATTGGACTATTTTTAAATTATTTCCGTACCGTAAGCCAGATTGAAAAGCAGCGACGATTGGTTTCATTTTTAAAATTTATACTTTGAACTTGTAGATCCCGTTTAATTAACAGCTCAACTTATAATTTATATTTAATTATAATTTTATAAATTTATGACTCACAGTTATAAATTTAACTTATTTATTTAACAAGTATGGGTAATGATAAGTAATGAATTGAAGAGTAAATTCAGTACAGATTTATTACAACGGTTACGAAAGAACTGATGCGTCCCCAATGGTATTGTTTGGTTATTGATTATTTCTCTTTTGTGTATTCCCAACTGAAAAATGCCGGTAGTTTCACCGTTGAGATATCGTATCGCAACTATTTATCTATTTACTGAAAAACGGAAATGTAAAAATGACAAAGGTTGCGTCACACTTGCATATTATGTATTTAAACTAATAGAAAAAAAATTCTATAATTATAGAGAATGTGCAAAAAATTATTTTTAATCTAGTAATAGTCACAGGACCGGTTCTATTTTCGTCCTTTCACTTTACTTTGAAAAAAATTAAAAAACTCGTTGCGCATTTATAAAAATAATTTATATTAAATTCACGCGCTAAATTTAAAGATTAAAATTTTATTCAATAGTTGGTAATTATATTTGCTTTTAAATTACTTTAGAGCAATAATTGCATAGCAACGTGGTGATAATAACGGATCAAAAAGACGTACAACAGATGCTTTTGAGCATTTACCACTCTTTTGTAAATAAATTACCCGGTCTAAAACTAAAGCCGACTCAATTAAAGAAGCTAAATGAACTCTCAAGTATTGAAAAGCATTCATTTTCCATTCTCGATCGGCATAAGCTCGATGTAATTTTTCTAAATCTTCAGTAGAAGGAATTTGATTTTGTTCAAGTCCAATTTTCTTTAAAGCCCAAGTTGCGTAAGTGGGAAAGTCTTCTGTAGGAGCACCTCTGCCTACTCTAGAGTTGGGAATCCCTGGAGAAATAATAATAAATATAAATATTATTTATTATAGTAATATTAATATGATTATATTAAATTGCACTGTATTTTCTTAACGATTGACATTTTTCAATGTATAAGCTCATCCTGATGTTACACTCACCAAGAGCTTTCATTCGAGTACCCACATGCATTTTTATATATTTTTCATATATACATATATATATAAATATATGAAAAATTGATGTGGGTACTTAAATGAAAGGTCTCGATGAGTGTAACATCGGGATGAGCTTATATCTTTAAAAATGTCAATACTTTACAAGATACAAAATTATTTCTTAATTATTAATATTTTTAAAGATGTAAGGCCACAATATTTTGCTTATTCTCTTAATAATATAGATTATATTTTTACCTAAAGATTGAAAAAGTACTTGAAGTAATGACCGGTAAAATAAAGAAGGAGAATACTGTTTAGATTTTTTAGACATTCTTTCGACTGATTGTTGAGCAAGCATGCGAGCATTTGTCGTGAATTTACAATTTTTAGTTAAACATTCCTCGGTTAAATGATAACAGCATGAAACTACGCAAAGAGTTTTAAGACTCGGAGAATTTAAAAATCCTTTTATCATTGCTCCAGCCAATGATCCACAAGTATGCAATCCAGCAAGAAGATAATTATCCTGACCATTGTAATCTGGAAGTGCCGAATTTATTAATTCTGAGTAGTCTGTTGATTCATTTATGTAATTGATTGAATGCTGGACCTAAAATAAAAAAATTACTTTGAGAAATTGGCTATTTATTTATAACTCATGATTTTACAAAAATAATATTACCAGAGGATAAGACTTGTGTGTTTTTTTCAATAGCAATTTTTGTCTACTGATAGCACTTTTGTGTCTTGATTCACACGAATCAATAGCAACTACCGGTATTTTGTAATTTTCATACAAACTTGTACCTAGGTAACCCTTACCAGCTCCAACATCAATTACTAAACTTGAATTTATTTTTGACAAATATCCAATAACTTTTGTCAGAACTTCAATTTCATAATTCTTTTTATCCTTCATAAAGTTTTGTTTTATTTTATTATTATTGTCATTATTTTTGTTACAAAATTCATTCCAGCTGAATTTATTATCAGATAAAACAGATAAGTCTTCAAGTTTTAAAAGATGAGGATTATTTTTTAAGTTTAAGTAATTAATTTTCTCAATAAAATTTTTTAATTCACAATTTTCATTTATATGACTGTAGACGGTCAAATTATAATTTATTTTTTCCAAATCTTCTAGTTCGCTTTTCAAAGCACCAGGCAAACATTTTTCCCAAAGATTGTCAGTAATAAAGTCAACCAAATGACAATTGATTAAATCTTCGTACTTATCAATAAAAGATAATATTTCAACAAACAATTCATCGTAGCAATCCATTTTAAAATTTTTGTATTGTATGGAAGATTATAAAAATATAAATAATACAATTTTTTTTTTTAATTAAAAATCGAGTTTTTCAGCTTCTGGATAAGCTGAATTAATTTTCGCTAGCGAACAAAGCTTCGTAAATTTAGATTTAATATTTTCTAAGCCTTGTACAATATCAAAAGTTTCATCATTGTCTTTAGGAAATTTCCTGATCTCATCTTTTAATTTTTTAGCTTGTTCCAAAACTTTGGGAGAAAAATTTTTTTCATGCAGACAATATTCAATTACTCCACTGTAGTATCCTAATTGAGCTGCTAAAACACTAGCTCTGTGATATCCCAGATGATAGCCTTTTAATAATTGATTTTTACCCGCTTCAACACCTTCATCAAATCCAGATTTTTCGGCAATATCTTCAGCTAGTAGTAAATTTTCAAAAACTTCATTTACATCAACATTGTCATTTTCAGACATGATTGTCTCATCTAAAATAAATAAATAATCTTGAATATTTATGACATTAAAGTTAGCAGTCACTAGAGAATTTTTTAATAAAAAATTTGCTCCAAAAAATTATTATTAAAAAATTGCATTTTTAATTTTTCAAATTATATTTTTTTGCCATAATTTATTTGTTAAAAAAAATGATTAAATATCTAAATTTATCATCATTAAATATTTTGTATAAATAAGAATTTATTTAATGAAAATTAAGGAACAGATATTCAATAATTTTTTAAGAAATAAATTAGTGCAAAAAAAATTAGAAAAAAATTGACATGTAAAAATTAATAATCAAACTTTTTGGAAGAAAATTTTTTGTTAAATAAAATTAAAAAATTGTGACGTGACTGCTAACTTTAATGTCGTATTTGTTTCTAGTTATTTTTAATTTTGCTTACCTTGTTTAGGATAACGCATTGATGTAATTTTCAATTGGAACTTAATTATTATTTGTTTTATAATTAACAATTATTTAGATTGACAAAAATCAACGTGTAATTTTTTTAAAAGGTTAAAAAAAATTAATTTTTCTCAATGTTACCCAACTATTTCAATTTTTTTAATTTCAATAACAACAAATTTATGAAATCAAATCAAATTTCTAATAATTTTTTATAATTATGAATTGTAACAATAAAAAAAAATGATTTTTTTTTTTATTCAATAAAAAAAGTAATATTTGTCAACAATCACAAGTGGATTAAAATGGCGCGCGTTATTTTAAGGCAAATTTACATAAAAAAATTCTAATAAAAAAAAAAAACCAATAATTTTAATTAATTATAAAAAAAAAAATAACAAATTGCATAAATTAATACTGAAATTTTTTTCACTCTAAATTATCAACAATTATAAATAATAAAATTAAAACTTACATAAAAATGAAACTTAACAATAAGATGGCATCTGAACCCCCGTCAGCAGTATATATATGAAAAGCCAACTTCATACTATAGCATGTAAAGTTAACAGTGATGTTTGCGGGTGAAACAGCATTGTTACCGTGGTGTGACTCCAAATAATTTTATAATTTAATAATAATTTTGTGAAAAATGTTAACTCTTCAACCGAAAAAAGACGGCGGACCTAATGCTAAATTTTTTGAGTCCGCTGAAGTATTAGCACAGCTTGATGGAGTGAAGCAATGGCTTTTGAAAAATTGCAAAAAGGTACGAACAAAACCGGCGTCCCAACCCCTATCATCCTATTTCCAAGCTTTTATAAAGCTAAATATTAATAAAAACTACTCACTTAGATTATATTTCGCTTTACTTTATCAAGCTTTCATTTAAATTAACTCAAATTTTTATTTAGCTTACCAATTTTTCGATTATTAAAAAAAAAATTCCATTAAAACACCGAAATAATTTTAATCGACATATTCAGAGACATCAAGCGTTAACAATCAAAACAAGTCCATCTTTATTTCAAACGATGTTTCAATTTTTATAAAAAATATAATAATATTTTTATTTTTCAGTATGTTACAACAGATCCACCGACCAACAAAAGTTTGTCTACTTTGATAATTCAGTTAATTCAATTTCAAGAAGATAATCTTGGGAAAAATGTCTCCAAGCCACCTATGGCAAGGCTTCCCGTAAGTATTTTTTATTTTATCTTAAATATTACAAAATATTAAAATTAAATACATTTTTTAATTTATATTCTTATAAAAAAAAAATTATTTTTTTATTCAGATGAAATGTTTTCTTGATTTTAAACCAAATGGAGGACTTTGCCACATATTTGCAACAGCATACAAATTCAAACAGGAGCAAGGATGGCGAAGATTCGATTTTCCTGTTGGAAAAGTATGTTCAAAAATTAAATATAAATTTTTCTAGTCTAGAATTTTTAATGATACTGAAATCAGCAGACATCTGACAATTTTTTAATTTTTATTATAAATCAATCATGATAAAAAAAAATTTTTAAAAATTCGCACTTACATTTTTTTTTTATTTCTACACTGAAAAAAAAATTAACTTGATTCAAGAGAATATATATATATATATATATAAAACAATACTTTAGTTCTTAAGTGCTAATTATTTCCTTATATTAATCAATATTTACAACTTTTTGACTTTATGCATAATATTTTTATTAATTTTTGGTAATTGCAAGGGTTTCCCTTATAATTATTATATTCATCTTTACAATAAGAACTTGATTTAAGAACATTTTTTTTTTCTGTGTACATGTGAAATTTTTTTCATTATAATTTAAATGTTATAAAAATCTAAAAAATTGTAAGATGTCTGTTGATTTCAGTGTCATAATTTTTAATAATAATAAAAATTATTTTTTTTCTGTTTAGTCAACTTCACGTTTAGATCGTATAATAGAAATGCTGATGGCTATTGAACGTTCTCTGATCCAAAACCGATGTATAACTGTCCCATGTGTTTACATCAGACCCGAAATAGACAAAGCTACAGCGTCGAAAGTAAAAGAAAACATCCGTCGCCATCAAGGTACTATAGCTGAAAATGAAGCCGAAGCTACACACATTATTTATCCACCAGTAGATCCATTGGAAGAAGAATACGCCCGGCCATGTTTACGTCGCGATCGTTCTGTGCTTCTTCATTGGTATTATTTCCCCGACAGTTACGACTCCTGGGTAAACTTTGATTTGCCATTCGATATTCCGGAGGGTGGATTTGGTGGTCCATCCCCAAAGTCAACCTACAAAGTTTCTGCAACATGGGCTCTTGACCTTGACCAGTACAACGAGTGGATGAACGAAGAAGACTACGAGGTTGACGACAACGGCCAGAAACGTATTCATAAATACAGGCTGTCTGTCGAAGACATGATGGCACCACCTTCAGCGCCTCCACCAGCCTCAGCCAAGAAACAAAAACGAAAAAGATCTCCAAGTCCCCCTCCAAAAATAGGAAAACGTAAGAGTGGCCGTGGTCCAGCTGGCTTAGCTGGAACATCAGCAGTCGCGACGCCCAAGAAAACTCGTGGGGGTGTAGACGAAGAGGAAGATCTTACTCAAGGCATGGAAGACCCACCAGCAGAGCCAAGAATCGTTGAGGTGATGTCTAATCCTACAAACGCTCCGCTTTCTGGATCCGGTGGAGGTTCCACGGGAAGTCTTACATCGAATAAAAAGCAAGACAACGAACTCCAGCCTCTGAAATCTGGTAACATGGCGGATCTCGACGAGCCAATAGAATCTGAGAAAGGGTCTCAGGGGACTCAAGATCGCGAAGAACGAGACACAAGCAAAGAACGTGGTGATAATGGAAAAGATGAACCTGAAGACAATGTAACTGAGCAAACTCATCATATTGTCGTTCCTAGTTATTCTGCTTGGTTTGATTACAACTCAATTCACACGATCGAAAAACGCGCTCTCTCAGAATTCTTCAATGGAAAAAATAAATCAAAGACTCCAGAGATTTATCTGGCTTACAGAAACTTTATGATCGACACTTACCGATTAAATCCAACCGAATACATAACTTCAACAGCATGTCGGCGTAATTTGGCTGGAGATGTATGTGCGATAATGCGCGTCCATGCATTTTTAGAGCAATGGGGATTGATTAACTATCAAGTCGACGCCGAGTCACGACCAACACCAATGGGTCCACCGCCTACCTCGCACTTCCACGTGTTGTCTGATACACCCTCTGGCCTGGCTCCAGTCAATCCGAACCCACCAAAGACTCAGCAGCCGTCTGCTGCCAAGACTCTACTGGATTTGGAGAAAAAACCAGTCGTATCAGTGGAAGAGAAAGGAGCCGTGGGAGCTATGGCTAATTTCGGATTGAAGATCGATCAGTATGCAAGAAAGCCTGCGGTTTTGAAAAACAAACAAGCTGCAGGAGCGACTAGAGATTGGACTGAGCAAGAAACTTTGCTTTTGCTTGAAGGATTGGAGCTGCATAAAGATGACTGGAACAAAGTATGCGAGCATGTGAGTTCACGGACCCAAGACGAGTGTATTCTCCACTTTTTGCGTCTTCCTATCGAAGATCCTTACCTGGAAGAAGGTGGACCCGAAGGTCTTGGACCCTTGGCCTATCAACCGGTGCCTTTCTCAAAAGCTGGGAATCCAGTGATGAGCACCGTAGCTTTTCTTGCGTCTGTTGTGGATCCACGAGTTGCTGCTAGTGCTGCCAAAGCAGCCATGGAAGAGTTTGCAGCTATTAAAGATCAAGTACCTGCAGCTCTTTTGGATCAACATCTGAAAAATGTCCAAGCCAGCGCTAACGCTGACGGTAAATTTGATCCCGCTGCGGGATTAGCTCAATCTGGTATTGCTGGTACTGGTCCACCAGAGCCACCAGAAGACGCTTCGGCTAGCTCGACTCCTGGTGCTACGGCAACTTCTCCATCCGCCGCGACATCTGAAGGGAAAAAAGACGAGAGTATTGAAAAGAGAGAAGGCGATGAATCTATACCTGCACCAATTGTTCCCAAAAAAGAAGAGACAACTGATACGGAAAGAAGCGATCAGCCGGAAAAAATGGACATCGATGTTAAAGAGTCTGACGCAGATGCTAAAAAGATTAATGATAATCCAGAAGAAATAGAAGCCAAGGAAAAGAAAGACAAAGTTGTTCGTGATGCACAATTGCAATCTGCTGCAGCTGCCGCTTTGGCTGCTGCTGCGGTCAAAGCCAAACATCTAGCAGCCGTTGAAGAACGCAAGATTAAATCACTGGTTGCTTTGTTAGTTGAAACCCAGATGAAGAAATTGGAGATTAAACTCCGTCATTTTGAAGAACTGGAGACCACGATGGAGCGCGAACGCGAAGGACTTGAGTATCAGAGACAGCAGCTTATTACAGAGCGACAACAATTTCATTTAGAGCAGCTTAAAGCCGCTGAATTCAGGGCTAGACAACAGGCTCATCAACGGATAGCCCAAGAACAACAGCAGCAGCAACAGCAACAACAACAAGGCCAACAACATCCAGCTTGGCAGCCTGGAACTCAGCCTCAGCCACCACAGCAGCAGCAACCTCCTCAGCCTCAACCACCACCGCAACCACAACAGCAACAACCACCAAGTCCTCAAGCTCAACCACAACCGCCTCCTCACACGCCCCCACAACAAGTGTAATTTGTATCAATTTATAAATGGAACAAAATTTTAAATCAGTCGTATAAATATTTTTTTATCTTTTAATTAATTTAAACGCGTCCAGCGTTGTTGTAATAATTAGTTATTAGTAAACAAATTACGACTGTTAGTATCGCAATTTTTCAAGTCATTAAGGTCTGAAGATTTATATAATTTTCTTATATATATTTTTTCTTTTTTTTTTTGTTTTTTTTTTTTTTTTTAAAATAAAATTTCAATTTTTAGTTAAAATTAATCTGATGGAAAAATGAAGAAAAATATTGACGGTCATTTTAATGGTTCTACACAATTGCAATGACTATCATTCCAATGATAATTAAAGTTGACGTTTTATTGACGAAAAAATAAAATTTTGATACTGGATTATTTAAGTATTATTAAACAAGATTTAAAAATATATATGTATGACACTGCTATGACTTTGAATTATTATTTATCAAATTTTTTTTTATTTATTATTAAAATTACAATTGTTAGCAATCAAGGTGGGGAAAATAAAAAATTAAATTAAAAAACATTTTGACGATTCTAAAACAGAGGAAATCAAGTCTTCGTTAATAAAAAAGAAAATGAAAACAATTTGTATAGTCATTGAAATTCCATTTTATTATTATTTCACCTAATATTCAAAGTGTTACTATTAAGATTTGATTGATTATTAGTTATAGAAATTTTTATTATAAATAAAATAATACAGTGGAGTATTTGAGTACAGAATTATTAATTAATCAAATTTAATTCCTTTCTAAATAAATAATTACTAATTGTGATAATGATAATAAACAACATAATTTAGTTACAGAGCTTTATTTTGAATTAATTCAAGAGCTAACTCAGTCATTAATCGAGCGCATTCATCGCCACCAGGAGGTGGTGCTCGAGGATAACGAACTTCTTCGGCATTACCTTCAGCGCCTTCGTACAAATCAGGCGCGTTGTCACTGTCGCATGTACTGATTGGAAGAATATCCAACGCTATTCCGAATCCAAAGCGTCCACATTTTCGTACCTCTTCATTTAATCTATAATAATAATTCGTAAGTTTGATTATTAATATAATTTAATTTTCAACTTTTTAATTTTATCAGAATAAATAAAAATCATTACAGCTCCCAAGTAACAGAAGAGTCACGAGACTGCTGGGGGTTCAATGTGTTCAAAGCTTCCATCAAATGTTGATGATAATGAATCAATAATGAATTCATATGAACTCTTCTTACTTCTCCAGATGTACAGCAATATAACAAATTTACTAAATCCAACGCTAATGACCCAACACGTAGTAGTTGAAAATCAACAAGATAAACGGCCTAGAATGTCGCACATGATTATTTATTTTATTTATTAAATTTTGATCCTAGAGCAAGTGCTCCTTAAGGACCATCATAATCAGATACATATTAAATTAATATAATTTGTTTGGTATATGACTCTAAGATCGGTGTTCTTAATTAATAAAGATAGATAGATATTATTTTAAACCTGTTACTCAATCTAATTCTTGAAGAAAGTTCAATTTTTTATTATCTTTTCACGATAATATTTTTCGGTATGAGGTCTCATACCATCAGAGAAAATTTTAGGTGAAAATATATTAATTTTTGTTAAATAAAAAAAAAAAAAAAAAAACCTTTACACATTATCTAACAAAAATTTGTTGAAATTAAATTTTAATTGTTGTATTTTCACGTAAGATTTTCTCTGATGGTATGAGACCTCATACCGAAAAATATGGTGAAAAGATAATAATAAAAAATTGAACCTTCTTCAAGAATTGGATCGAGTAACAGGCTTAAAATAATAACTATCTATCTTTATTAATTAATATAATATTATTTACAAAAAAAAAAAAAAAAAAAAAAAAACAAAATAAATTACCTCAGCATCGGTATCAGAATTTGAAAATAAAAAATTATTGGTCCAACAATCACCGTGACAAAAAACAGTAAATGGTCCTCGGGTGGATGCTAGTTCACACATTGTACGAAAAAAGACATCTTCGTGCAGAAAATTTTGTAATTTTCCCAAAACTTTATTCCTTTCATGGTGATGCTGAGCCGGTAAAGCTTCTGATACCATTGTCATTGCATTTTTAACAGCAACTCTATAGTAATGCCGATACCACTCTTCATACTCCAGCCGGAACAAACTTTCACGAACACCGTCTGGATTATTTTCATCAGATAAATGTTGAAAAACTTCTGGCCTAATAAAAAAAAAAAAATTATAAAATTAATTAAAAGATATTTTAATAAAATTAGACAATTTTATTTATTATCTTTTATTTATTAAAAGATAATTTTAATAAAAGTAAAAGATACTTTAATTGATTAGAAAAATAAATAAATAATACTTGAGATCACGAAGTGTAAGACTCAGAGCATGAAAACCAGCAAGAGCTTTCAGCACAAGCTTCAAGCGACTTAATTCCAACCCCTGACGTCTATCAGCCATAACGTATCCTCTTATCTTCAAGTCCTCCATAGCAATAAGATCAGATCTTGCAACATAAGTTTTAGCGACTCCGCCAAATACTTTTTTACCTGTTTGCAATTTGTTAAGCGCCGGCCACACAAGATTATAAAAAACAACTTCATTTTTGAAAAGTAGTTCACTCTTATACTCATCGCGCCTCGCTTTGGACTCCGGTAAGACTTTGTAAATAATAGCCGTGCTCCAGGGTATCCACTGTCCGGACTTCAATCTTTTACGCCCGTTAACTTTCATTCTGTACAACATTGATGTGTAATTATCACCACGTCCAGAGCCCGGCTCTTCATCAAGACTCGTAATTTCAACATCTGGATCGTCTTTAGAAATTAAATCTCGCATAAACTCGCGCGTAAGTTTTCTACTCTCCGGGTCCATTGTACGGTAAAAGCGAATATAATCTGGTATGGATGAAAAAGATACCTTCTACCCATCAGGCTATTAAACACCAGGCTCCGAGCAGTGACGTCTGATACAGGAAATAGCTATTTTAAATTGCGATGATGATAGGGTCACAAAATATCCCACTGCTATTAGTACAAGTTAGTTTATTAATCATTTTATTCATTAGGAAATAAAATGCCCTGAGCTCAAGGGGCAAGGACATTGATGCATGTCAATCTGCTAAATTGTACGCTCATCAATTCATTGTTTTTTTTTATTTATATTCCCTACGTTTATTTACAAAATACTTTTATTTTATATATTTAAAAAAAAAAAAAGAAAAATAGTAATGAAAGTTACGTTAAAAATTTTTAATTTATATCCTTGGATTTTTTCTTAGAACCTTTTTTAGCATCAACAAAACTTTTGAGACGATTGTGTTGCCATTCAGTCAAAGATAAATTACTTTCAATTTTTTCAACCATTCCTGGCACTTCAGGAAAATCATTCTCTGCACAATAGGTCACCAAATCCTACAAAAAAAAAAAAAAATTAATGAATAAACAATTGACAAAAGTGTATGTAAATAATTATATTAACAAAAACTTACTATAGTAGGTGGAGCAAAACATTTCATTATGAAGCCATCTAATAAAATGTCTAGTTGCTCGAAATCCGGAACTCCAATAATCGAACTTTGTTTTTCTAATAGGTATGTGACAATGGTTGCAGAATTATCGACTTCATCAGCTCTTAAACAGAGAATAGCCATGTCTCCAAGAATTCTTCCTTCCCAATTCAATGTTTGGATTCTTCTTTCTTGTTGAAGCTATTGAAATAATTAATGTATTAAAATAATGTATTTATTAAGACAAACGTGAAAAATTCAGGTTGAAATTTGCAAAGCTAGCAGCGGATTATATATGAGAGCAAGGTTATAACGAAAGGAGGAATTGTGAAAGAATGTCTAATGGAAGGAATCAAAGGAAAAAGGTGTAAAAAAATTTTTAAATGTAGGACAAAACTTCTAAACGAATGCGGACTCAGTCAACACTGAAAGAAGAATTTCTTAGTATTTAAGAAATATTTCTTAAATAGTTTTATTTAAATTAAGCAAAAATTTATTTCAATCAATTTAACAAGTTCTTGAGCTAAGAGTATATATTCTTGAAAATTTTCAAGAACATGAATTCTTGTATCAAGAAAATTTTCTTAATAAAAGAATTTTTTTTCTCAGTGTATTGAGTTAAAATAAATAAATGTAATTTAATAGAATTTAGTTTATGTAAAGTTATATGTACTCAGTCTTATTTCTAGGTTCTCAAGATTAAAATAAATAAATAAAAAAATATTTATCAACACTCACCAGAACGTATTTCCAAACGGTCCAAGCAGCGTCAGCAAATATCGCATTGAACGGTGAATTATTATCCGGCTTACAGTGAACTCGCATCAGATTCAACGCTTTGCTAACAAGATTTTTTCTCTCTAAATGTTCAAACTGTACCATATGACTCCATATTCTCGCCAAATATTCCCTACTGATATCAGGATCACTAAATTCTAATGTCGATAAAATGGCATTCATAACCATGGGCTCAGGAACGTAAATATTCGGTACTATAACGTCGTAATAATTATTCATAAATGCATCAATCGGTCGATTTTGTACTTGGAGCATAAAGTAATGTCTGTAATAAATATTTTCTCCAAAATTATTCCCTATAAAATTATAATTATCTCCAGTTAACAATAATTTGTGAATTTGATCGCCTAATTCTGGATCAATTACAATATTAGCAGCAACATCCATCGCAAATGGAAAAAACAGAGTGTCAGCTTTACTTTGAGCGACAAATGATTTGTTTTTAATTTTATTCATAATCTCACGCAATAAACTACAAGCCGGTGAGTCTTTTCGATAAAATGCTTTTAGCGCATAATAATATGAAGCCAGTGAAGGTTCAATACCGATACTTTTAAATTCACCGAACAGCAATCGACAGAATTCTTCAGCGTTGTTTCGATTCATCCTACTGGTAACTTTCAGAGCACTATTTAAAGTTCCAATGTTTGGCTCAAGTCCTTGCTCTTTTATTTTTCCCATCGTGTTTAGTACTATTTTTCTTCGCTCGCTTCCGTTATCTGTGATTGTAGTTGCTAAAGAAATAATATAATTATAAGCTTCAATTGTCAGAGGAATATTAAGTCTGTCGGCTTCTTCAGACAATTGCCAAGCTCGTTCAGTGTTTATGTACTTGGCATTGCCACAAATCATTGCTGAATAAGCGTCAGCAGCAATTTTTCCACCTTGGTCTTTTAAAAAAGCAAATAGTTTGTCAGTTTCGGAGCAATGTTTCCATGAAGGTGTTTTAGAATCATTTTTGAACCACTTGTGCTCCATAAATTCCTCAGACAGAGGCTCTTCATTGTTATAATAGCACAACAATTGCAATAATTCTGACTTTGTTTCAACAGAAACTTGCTCTTCAAGTAATTTATAAATTGTCAACGCGTCAGAGGGATTAGCATCTTTAATAACTTTCTTCAGAACTTCTTCCGACACCTGGTCTTTACTGGTGTACTCTATTTTCGGCAAAAACGACTCAATAACAGGATCCATCACTCTGTGATCAAATAGGTAAGAAAGTTCCTGTCGAATCCACATGGCAGCTTTACGTCCGGATTCTTTTGCCAACGCGTACGAACGTTTTGTCGATTGTGACACTGGAATCAGGTAAGGATCATCAATATATTTGTAGTGTGGAGCTGTCGGGTCGCGTTTTATTGTCCCTTCAAGAGCTCGCAATACATCTGTTGGTTTACGTTCTTTGTAAATTGGAAGTTGAATCGTTGATGATGAGGTTGCTGCCGCACCACCGGCTAGTGATGATTGTAACCTCGTAGAAACAAGACTCGAAGACAGAGCTCTAGTAAAATTAGATTTTATTAATATTTTATTTATTTATTTAATAATGCCAAATGGCAAGGTGTTACAAAATAATTTTTGCAATAGTGGATACAATAATATAAGAATTAGGATATAATGAAATGTAAATTAAATTAATAATAATAATAAAGTTAGCCGACATTTTTGATTTTTTTCGGCTAACTTTATTTTCATATTAAATTAGCCGACATCGGAAAATTTTTGTAAATTTTTTATTGAAAAAGAATAAAAATAAAAAATTTGACATGTTGAAAATTTTGCAATTTTTTAAAAATATTTTTTTACTTAAATAATTATTATTTATTTAAAAAATCAAAAATTGTCTAATGTTTGATAATTTTAGTATCATATATATAAAATATTTAAAAAGCTACAAGAGTTTTTTAAACTGAGTTTTATAAAATAATTTATATTTTATTAATAATTTTATAAAAACTTACCGGTTAGTCATATGTCGACTCAGAGAATTCATTTTTTTATATTAATAATCACTGATAAAAATATTATTATAAAAATTGGTGATTTATTTTTTTCAAGTATATTATTTGGATTCATATGATTGAAGGTTATGATTGTCTGGAATTTACCCGCAGACTCTTCTTTTTTTTCAAGTAATTTTTTTCACTTGAATTTTCTCAAAATTTTTTTATAAATAATAAATAACAAGAAACCTAAACAATATTAAATAAATAAATAAATAAATGTTATAATTTTTTTTTTATTAATTTATTTAAACAGTTAAAGAACAATTTAAAACTTCCCGGGGTTTTTAATAGCGCGCGCCAAGACGGAACTAGCGGAGAAATTCAAAACTAAGTAAGTATACACTTCCGACTTTAAATTAAAAACCAATAGAATTTTCCGGAGTCACATGAATACACACCTTGGTGTAATTTAGCGTAGAACATACAACACAGAGATAAATTTTTTAATAAATTTTACGTTTCTGTTCATTTTGGAGCATCATACAGTAATACAGTATTACACTGACAGACGTATATAATTCATGGTGTATTACTTTAAGATGTAGCCTTTTGCATAATTTAAGTGTACAATTGTAATATATAATAACCGTTGCGCAATTATTATATTAATTACTGTCATTATTAATTTCATTTGAATTATTATTTAGATTAGTTTAAAGTAAAACACAGACTATAGATAGTATATCTCTTAATAAGTATATAAAGTATATACACATATATGTTACTATAATCGCCTAAACGAATAAGTGGTTGTTATAAATTAGTGAAATTTATTTATTCCATGACTCCGTCATCTAATAATACGTGAGTAATTCTCACGGGGGTTTTATTTTCACCACCCTGTTGTTTTACATATTTTATAATATACATATATATGTCAAAGCGTCTCGTGTATACTGTATATTTCATCTCGGTCTCTTTGGCATTTTTATTTCTTTTTTTTTTTTTTTTTACGCAGATGCTCGTGAATTTTTCTCGCATTCAGTTGACCATCGACTCAATCGCAATAATCATCCACTTATTTCCCGTAAATATCATTTGTATATTTGATTGGAATGTCAATTCTATTTTTTATTTTTTTTTTTTTTTTCTAATTTTTTTAATTTAATTTTTTATTTTATTAACCATTTTCATTTTTAATGAATCTAATTATTAACTTTGATTAATAATAATAATTATTCATGATTATTTATTACTGATATTATTGTAATAATAATAATTATTATTATTATCATTGTTAATATATTAGTTCATTGGCATATTTAATATTTTTAGGTTAGCGGAAAATGACAGTATTAGAGGCAGAAGAAGATTCGGATGAACGATCCGTTCCCCCTAGGAAAAAATTTTGCTTGTCACTTTCACGACGCGATCATACCATTAACAAGACAATTACACAGCCCCCTCATTCTTCTACACGAGGGGGCTTCTACGAAGATCAAGATCTTCCTTACAGTAAGACTTTCTCAAACATTTTATTATTTGTTTTTTAATATCATTACTCTTAATACATCATATTCTAATGCATAATTGATGTTAATATTATCAACTTCAAACTTTTTTTATTAATAAAAATTCAGAGATTGGTATTAAAAAAATTAGATGAATATCTAGACTTATCTCTTTCTAGATTAAAGTTATGGATTCAAAACTCATACCAATCTCTGGCTTTATTTAAGATAATTGAAATTTTTAGTATTATTGAATGAATTTAATTTTTTTATTTTTCTAGGTACAGACAAAATGTTGAATGGATATCGAAGTCAATTAGGGAATCATCAAGATTTATCATATGACATCATTGGAGGAGGTTCTGATGGATTGAGAATAGCAACACTTTGTAATCTTGGGAATACATGCTTTTTGAATAGTGTTATTTATACACTACGCTTTGCACCCTCATTTTTGCACAACTTGCATCATCTAGCTACAGATCTCTCCAATCTCAATGACAAACAATTACAAACAAAGGTAAGTCATTCATTTGTCTAACTAAATGAATAAATACTAGCAACCTTGTAGTCACTATGTAACTGCCATGATTTGTGAACTATAAAAAATTAAAATTTTGATTTATTAAATAATGACTTGTTAAATTGCACTGTACTTTCTCAAAAATTGACGTTTTTAAAGATATAAGCTCATCCTGATGTTATACTCATCAAGAGCTTTCATTTGAGTACCCACATGCATTTTTGATATATTTTTCATGTATACATATATATATAAATATATAAAATATATGAAAAACTGATGTGGGTACTCAAATGAAAGGTCTCGACGAGTGTAACATCGGGATGAGTTTATATCTTTAAAAATGTCAAAAGTTCACGAGATACAAGGTCATTTCTTAATTATTGATGTTTTTAAAAATGTAAGCTCATCCCGATGTTACCCTTATCAAAAACTTTCATTTGAGTACTCACATGCATTTTTGATATATTTTTCATATATACATATACATAAATATATAAAATATATGAAAAACTGATGTGGGTACTCAAATGAATGGTCTCGATGAGTGTAACATCGGGATGAGCTTATATCAATAAAAATGTCAATATTTCACAAGATACAAGGTAATTTCTTAATTATTGATATTTTTGAAGATATAAGCTCGTCCCGATATGTTACACTCATCGAGACTTTTCATTTAAGTACCCACATGGGATTTTCTATATATTTTATATATATATATGGTATTTGTGAAATATATAAATATATAAAATATATGAAAAATTGGTGTGGGTACTCAAATGAAAGGTCTCGATGAGTGTAATGTCAGGGTGAGCTTATATCTTTAAATATGTCAATATCTCACAAGATACAAGGTAATTTCTTAATTATGTATCTAGGGATAAAGCATTTCTGAATGCAGCCTAAGTATTTATCACAATAAATTGACTATCGGTGAGAATGATATGAAACCTTGAAAAGGTACAAATTCAATTTAAGACCTTTGCAATGACACTAAATTTTATTTAAAAAAAACCGATTTTATCATATGACTATCCAGGAAGCAAAATTTTTTTTCTCTTAATAAGATAGATTAAATGTATCTTTGATTTAATTATTTGGCAACAGGTGAAATCATCATCTCTCGGGCGTACTGGTGTATCATTAACATCAAGTGGTAACAGAAGTTGGAGCAGCAAAGATTTATCAGCATTATCAGGCATCAGCGAGCTGAATAAACCACGAATCCAAGTAGCTACTGAAAAGCTTCATGAATTGTTCGTGGCTTTAAGGTTAAGTGAAACTAGAGATAACTGTGAACCTTTTCAACCTGACGCTTTTCTTCAAGCTTTAAGGTATTCTAATTCATTTAATTACTATTTCAGTTTGATTATATTTTAAAGTATATTTTTCGTTACTTATATTTGATATTTTCAGGGATGTTAATCCAATATTTGAAGGTAATCAGCAACAAGACGCTCACGAACTGTTAGTTTGTTTGCTTGACAATATCCGTGAGACATTTCAATTGTTAGTAAGGCATAGAGAGAGTCAGTTTGGCCAAAGTAATGGTGGGATGATTGACTTTGCAACAGATCGTTTTGTTGATATGCCGTTTGAAGGAACTGGCTCTGGGAAACGCAGTATGCGTAAGAAAAAAACTAATAAACATAAAACAACTCGTGGAAGCGCCACTTCTTTGACACAAACAAGTGTAAATGGATCGGCTATTCCTACAAGACTCGAAAATGGTCATGCTGATTTTATGGGGAACAATGGTGACCTGTTGTCTCATAGGCCTGAAAGCAAAAAGTGTTTTATTTCGGAAGATTTTGAAGGTGTTAGTCTCCTGCGAACTACTTGTCTCGAATGTGAGCATGTTACAGAGCGAAAAGAAACGTTTTGTGACATTTGTGTGCCCATTGAAACTGGTAGATCCAATGAGAAAGGTAAAATATATCAATTTTTATTTTAACAAATTTTTTTTTATTAAAAAAAAAAAAAAAAAAAAAAAAACAAAAAAAAACAACTACTACTTAAGAGAATATCTCGACTGAGTTTTAAGAGTACTTGTCAACAAGAATGCTTAAGTCTAGTGTTTGAAATTAATCTCTTGGTTTTGCAGATGAAAATGGGAAATCGATAGACGGCAGCGAAGTATACAGGCATTCTGTTGTCACTAGTGAGCTTCTATGTGGTAGAGACAAATACTGGTGCGCCAGCTGCTTGAGATATAACGAAGCACGACGTGCGGTCAGTTTTCCATCTCTACCAAGGCTTTTAGTTCTTCAACTCAAGAGATTTTCCACAGCGGCTGGGTGAGTTAATTTTAATATTACCCCGTTGAGGACACACGGGGTCCAGTGGACCCCACTCCGTAAAACAATTCTAATTCGTTTCCTATGTGATGTATTGACTTTATAATTGGCACCAAACTTTAATATAACATTCCCTCTAAATATGTTATTAGTTATTTTTAATTTCTAATAATTTAAAAATACTGAAAAATCGTTTAGAAAAAAAAAAAAAAAAAAACGAAATTGTACTTTTTTTTATAAAAAAAGGTCGCCAAAATTTTGATTTTTACATCGAAAAAAAAACTGACGTTTTATTCGGAAAACTATATATTTTGAGGAAAAAAATCAATATTTGATGAAATTTGAAAAAAATATATTTATTCTAAAGTTTGAAGTAACGAATTTTGGTCAGTCGCTTAAAATGAGAATAAGACATTTAAAGATGCAAAATACTTGATATAAAAAGATTTAGTTTTTTGTCATAAAACTTTTTTATTATAATTAATATTACAATGAAAAAATAGAAATTATAAATCTCCTTAAAAAAATAATAAATAATTGAATGAATTTTTCTCAACAGCTCGATGGAAAAAATCAACAATTATATGCCAACCCCTCTGACTCTGGAATGTTTCTGTGAAGAATGTAACAGCGATTCAACCCAGGAAAGTTCATCTAGCCGCAGTCAGTCATCCGAATCTCGGCACGTGTACAAACTCTACTCCGTGATAATGCATCAAGGAGCAACATCAACGGCTGGGCACTACATTGCCTACACAAAAGTACCGGAGGAGTCGATGTTTACAGAATACTTTCGGTGTGATCGAGATGCTCGTCGTCAGAATGTCACACAGAGCAGCAGCAGCAGTAACTCAACCACTTCGGCATCATCGAGTATCCTCAAGTGTTTCCGTAGTAAATCAAACATGAGTGAGAACAAGGAACACTTGATTAAAATGGGTTGTAGGAGTATGGAGTGCTGTGGGATACGTCGTGTCAAAAATAATGCTAACACATGGCTCGAGTGCGATGATGAGTTAGTTAGAGCCATACGTGAACGCGAATTACTTGATAAACTAGCTCCCAATCCTCGTAATTCTGCGACACCGTATCTATTGTTTTACGTAAGGTCTACAACGTAAAAGCATTCCTTCCTGAAATTGCCTACCTGCCACTATCTTTTCCTAATCAAATGTATCAAATGTCTTCATTTTAAATTAAATACTTTTAAACGCCCATTCTTTGAATTACTATCGTTTTTGTATAAATTTAAATTTATCTGGGTAATTTTTAATTTTTATCGGTATCGATAATCAATGTCATTTATTATCTATTATTATTGATTTCTCATTAAGTATATTGTTTATTAATATTAAGTTATAAGTTATAACTTTAAATGTATAACTATTTTTTATTTGGCAAATTGGAGTAAATATTTAAAAGTTTAATATTTTCTTAATTTTTTTCCGGGAGTAAAGTCTTAAAATATTTACTGATGGGTTTTTATAATCATTATTACTATAATTATTTATTTAAAAAAATTAAGAGTATTTTGATTTGTAAAAGACCTGTAGAATATTTTTTTTTATAAAAATATATAATGAAAAAATACTCTAAGAATAAACCTTGAATATTAGTTTGAACAAAAAAATATTTTGAGCAAATTTAGTTATTTTATATTTAACAATGCAAATAATTATAATTATTTATCTTTAAATTTTCTTACTCAAAAATATATTTAGTAATTATTTATGTTAATTACATAAATAGACTTAGAGATTAAAAACTAAAATTATTTTTATTATTACAAATCAAAATATCTATGGATGAATTTTTATAAATAAATATCAATAAAATCAGAAGAATTAAAAAAAAAAAAAAATAAAGTTGACAAGATTATAATTCTTAATATAATTTTTGAAACTCTAGATCTATTTATATATTTATTAATTTACCCTATAAACAAAAAGAGGTGATAGAAAAAATTAATACGATAATTTTTAAAAATTCAATCCTACAATTCAACTAAACCATCATAGTGTATGTAAATATATACATATATATATATATAATCAGAATAGTATCAGTAATAAAATAAAATACTAATACAATTGAAGCATTTGTATAATCTATTTAAAAATAAGTATAATAAATTAACACTTATAAATATATTTTTAAAATCACCAAAGTGAGAAAAGACCGCGTAAAAATATTTTAATCCAGCGTTTGTAAATAATTGTCCGTGATATATTATTAACGTGGCCTAAAAAAAAATGTATCATTTGTCAGGATACCATTTGTTTACTGCCACGTAAGTGTAAACATTTCAACGGGGTGACACGTAATCCCTAGCCCAGGAAATATCGTAAAATGTGACAATCATAGTCACAGTCTGGGTAAAAAAAAATAAAAAAAAAATTCAGACACATAGATGCTTGTAGTGAATAATCATGTCAGTTTATAACACGTTGCGTCGATCATACGTGGCTACATCCATATATCGATTCTTTTATGAGGGTTAGTGGTGGAATATTATCCACTGTCCAGGTCTGACAAATTGTTGTCTCTATCACTTTACGACCAGAGTCTAAGCTATCCACATTATATCAGCTCACCCTATTTTCTCGGCAATGCCCGTACTGTTTCTTCACTAAAGGTATGTCAATTTTTTATTTTCATTTTAATCCTCTATTTTTTTTTTTTTTTTTTTTTTTCTATCACTTTTCTTTTATTTAATCGCGATAGATCAATTAATTTTTTTTAGTTGAATTATACTTAATTTATTTTATATTAATTTATTCTTCCCTTTATTAATCTATTTTTATTATTTATTGAGCAATACATTGGATCTTTATCCAGATTTATTTCAATTAAATTTTTTTTGGAAATTAATTAATGGGTAAGTAAAATATTTTTTATTCATGATCAATTTTTTCATTCACTTCCAAGGGCACTCGGTCAATAATATTCACCTTCAAATGGTATTTTATTCTGTACTTGTTATTCTTTTTTTCTTTTTTTTTTTTTTTATATGTTAATATTTAATTTTATCCGTGAAAAATAAATAAGAAAGTTGTTTATAAGAGGGTTGATACTTGATAGTACAGTGAAAAATGATATACTTGGAAAATTAAGTATAGCTATAGTTACTATATAATTTAGTACTTAAAAAATATAATTTTTCACTACCCTCATAACCCAAATTTATAACTATTAAATCTAAAAGCCTAGTTATCATAGAATAAGCCAAATGACATAACAATAACTGGTGTCAAGCGCAGTAGTACAATCGATGATGTGACCTCTCTTTCCATAGGTAACATAAAATATTCATACGATGAAACACCAGCAGGTAACAGTGGATTTCATGAGCATGGTATTCTCCGCCGCTACTTATTTAGCGTTAGCTGGAGCGGCTTGGATTTTTTTACGCCTTTTCCAGGCATGCTTTTGGCTTCCGCGTCACCTCAAGCGGCAAAATAATTTGCAAGACATGTTACAAGAAAAGGTAATTAAAAATTTATAATTTAGGATACATGACATTAAAGTTAGCAGTCACTGCACAATTTTTTCATTTTATTTAACAAAAAAATTTTTTCCAAAAAATTGCATTTTTAAAGATATAAACTCATCCCGATGTTACACTCATCAAGACCTTTCATTCAAGTACCCACATCAATTTTTCATATATTTATATATATTATATATATGTATATATAAAAAATATATCAAAAATGCATGTGGGTACTCAAATGAAAGCTCTTGATGAGTGTAGCATAGAGATGAGCTTACATCTTTAAAAATATCAATAATTAAGAAATGTCCTTGTATCTCGTGAACTTTTGACATTTTTAAAAATATAAGCTTACCCCTATGTTAAACTCATCAAGAGCTTTCATTTGAGTACCCACATGGATTTTTGATATATTTTTCATATATACATATATATATAAATATATAAAATATATGAAAAATTGATGTGGGTACTCAAATGAAAGGTCTTGATGAGTGCAACATCGGGATGAGCTTATATCTTTAAAAATATCAATAGTTCACAAGATACAAGGTCATTTCTTAATTATTGATATTTTTGAAGATATAAGCTCGTCCCGATATGTTACACTCATCAAGACCTTTCATTTGAGTACCCACATGCATTTTGATATATTTTTCATATATACATATATAATATATATAAATATATGAAAAATTGATGTGGGTACTCAAATGAAAGCTCTTGATGAGTGTAACATAGGGATAAGCTTATATCTTTAAAAATGTCAATAGTTGAGAAAGTACAGTGCAATTTAACAAATATCTTGTGACATTTTTAAAGAATTGCATTTTTAATTTTTTAAAATTTCTACATGTCTTTTTTTTTCGAATTTTTTTTTTTTGCCATAAATTATTTGTTATAAAATTATTAAATATATGCTAAATTAATTTTCATTTAAAATTCTGATTATTGATCTTTACTTATCTATAGTTCTTAATAAAATTGATTTTAAATTCAACAGGTGAGTAGTTACGAGAAGTATATACTTGAGTGCGAAGAAAAAGAAAAAGCAGCCGCCGAAGCGGGAGAAGCTGGCAACAGCGACTTGATCGCTCTGGATGACAAGGGCTCGCTCGAAGAATGCGAGAGAAAACCTATCCCGATAGATGAGAAGAAATGGAAGGAGCGCCGAGAATGCTTAGAGATGCTGAAGAAAGAGTTGAAAAGAGTTAGTGATGGTGGCGATCCCTATGACTGGGAACATCTTCTTGAGGAAGAAGACGAGGAAGAGGAAGAAAAGAAGAAAGAAGAAGGAAAGTCCGATGAAGAAAGCGAAAAGAATGATGACCTTCCGGAAAAAGATCTAGAGGAGAAGAAAGAACAGTGAATATTAAATGGTATTGTTAGAACTTACTTGCACTGTTTGATGGTCAATTTGAGACCAAATTTTAAGGCCGTTTTTCATAAATTTTATTATTATTATTATTATTATTATTATTATTATTATTATTATTATTATTATTATTACAATGGTATTTTAATGAACTCTTGTGATTTGTGATTTGTATTTTTAAGATATAGAATAGTTTTTATTCTTAAGGAAAAAATATTCTATTTAAATGTTGAATCATATAATGTTTATCTTGATTAACGAGTATCAAGTGCCTTTTATTTTAATAATTTTAGCACTCTGTGTGATATTTTTCTAATAAAATATTTTAATAATAATAATTGGTCAAAATTTTAACTAAAGAGTGATGTGAATTTGAAGTGAATAAAAAAAGAGTTATTTTACATTTAATGGTTTTATTTTTTATTACCGATTCAGGAATTTATCTTATAATTTCAATTATACTGAAATTAATTGACATCTGTCAATTTTTTGGATTTTTATGATTAAATTAATTACAAAAAAAAAAAATATATTTAAAAAATTTGCACTTGTAATTCTTTTTAATTTCTAGATGTGGAATTTTTTTAATGAAAATTAATTTAGCGGATACATAATAATTTTTTTTGAAAATTAATTTAGCAGATATTTGATAATTTTAAGAATTTTTTTAACAAATAAATTATGGCAAATAAGACATGTAGAAATTAAAAAAAATTAAAAATGCAATTTTTCAAAATTAATTTTTTGAAACAAATTTATTTGTTATAAAAAAAAAACTAAAAAATAATCAAGTGACTGCTAACTTTAATATCATTAATTTTGTTGATAAATAAATTATTGCAAAAAAAAATAGACATGTAAAAATTTTAAACAATTAAAAATGCAATTTTTTAAAAATAATTTTTCTGAACAAATTTATTTATTAAAAAAATTTTTAAATTGTTTTAAATCACACTGCTAACTTTAATGTCATATTTTTTTATTAAAATTTTTTCATAACAATTCAGTTGTTATAAAAATCTATAAATTGAACAGATGTCTTTTAATTTCAGTGTAATTTTAATTTTCTTCTTTTTTTGTGTCTCAACAATCAAGTAATTGTTATTCTTAAAATAAATTTAGTATTTATATTATTTATTGAGCTGTCAAAAACACAAAGATGGCGGTTTAGCGCCATCTGTTGACTAAATTTGAAACTTAATCACCAATCCACGATGGTAACAGTTTTCTCTGTATATATTTATTTGAATGACGCGCAACCAACCTCTCCCTCCAATCAACAATAGATACTATCCACTTGACTGTCGTGTGGCTCCGCCTATTATAGTCGGCCTCTGAAATAAATTTCATCACAAAAAAAAAGCGTTCTTAATAAAAGTGAATAGAACAAGATTATAGTTTATTTTCTACGGTTTCTCTTAAATTACCCTAGTTAAGAGACTGACATAAAAGTAATAAAATAATAATAACAAAGTGCCCTAGAAGTAGTCAAAGTGAGCCGACATAAATTATATCGCAATGCAGTGTTTGAGGTGAATTTGTAGACAGAAGAAGTCAAAAAATACCGGGATAAACAGCCATGGTTATAAATTACTCATGGGGCCCAAGATTAACGACACCAGCAGATCCTATAGCCGGATAATGCCAACAGACAACCAGTAAGTGTCCAAAAATATTTTCGAAATTTAAATAATAAATTTTTTATTTAATTAACGGGTGGTTATTTTTGGCGGGCTGCAATGCGCAAAAGCTAAAATTGTATTTGTCAATACTTTTCTTACCTGACATCACGTGCAGCATATACTTTATCTATTTATTTAATTATCATTAATTTAATTAATCTCATATTTTATTCACCATTTAGGAAGTCAATGTGATAAATGTCATAAAAAGTTTATTTAATGAAATTATTTTGCAAGTTATAGCATAAGTGCTATGGATTTGTTGGAAATGTCAACTATGACGGTGAAAAGATACTCTATAAAGTTTACGGTTACTGACCTCATGTATGACGTCATTGATTACGTACATTGTCACTTGCCGTATTTTTTATTGTCTAACAAAATTCTGCTCTTGCGATTAAGCATTTCTTAATGCTCCAGCGAATTTAGTCGCACTGACGCAATTTTTTTATGAAATTTAAGTTAGCTGTCACTTGACTATTTTTTAATATTATTTAACAAAAAAATTTGTTCCGAAAAATCATCATTTTTAAAAAATTGCATTTTTAATTTATTAAATTTTCTAAATGTCAATTTTTTTTTATGCAGTAATTTATTTGTTCGAAAAATTCTTAAAATTATTTAATATTTAATAATGAAAATAAAGTTAGCCGACATCTAAAAATTTTTAGAATTTTTTTTTTTTTTTGAAAAAATTATTACAAAAAAATTTTTTTTTTTTATTTTATTTGTGAAAAATTTGAAAACCTGTAAGTGCAGTTTAAAAAAATATATTCTAGTTGTAATTTAATAAGTTAAGCAAAATCAAAAAAATAAAAAATTTCGGCTATTTTCAGTATTATTATCTGATAAATTAATTTTCATAATTTTTTTTAGGAGTATTGTTGGATAACTTTTACATAGTTTCACAAAAATAACAATCAATTTTTTCAGTACTGTCATAAAATTCTAAGTATCTGTAAAAAAATTTATGTCTACTAATGCAAGAAGACTTCAAACTTTTTGCATAATTTTAAACTTAAATTTTTCAGGGTAAATTGATTAAACTTGCCTCTAAATCTTTTTATTGGACATTAGAGAAACTTTAAATCTCCGCGTATACGATAAATTAAACTAAATTATCATTTGCTCTTTTAAATTTGATAAATTTTAGTTATTTTTTATTACAAAAATATCTCGGTTAAATAAATTTATATTTTAGTTATTTAATATATATTTACACAAGTATTATCCCAACAAAAATATTTATAAAATTCCAAACGATAAATTTATTTACTTTAGTTAAGAAACGAATGCTAAAAAAAAACGTTGTATCAAATTGATTTTTTATTCATTGCGTCGTATAAAACCTGGTATTTCTTTTCGTGTTTCTATAAATAGAATTACGATAAATTTACACGCTAAAAAAAAATATTTTCCGCTAACATATTTGAGCCTTAAAATACACTTGTAGAAATAACTGTTTACCAGGAACGATAGATTATATTTTAACATACTTTAAAATTTAAATTTTCCATAAAAAAGTACCCATGGGAGATGAAGAGATAAGCGCCAGGAAACTTATTTGTAGCTAATTTTAACGTCAACTCAAACATGACAGGTATATGAGTTATCTTTTATCTTGACAGTTCTATACAGTAATCTTGACCTCATTTGCTCATAAAATTTGCCAGGGTAGCCCTTGGCCATCTACCCTCGGCAAACATACAATATTTTTTCTATTCATTTTCAATGGCCGACTATTTTTACACAATAATAATAAAAAATACATTTTTAGATTTGTATTTAATTATTTATTAATAAATTTAACTATAAGCTCCTATTTATATTTTTTATACCAGCCCTAGTTATTTTTATTCATTTCTTTTCTTCAAACTCACCGGAAGCTTTTAATTTATTTACATTAAACAATATTACTTACATAAATTTCGGATAATCTTGTTCGCGGAATATTTAAAATTTATTTTTATTTATGTACGTCGTAGCTTAAAAAAAACTAAAATTTATAAGAATAGATAAATAAAAAATTTTTTTTACAATAAAAATAAATATTAAAATACTTAAGCCATAATTTAGCCATTAATTAAAATTTCAATAAAATGCATAAATATAGAGTAAAATTCTGAAAGATCTAAAATTCCTCTGGTAATGAGTAATGAGACTACTCGGTAGGTTACGTGTCGAAAACAGAGTATTACGCAGCTCTAGGTTCTATCGATTTTCTGACAAAACTACTCTTTACCCCCCGAAGTTACCGTTATTCTCTTTTCCCTACCGATTGCTTGAGAATCACAGAGCAGAGAATCCGTGTATGAGTTTCCCTTTGCTCAGCAGCCTCCTCAATGATAAAAGGATGTGCAATGTGCCTATATATCAGTATTATAGTCCAGCATATAACACATAAAACGATGTGTGTAGGCATAATCGATTCATCGAACTAGAGCACCTGATATTCTCACATACTCTCGGCTCTCTGCTCTCGGTCCAGACCGCAAACTCTTGAGCTTTTCAAAGCTACGTGTGGGATTGCGGTCTAGTTTGTACAATGTCCCTTACTGACGTTTACCGATTAAATAAATCTTTCTACCCAATAATAGACGAATTCTATACAATATTATATAGCACATAACACTGTCAGCTCCATTGTAGGCGTAAATACCAGTGAGAAGAGAGCCTACTGAAAAGTTTCTCTATTTTTAATTTATACAATGTATATTCAGATCCACTCATTTAAAAGTCATCAACAGGACCCGAGATTATTTTGCTGATAATTAAATTTATTCAATCGCAAGGGTAAAAATAATTGAATAGATAAATTGTAATCGATTATAGGTTTAACTGAGCTCAAGAGCGTCCATGATTGAGATATAGTTATATTATGTCATCCCAGTAATGTCGATTAAGTACCAACTTAAATAGAGATTAATGATTTGACCTTTTATCCTTATCATCCAGTTAATTCAATCGCGTTCATAAAAATTATTATAATTTTTAATCTTTTATTTTTAAAACAAACTCTTGTTTAGAAATTCATTTCTAAAAATTTTTAGTTTAATTTAGTTAAATCACCAAAAATTATGTAACCAAACTAAAATTTTAAGTTATCTGCAATCTGTATTGATACGCAGAAAAAAAAATTCACTTGAGCCAAGAAAATATTTTTCTTCTTAATTATTTTCTTGAGCGAAAAAAAATTTTTTTTTTTTTTAATTTTCTTTTTAAAAAAATTTTTCTTTTAGAAAAAATTCAGCCTCTTGCTCCAAAAAATTAAATATAAAGATAGAAGTATTCTTCTTAAGTAAAAATCTTGAT